CATTTTTCTTATTGAGCAAAGTCAAGAACATCACATTCTGTGTGCAAATGGTGACCAAACTGGCTGAAACTTGGTACACATTATCACATGGATGTATACGATTGGGTCCCAGAGTATAAATGCAATGGACCTAGCAATTATGGAGATATTGCATGCAGAAACCCAGAAACTGCAAACTCTTTACAGGAATATTGTGAATTACATAGAAAGAATGCATTTATAAGAAAAATAAATGCCATAACCAGAATGGGCATAAAAATGCGGTTCTGACAGTATATAATATGTAGGTAATTGGACCTGATAAAGATGTGCTACTACACATAGCACCAACTTCGGGTGATTTATCACCGAAGCATACTGTGTGCTCAGCACAGCCACTGCTGAGTGCTTTGTCAAGGGTCAAGATAAAATTCCTCAGCAACTGCTCAATCAATCACCACAAAAATTTGCACACTTTCAGATACTATATATGCTCATGCACTCGTAAAATTTCAGACAGTCTCCTAAAGAAATGACCAAGATATTAGTGTTGCACTTTCTCAAAAACCCGCATTGAGATACCTCAACCAATAATAGTGCAGAAAGCTCATAAGCCAGGATCCATTAACAAGAATATCAAAGGTACTTGCATGCTAAATTTCAGTCCGATAGCTCAAGCAGTTGTTGAGATATTGAGTCTTTAACTTCAGGTAAAGTATGCACACTGCACCCTCAGCACAGCCACTGGTGGGTGCTTTTCCAAGGGTCAAGATGGAATTCCTCAGCAACCGCTCAACCAATCTTCATAAGATTTTACACACTACTAGGTACATTATAAGTAAAGGTGATCGCAAATTTTCAGACATTTTCGCAATGAAATATCTGAGATATTAGTGTTGCGCTTTCTCAAAAACCCGCATTAAAATATCTCAACCAATAATAGTGCGGAGAGCTCATAAGCCGGGATACATTAACAATGATACCAAAAGTACCTGCATGCAAAATTTCAGTCTGATAGCTTCAATGGTTGTTGAGATATTGAGCCTCCAACTGCAGGTGAACACTGCTGGGCGCTTTTCCAAGGGTCAAGATAAAATTTCTCTTCAACTGCTTAACCAATCTCCATGAAAATTTACACACTGCTAGATAAAGTATAGGCGCAGGCTATTGTAAAATTTTAGACATTTTCACAATGAATTAACCGAGATACTAGGGGTGCGCTTTTTTAAAAACCCGCATTTGAATATCTCAACACATAATAAAGCGAGAGCTTTATAAGCTGAGATTCATTAACAAGGATGATAGAATTACTTGCCTGAAAATTTTCAGCTTGATAGCTTAAGCAGTTGTTGAGATATTGAACCTCCAACTGCAGGTGAGCTATGGCACACTGCACTCAGCACAGCCACTGCTGGGCGCTTTTCCAAGGGTCAAGATGGAATTCCTCTACAACCGCTTAACCAATCTTTATGAAAATTTGTAAAGTGCTAGATACATTATATGCAAAGGCTACTGCAAATTTTCAAACATTTTAGCTTCAAATCACCTGAGATATTAGGGTTGCGCTTTTTCAAAAACCCCATTTGAATATCTCAACAAATAATAAAGCAGAGGCTTCACGAGCTGAGATCCATTAACAAGGATACCAGAGGTACTTGCACAAAAAATTTCAGCTTTATAGCCTAAACAGTTGCTGAGATATTGAGCCTACACTGTGAGGAAGTGCATCATTTTCAAGCTCTAAGTCATTTCAAACTCAGACAGGCTGAGTGCTCATACAGGAGGTGGAAGCTGAATATCTCAAGAACCGCTACAGCTATGGACATAAAAATCTACAGGCATTTACAATACATACTGTTGATAATTTCTGCAAAGTTATATGTTATTTGATCAAATATTTACTGAGATATTAGAGGTACACCTTTTCAAAACTGTGCAGACATAATATAAAAATTTGAAATTCTGGAATATCATTCATTCATATCATGAGATCACTGGTGCAAATTTTGAGAAGCATAGCTGATATATTTCTTGCAGTATTCAGCTGGAGAGAATGGTCACATCTGTGCCATGCATGGTGCAGAATCGTCACATTGTCACACAGTCAGCAAAGTCACATGATGGTTGTGGTGCATTGTTTGGTTGTCATAGCTCCACCAAACAAAGTGTGCAGCAAGTGTCGTCAAACCTGCCAGCACTGTACTTGCGCAACTCTTCCCATTCCCTTACCTCACCCACTTTCAGATGTGCTATCTTCTCTTTTCAAAGGCATGTTTTCTATCACACATTTAATGATCTTCTTATCACTCAATACCCATATTTCCCCTTCACAGTGTGTCTCTCCTGCCAGCACATACTTGCATAGCCCCCAGTTCATGGTCTCAACAATAGGTATGTCCTTATTTCTTTTTCATTCAATGATTAGATTCTCATAAACATATTCCAGAACATGGTGCAGGACAAGAAGAGAATTGAAGGAGTGGCAACACAAGAATTGGGAAAGTGAGAATTTGGGAGTCAGGTGGCAGCACAATGGGTACCAGAGTGAGTTGGAATATTTTTTTTGTCTTCATCCTACTGACTATATATCTAGATTATGATATCTTCTTTCTATGCTATGGGTGAGTGCATATTTCAGTAGAAGGGGATTGTATTATAGCATACAGTACTAGTATTAGTGTAATCTGTTCAATGTACATTAGATAGAGAAATATAATTGAGTCTTCTTCCAATACATGAAGTGTGAACAGAATAAAAAAATAAAACATCCTGAATAACATCTACTGTAGTCTTAGCCTGTCCTCTGAGCATCTTGAGGACACCCTGAGGATGCTCTAAGATTTTACACCTAGGAACGTAGGCTTCAGGAGCCTTACTGTCCTTGGTGTCTTAGATGTCTCAGATTGTCCTCAAGACAACCTAAGACAAAAAGGTTTTTCCTGATGTGGGCAAGTCGTTGGGCAGCTGCATTTTGAACCAGCCAGGTGGCTGTGTCAGGGGGTTGAACAGACACTGCTGAACATCGGTCGACCACATCCTAAGGGTTCATCTTTACAAAATGCAGTGAATCACCTGTAACATTATGAATGGAAGCCTCCTGAGTTTTCCACATTGTAAAATTCACAATTCTTATGAAGTTATAAATAGAAAATCATGGCACACTTTACTGCAGAGTTATGTCCCCATACCCTTGTGGTTGCCCCCACTTCTTCCTTTCTGCACCTTAAAAATGACTACATGGACAAATTACAAGTTGTTTTGAAGGAAGATCTCTTGTGGTGGTGGTGCTACAAGAGCAAAGTCGCCTCGCATCAGACCTGCTCTCCACCTCCAGCCCTGTGGTCCTTTCCTCCTCAACCACTCCACCACTTGCCTTCATTATTTTTTTTGCACCTCAGTAATATGTATAATAACTGATTTGAGCCTTCCCTGTGCACGCAGATTGCCTCGTTCGTCCGCTGTGGATGGAAAGTCAGCCAAATGTGCCTCAAATGGCCCCTCTCAGTTCAAAATACCAATACTGGCCCAATTTCCTCCATTCTTTTTACAGAGACCTGCGCCCCGTCGACTAGATTCGAAATATATAAGAATTTACATGAAAAGGCAATATACTCGTCGAGCTACGAAGTCAAAGTCGTCGCCGCCGATTCTGCGCGCAATTTTGATGTGATGACCAAAAACGGCCCGTGGCCAACTCTATTGATTGCAAACAGCAATGATGTCCCCTGGCCTGGTCACGGGCGCTCTTGTTGCCGTCGCCTCGGTACACGATTCATACCGAGAAAAGAGGACCCACCGGTAAATTGCTCGCACCACGTCGAGGCTGTACAGCGTTCGTGCAACTTAGCCAGCTGTTCAGGTCTCATGTTCGTCCTTAATTATAGCATCCAATAGCAGCACTTTTCTGAGTAACCTGTCTGCTCCGACCTCAGTCAAAGCGGGGCTCTCCTTTTGCGCGGACCTCCCGTCATTTGGACTCTTGGAGTGATCACAGCAGAGGTTAGATAGTAAAGACACGTGAATATTTGAATATTTGAATAGAGGTTATTTGCACCTCGAATATTCCTAGAATCGCGCAAATCTCATTGGCTGAAGGAGGCCCCAAGCCAATCGGATTCACGGATTTGTGGAGCCCTCAGAACTAATATCGTCGCTTCAGTCTTGCATCATTGGATGACTTTCCTTAACGGATTTGAGGCTCTAAAGCAAATGACGGGGTGCCAGCGTCGGGGATTAAAATGGAAGATGAGAGTTTATAGACGTTGGGGTTTGGAATCGTAGGGAATATTGAAAGGGCAATGAGGCACGAACGAGGAATGCCGAAGGCTGCCGTGGTCAGGAACATACCTAAACGAGAGCTTTTACACCTAGAATGAGGCTTTAGAACTGGGAAGGGGGTACTTACCCTCCTCCTAGATTTTTCGTTTGAAACGGCCTTTGAAGAGAGCGGAGAGCGGAATGTTTTCCGGGGTCCTGACAGGTGACAACGGCATGCATCGGCCTCACCATTTGAAACGAGATTTAGTGTTTAGAATGGGCTCTAAACGTTAAGGAAAGTCATCCATTGGATGACTTTCCTTAACGTTTAGAGCCCATTCTAAATGCTAAATCTCGTTTCAAATGGTGAGGCCGATGCATGCCGTTGTCACCTGTCAGGACCCCGGAAAACATTCCGCTCTCCGCTCTCTTCAAAGGCCGTTTCAAACGAAAAATCTAGGAGGAGGGTAAGTACCCCCATCCCAGTTTCAAAGCCTCATTCTAGGTGTAAAAGCCCCCATTTAGGTATGTTCCTGACCACGGCAGCCTTCGGCATTCCTCATTCGTGCCTCATTGCCCCTTCAACCTTCCCTGCGATTCCAAACCCCAACGTCTATAAACTCCCATCTTCCATTTTAATCCCCGACGCTGGCACCCCGTCATTTGCTTTAGAGCCTCAAATCCATTAAGGAAAGTCATCCATTGCCATCAATTCCGAGTTGGAACCCGACCCACCTCAACTCTTTCTAACTCTGAAAGACACGATGCCAAAGAGAGCACGCATTCACTTCGTTTCTCTGCGGTCGTCTCTCGTCAATCTTCCCATATCGATCTATGGACCCTTAGTCGAACGGAGCGTTGTGAGTTTGGAAGATGCTCAACAAGCTTTGTGGAGCTGAATTCATTACAGCGACCTCAACATCTTGCGGTTCATCTCTCTCTGACACCAGATGAACAGAACAGGCCTACTCAAGAACGCGTCGAGGCATATGTTGGCTGGACGGGAATGGCGTCAGCGTCCTCGCTCGCACATTTCAAGGCTGGTCAATCCCGCGAGGGTGGCTTCGAGACCATAGAGATTGATCCTCAGTATGCTCAAGGTCTCGGGTTGGCTCAAGGGGATATTGTAGGCGCAGATCATATCTTGGTTACAATCCTTCTCTAAATCCGCACTTACAGGTCGAAATCGGACTTCTTCACGATCTCCCACACGCGAAGTCAGTTGGAACAGAACCTCTGACCTCAGACGACTGGGAAATAATTGTACGTCGATCATCCGATGCTCAATGCAACATGTTGAAGAAGACACAAGGAAATACACGCGTCACATGTTGAGAACACGCTGCTTTCGCAAGTTCGGGTAGCAAAAGTGGGACAAGAGATAGATGTATGGGTTCTGGGTAGAACTCGTGTCAGACTAAGAGTGAGTGAGTGATATCGAAGTTTTCTTCTATCCCAACGAGCTCTTACGACCCTCGCGCAGCCAGTATAGATCCTCCGACAAAAGCAAACGCGCTCCTCCTCACCACCAATACCGAAGTCAGCATCGCCCCAAAGCTGCATCAAAACAAGCCATCCACTTCGAAGAAGCCCCTTGTCAATGGTCATCCGACCTCGACCACCAAACCAACACCGAATGGTATTGCAAAGGTGCCACTTCCCAGTGCATCGAAGGAAGCAGTGGAATCTCTTCGTGTCTTGCCATCACGGCTGTTCCCTTCTCTTCCTGAAAGCAATGGTCCAGAACTACTTGCATTCGTCTCGTCCAGAACACATGCTCAGCTGCGTTCCTCCACGACGTCAAGAGAACCTCCAACCAGCGATACATTTTTCTGTGGGACTTTGAAAGCTGCCCCCTCACCCATCGACCCTTCATCGCCCTCAACTCCACCAGTGCCAGAGCCAACAGCACGTATCCTGAATGCCGCGTCTTCTGCGACAGCGTCCAATGGTTCCACGTCTACTCGACCAGGGGAAGTATACGTTGGTGTCTCTGAAGATGTCCCATCGAGTCACATTGTGTTGCCAGCGCTGCCAGAAAGCATAAAAGAATGGGATATTGTCAAGTATGTTGTCTCCCTTTCTAGTTCCTTAGGGTATATCTCAACCTCAGGGGCAGGGGATCTCTCGTACCAGACGGAGAGACAATACGTCTAACACAACACGCTCAACCACAAAGACCTCAGTAGGCCGTTCTATTAATCAATTCAGCTAGCCCTGTGCCTCAACATCACGCAGTACTACACGCCCGTCAACATTCCTTGCTGGAGTCGATGCCATTCTGGACCGTTGCGAGTCATACTGCACACGAGAACTCATGATCCACTCTATGAAGAAGTCAGTACATGGATGTATGTCGCGTTTGCTTCGCCTCAAGGACTCGTTCTTACCAAGCAATAGTCTCTGGCCTCCTTGTTACAGGACGTTCAGGCGCTGGCAAGACGTCAATCATCCGCTCAGTCGCCAAGAAACTACAAGAAGATCCGAGAACGTTGACTTGTGTGTGGTTTGTTAATTTCCTGGGACTGAAGCTAAAGAGCGTTCAGATACGCTCTATGTCGATGTTTCAAAGTTCTCAGACCAACCGGTATCTGCTGTGAAGGCCCAGTTCAACTACTGGCTCGACAAATGCGCCTGGCATCGTCCAAGTGTTCTCGTCCTCGACAATTTGGATAAACTGCTTAGTGCCGAAGTCGAGGTAAATTCCTCAATCGCTCTACCAGACCCTCCTGCCAATCACCCCGATCTTTCAGCATGCCGACTCCTTCCGTTCAAGACATCTCACAGAAATATTTTTGAGCATATTCTCTTCGAACGCTCGGACTGCAGCCCTTAATAGTCGAGGCATCCTTCTCTTGGCCACGGCTGATTCAATAGCATCAATACACTCTTTCCTGAACATTGCCCATGTTTTCAAAGAGGTCGTGCATGTCACTCCGCCGAACAAAGAAGCTCGGAGAGATGTACGTGATCTGTCCATTGTTTGAAAGTACGAGATCCCTGACACCCTGACGTCTGTAGATCTTGTCCAGGCTCGTCCAAGAGCGCCTTGAAGTCGCAAAAGATATTGCTCAGGATGAAGAATCACCCATTAATTTCACCGAGCTCTCGACTCAGACAGAAGGGTACTCTGCCACAGATTTGAAAGACTTAGTTGCTCGCGCAATTCATCAAGTCGCCATGAGGGCGGGCAGTGATTCAACAACCAAGGTGTGCTTTCGTGAACTATCCCTATCCATTATTGTCCACCGATACTGACTGGTGCGCAGTTGGAACTCACCCAAGCAGATTTCGCTGTTGCGCAAGTGGATTTCGTGCCGTTGTCTCTGAGAGATATTAAGCTCAAAAAATCAGATGTAGCGTGGTCCGACATTGGCGGTATGTACGATTCCTTACGCAATCTGTACCATGCCCTCAAATGAAATTGTGTCTGTAGGTCTACACGAAACCCGTCGCGTGTTGCGAGAAACTCTTGAATGGCCGACAAAGTACGGTCCAATATTCAAGCAGTCGCCTCTAAGGTTGCGTTCCGGGTAAGTCACTGGCATTATTGCGCGTTTCCTGCGTTAATTAACTCTATCTTTTCCCAGCCTCCTTCTGTATGGTTACCCGGGGTGTGGAAAGACGTTGCTTGCGTCTGCTGTAGCTCGAGAATGCGGGCTGAACTTCATCAGCGTTAAGGGGCCCGAAATCCTCAATAAGTATATTGGTGCTAGTGAGAAATCGGTAAATGAAGATCTTCCGCATGTCCCATGCTTTCTCATACCTCTTCGTATTCCAGGTACGAGACTTATTTGAACGAGCTAGTGCAGCCAAGCCATGTGTCCTATTTTTCGATGAGTTTGATGCCATCGCTCCAAAAAGGTAACAGATTTTGTACACCGATGAATGCGCCTTGATGCTAATAATGGGATATTCACCAGAGGACACGACAGCACGGGTGTGACGGACAGAGTCGTCAACCAAATGCTTACACAAATGGATGGTGCTGAAGGACTGGATGGTGTTTATGTCCTGGCTGCGACGAGGTTTGTGGGTTATAGCAACAAGAGAACAGACATATGTTGAATCCCGTTCAGCCGGCCAGACCTCATCGACTCTGCACTCCTTCGTCCAGGACGCTTGGATAAATCTCTTTTGTGTGATATGCCTGATGTTGAGGAACGGAAAGATGTACGGTCTCATTATTGTACTCGTCGCGCCGTTGCTCACACCCTCTGTTCCAGATTCTAATGGCAGTCGCAAGAAAGATGTCCGTCTCCTCAACAGTCGACTTCGATTGGATCGCACAAAAAACGGAAGGGTTCTCCGGAGCCGACCTCCAAGCATTGCTGTATAACGCGCATCTGGATGTCATTCATGCATCCATGGCGGAAGGACCGTCCGATGCATCAAAATCTGAGCAACTGGACGAACAGCCTGTGGAATATGTCCGGATCGGTGGACCAGCCCAGCAGTCAGTGCTGAGCAAGGCAGAAGAGATCGCGCTGCAGCGGAGGGTGGATTCACTTCCAATTCCAATTTTTAACGTCTCACGATACTCCGCCTTTCTTCCAGTTGCGCCAGATCCTTCTGAGCTCCTCTGCTGGTGCAGCACCGAAGCAAGTAAAGGCACCGTCATTAAAGAAGGTATGTCAGCGCTACAGTTTGCCTCCAGATTTACTGATCTACCTTCCCTAGAATGAAATTCAGCAAGAGCACATCCTTAAGTCCCTCAAATCAACGCGTCCGTCAGTCTCTGTCGAGGAGAGATATCGACTTGCCCGGATGTGAGAATGTACATTTGTATCCTCATCGCTTATATGCTGACTTTCGTCTAGTTACAAAGAGTTCGTGTCTGACCGCAGTGGAAACCTACCCGTCCCTCCTGAAGCAGGCGGGATAGGCAACCGTGTTACTCTTGGCTGAGAGTGAATCATCTAAGTAAAACGCACAGAACCTTGTATCTAAGATCATGCGACCATTTGGCACATATAATTAGGCAACAATAATTGCTCCAGCGGTGTTTGCAGTCTGCTCCCAACTCTCTAGCGCCACCTTCGCCTCTTTGCTCACAATATCGTAAGCTTGTTGGACATGTTCTTCTGTCGTACGAGCAGCACCAACAGCAAGCCTGACGCAGAAGATTCCGTTCAGACTGGTTTGTGTCAGCATGATGTCGTCTCGCGCTGAGAGGCGACCGAAGAAGATGCGATTTAGTTCGTTCAGTGGGCCAAGAGAGAATTTCGGTTGGTCTGGAGATACTGGCCTTGGAATGAGTCGGAAGACCGTCAGGGCAAGAGAGGGTTTCGTGACAAGCTGGAGATGCTCAGAGGTCTTAACTTGCTGTGCGAACAAGTTGTTGAGTTCGATGCACTTCAGGAATGAGTCAGTTTCGTTCTCTTTTAGTTGGAAGATATGGCACCACGACCCACCCGACGGATGTATGTTCTGAATCCCTCAACACCGAATCCGCGCAGCACGAACCACAATTTCAAGGAGCGGAAGCGACGTCCTAAAGATAAATGCCAGTTACGATAATCGATAACAGTACCAGCATCTCCATGTTTCGTCCTCAAGTACGTCGGGGTAATGTCTAAGGCCTCTGTGAGATTCTTCCTATTCCGAACCCATAGAGCCGAGCAGTCGAAGTTAACAAGACCCCACTAAGCCTAGGTGTCAATATTTGCGGTCTCGCCAACAAAGGATCCAAAGAGAATTTACTTTGTGGAAGTTGGTACAGACTGAGTCGGCGAAAGCGTTGAAGTCTTCCAAGTGGAGAACACCGCGATTCTCTGGGCAGGACAGTGCAGAACCCGCCCATGCAGCGTCAATGTGGACCCAAAGAGATGGGTAGTCCTTGGCTTTGAAGGGAGTAAGACTTCGACGACGTTTTGGACGGAATGGCAACCCTTACCGACTTCTCGAATTTCGGGGATGCTGTCTACCGCCCCGGAAGACGTACTACCTACTGTCGCAACTGCGTTTCCGTTAGCGGTGGGTCCGGCATTAGAAACTTGACTGAAAAGTACCCACTCAAAATGAATGGATGACGCCCAATTCTAGCATCCTCCTCCAAGGCATTGCGAAGTGCTTCTCCGCGAAGAGAAAGCTGGTCGTCCAAATCGACGTCGATGGCGCGTACATGTACGCCGAACACCAGTCCAGCTTTGGATCCTAGAGAGTGTGTTTGAGATGTGGTGTATATGACGAGGTCTTCTAATTTGACGTCAGGGTGTTCCCGCTGGTAGCGTGCACGGGCCGCAACCACGGTGGCGAGGACTGAGTCTGAGGCAGTCGTCTTCGTTTGAAGAGCGAAATGAGAAAAAATGGAGACTCCGAAGAGAGGGAGGATTGATTTAATAATTCATACCTGAATGACACCTCCACCGATCCCAGATGCGTTCGTAAAGGCAGGAGACAAACCCAAGAAGCTCGCTGCCCAGTCCATCACGATCGCCTCAAGTTCTGTGCATGCCGGGCTGGCCAACCACTTTGATGACGGGAGATGAACGACGTATGGACCATGTCTGCATATTTTATGACGCACATTGAACCCTGGATTGCAAGTGCTCGAGGCATACAAGTCGCCGAGCATCCCTTCGAAAGTGCATGCCGTTGGAAAATAGGCAAAGAACGATGGGTGTTGCCAGTGGGTCAAACCTTGTGGTATCGCGTCAGACGTGCCGTCTCTGTGACTGTCCTGAATAAATACTGACCTGGAAGTATGAACTTCTGGTAGTCGTCCGCGATGGCTTGGAAGTCCTCTCCCTTCTCCGGTGGTTCAACTAGGGAAATCATGAGTGATCGAGTTCGTTGATCCATTGGGAGCTCAGGGGATACGTACGAGGAATGTGCTGCCTTAGGTATCCTGGCTCGACCTTAGACACAACAGATCTCTCCTGCAGGGAGTAGTAGTAATCGCAAATGCGATCAATAGCCTGATATCCGGCCTTCCTGAATCTGGGAAAATCGACGAGTTCGATCTCAGGGGGGCATCCATATGTTCAACACGATCGTTAACCTACTGCTCAATGTCCATTGGAATTGTACCTAATTTCAGGCTGTGGGTAGTATGTGGTTGGGGGAATAGAGAAAAGACCGGCCGGAGTAAAGCTTTGTAAAGGTTGGAATAATCATGGTGCGAGGTTCGGAGGAGGAGATTTGCAGGATCCGGCCCGTGTTCGGCCGACGTTGTTTAAACCAAGCGTGGGAAATGTACACCCTCCTGCCAAGAGAAGTAATTCTGTAGCCGCGAATGGTGTTGCAGACTTGTTGCAGACCACCACGTCGCTAAGATGGACGCGTCTCTAGTCACAGAATACGCCTCAACACTTTGTGAGTACATGTATTTATGGTGCAAGTCGTTGCATCTGACGCGATGCCAGTGCGCAACAAGCCGTGGCTTGCTGCTGCCCTGCTGGCGTTTGGGACGTTCAGCGTTGCTCGAATGCTCTATCAGACCTTGTCCGTCCTGCTTCAGATCTTCGTCCTTCCTGGAAAGAATGTACGTGCACCTCGTCCTCAACTCTGAATAAGGCTCATGTCCACGCTTCGATAGCTGCAGAAGTTTGGCGCGCGAAAAGGCGCTTGGGCAGTCATCACCGGCGCTACTGACGGAATCGGGAAGGAATTTGCTCTCCAGCTCGCGAGGGCAGGATTCAACATCCTTTTGGTTGCGAGGAATAAAGATCTGCTCTCGGAAACTGCCGCGGAAATCGGTGTGTCTCCATGCCATCTGACGTATAACTCAGCTAAGCAGATCTCAGAGTCGAAATACAAAGTCCAGACTGCCACCCATTCAATCGACTTCGCCAAGGCAGATGAGACCGAGTACGCCTCGTTCTCCAGTGCTGTTGAGGGACGTGATATTGGAGTCTTGGGTAAGTCCAGTCGTTCTACTTGAAAAGCTGTTGCCTAAATCTTTTCAGTCAACAATGTTGGCAAGTCGCATGCGATGCCCGTCTACTTCATCGATACTCCGAAAGATGAGGTGAAGGATATCGTTTCCATCAACGTGAATGCGACTCTACGGGTTACCTATGCCGTCTTACCTGGCATGGTTCAACGGTGTGTAGGTTTTGAAGATCATGACGACACGGGAATTCATCATTTAATTTTAGCAAGCGTGGCTTGATCCTTAACATTGGATCATTCGCTGGTTCAGTTGCATCTCCCATGCTCGCGACTTACTCCGGCACAAAAGCTTTCTTATCAACATTCTCGGATGCTCTGGGTGAAGAAGTGAAGAAGGACAACGTCATCGTTGAGCATGTCAACACGTACTTTGTGGTACGTGCACGCTAGTTTGGAGAAATAATTTGACCAACTAACCTTGATTCAGGTCTCCAAGCTATCTAAAATCCGCAAGGCATCTGTGATGATCCCGAATCCCGCTCCCTTCGTCCGGTCAGTTCTCAGTAAGATTGGCCTGGCATGTGGCGCTGGTTACAGCGGTCGTCCCAACACCTCCACACCCTTCTGGTCGCATGGACTCCTTGATTATCTTATTACCTTTGTTGGTATCCCGAGCTTGTTCATCAGCTACACCCACGGGCTTCACAAATCCATTCGCAAGCGCGCGTTGAAGAAGGCCGAGCGAGAGGCAAAAGCCCAGTGAATGTTCGTTTTACGATTGTGGGATTGCTGTATGTAGAACCAAAAGTAGTTATTTATACCCGTGTTTGTTGTTTCTTGACCACCCGACAATACTATCTTTGCGTATATTTTGTCAACAGGTTGTGCTGCACCGCGACTGAGCTCCAAAAAAAGCGGGATAAAGATAGCCATTATGGTCACGTGTGCTTTGTGTTGTTTGTGTACGAAATGCGACTGCAGCGTGTTTCGATTGTTCAGGACAACCGCGCTTGCTTCCGACACAACATGCTCTTCTGCTAAATCCATCACCCACTCACCAACCATGAAGAGGCAACCGTCCCGTGCTCCCTCCCCGACACCCACAGCGTTCTCCGGGATCTCCAATTACCGCACAGAGTCTTACCGACCATCCCGGGACGGCAAAGGGCAACCACCCGTTCCCACTATCGACTACCGGCAGGTCTCTAAGACACACCATGAGGAGCTGGGCAAATACCTCGCGAGCTACCTTGCGAAAGGTGTGTATCGCGTTGACCACCGCCATCCCCTACTAATTAGCCAACGTCGTCTCATCTCGTTGCAGCGCCGCCAAACTCCCGTTCTACTGCCAGATCGAAGCTTACGAGGCTGACAATCCAGCAGTTCCATGAGCTCTCTACGGATGTCTACGATGAATTGGTTCGAAGGAAAAACGAGAAAGAAGGTACGTAGGCTCTGTTCATCTTTGCTTTCACTCACGCCCTTATCACTTTAGCAATCCCTTTCCTTCCGGTGAGGGAGGACTTCCATCCCAAACGCAATCAAGCTCGACAGAAACTGGCCACGCTACCGTCAACTCGGTTTGAGGATCTATCTAGTGATGTTTACTTTGAGTTGGCTCGACGGTATCCTGAGTTCAAGGAAGATGTGCGTCTTCTGTTTGCTGATCAAGGTATCCCTCATGTCTGATTGTCTCGAGTAGCCCTCTGGAAGAGGCTCGGCCTCGTCCACGTACGATGATTACCCTGCTCCAGACTTCCCTTCCAACTCCCCTCCTCGAAAGACCAACAGTCGCACGTCAGGCCGCATGTCTGCCGATCGACCTCCGGATAGTGGATACGGTAGCAGTCGCAAACCATCTGTGGACAGGCGGCGGCCAAGCGAGTCAGAATTTAGTGTTGGCAGGAGGAGTGAGGACAACTACAGGCGGCCTGATGACATCTATGCTGGACGGGAAGAGAGCTTTTCTGCTGCGCTCGCTTCTCGACGCAAGCCATCGCAAGACACCACCCGCAGATCAGAAGATCGCGAGCGTGATTTTGGACGTCGGCCTAGCATGGCGAGTGATAGTACGGCAACGGTAAATCAGGCTCCAGCACAAAGCACTACCGCCACCAGTGCTGTCATCATCCCAACAAAGAGCACGATGGAGGAAGAATACATCGATATTCCTTATGGCCGCGATGCCAGAGAAAGCGGCGTGACGACCATTGACGAGCGAGACCGCGTTCCTGATGGAAGAGATAATGGACTGGAAGAACCGCCTGATAGTGCGAGCGACTATCCCAGTCCGATGAGCTCGAGAAGCCCACCAGCCGGTCTAGGCGGACTCGCTGCACGGCTAAAAGGCGTTGAAGACGACGACGACGTTGTTCCTGGCAATCGAAGTGGGGATGAGCTCTACGACAAATACGGCCGGTCGTCTGTTGACTCGAGTCGGTCCAATGGCATGGGTTCGCGATTAATGGGTGGCCGGGCGAGTGTCAGTGAAGACGCGGAGAAGATGCGGCGAGACTATGAATACAAGATTGCCACCATGCAAACGCAAATCACGAACCTACAGCGGGATTTGGGCGAGGCTGCCGCAAATGAAAAGAAGCGCCAGGAGAGCGAGTTACGTGTGAGGAACCTGGAGGAAGAGCTCATGGGGTTGCGCCAGGTGCGTATCGCACCCAGATTTTTTTGTGTGGAAGGTCTTAATGCGCCGCACAGCGAGCTGAAGAACAAAGCGCGACGATGCGTATCTTGCAAAAGGAATTGGACGATGTTCGAGAAGCTCGACAACGTGAAGCTCGCCAAGCCCAGGAAGACCGGGAAGAACTAGCGATTTTCCGTGACCGCTGCAACAAGCTCGAGGAAGAACACGAATTCCGGCAAAGCGCGGTACGCTGACTTGTGCGATGCAGTAGTTTCTCTCATGTGCTGACTTAATTTGTTGCAGCCTGATGCTGAGAACGTCGAGCAGCTTCGCGCTGATATGGAGAGCCTATTAATGGAGATCAACGACCTTTCACGACGCAATGACGAATTGATGAACTCGAAGGAATCGGATACCCAGCTTATCCGGGAGCTGGATAGCCAGATGAAGGAATTCAAGCGGAAGTACGAGCAGGCGAAGACGGAGCTGCGTAGTGTCAAAGGTGCGTTCTTCCAGACTGGGTGTCGAAGCTTGGATTAACCAATCTTCATCCAGCTACCTCGCAATTCTTCGTCCAAACGCCGAAATTCGACAAGCCCGAAGACCAACTACCTCTTGCTCCAGATGGCGGAGTACTGGACATCCACATCACGGCGTTCCTCACCAGCATCGACAGCCTACTAACAGCAGGTCGCTCAGCTGCACCAACACGTGTTCTTACACCCATTAAGTCTGTGGTCAACGCGGTAACGAACATCATCGAGGACGTCAAGACGTTCGAGCGACGGCCTCAACGCGATCGTGCCGATGTGGATATGGAAGCCCTACGTTCACTGAGAGAACGAGCAGAGGCAACATTGACCAACCTCGTCGCTGCGACGAAGACGCACGCGTCCAGCTCAGGCATGTCGCCTGTCAGCTTGCTCGACGCGGCGGCGAGCCACGTCTCCGCGACCATTACAGAGATCGGACGCACGGTCTTCATCCGCAAAGCAACCAAGGCTGAGCTGGAGCAGTTGGCGTACGGGGCTGCTGCCACGGGACCGTCCTCAGCGAACGGCTTCTCGCCCGCCCTGCGCTCCGTCGAGGAGGCGCGGTCGGCACATCAGAGGAAGGCGAGCCAGGTCTCGTCGTCGAGTCGGACGGGACGGTTCTCGGAGTCGCCTAGCTCTCCACCGATGGCGCAGAGGGGGTATCGGGGACGACCGCCGTCGGAGAACTCGAGCTCGGAGCAGACGAACTCGCCGCCGCCGATATTTGACACACAGGGAGGTGCGGGTGTGGTGAGCGACGACTCGCAGGCGGATGGATCAGAAGATGCTTGGGCGGAGCTGAAGGTTCGTTTATCGACACGTCCTCCGAGATCAATTGGCCAACGACTCTTTTATAGCCATACCTCGAAGCCCAAACCGAATCAATAGTCTACGCCATCCAATCCGTGCTCTCGGGCGTCCGGAGTCCGACGCCCTCGCCCACGCTGAACGAGAACCTGACGCAGATCATCACGATCGTGTCGAGCATCGTGGCAGTGTGCAACGACAATCTCCCGCCGGCGTCGGCGCAGCAGGGGAACGTGATTCTGCGGGAGCTCAGCGAGCATGCGAACAAGCTGAGCGAGGTGCAGGCGCTGCCGGAGGTGACGAAGGAGTCGCGCCAGATCATGGCCAAGTCGAGCTTTGCGATCGCGAATGCGATGAAGGGGCTGATGAAGCTGTGATTTGGGCTTTTGGGGTGGTGGCGGCGGTTGGTTTTCTTACCTCTTTCTTTTTTCTTTGTTCTTTTGGATACGAGCACGAATTACTTCGTTCCCTTTTTACCTTACTTTTCGGATTGAGTACCATCTGTCCCTCACATCCATAGAGTCGATTGATTCTAGCCACCGAACTCTTCTCTCATTCTATTTCTACCTTTACTCCTTGCATAGTGAGGGTCATAGATGATGCCTCGGTATTTAATGTTCCCATGCCCCTAACGTTACCATCATGCATACAGTCTGTACTACCATGCATATAAAACCAGCATTATCCCAATCATAAATCCTACCTTGTTCCTAGTCTATCCTGTCTACATAGGTAGTCCAAATCAGAAACGTTCCTCGCATGATATTTCTTCTGGCAATGAATATTGGCGTGCTGGAGGGGTTTACAAGAGCTGCATGCATGCTTCTCGACAGAGTGTGGCGTTCGGGACCGGAGGACGGCAGCCAAGGCACCGTTCGTGCACTCTGTTACGTTTTCCAGGGTGAGGGTGCCCAGTTTGGGACAGAGCGTGGCGCATTTTCCAAACACGGACGTCTTGCACAGCAACATGCCAAGTAACCTATCGCGGACGCATACGTGACCTTGGTAGCTGTATACTTCCAATGTTGTCAATGAGGAGGTGTTGTGTTGCAGACATTGGATGAGCTGGTCCTCTGTTATTCCTGGGGACTCTAGGATGAGAGATTCGAGGCTGCATAATGATTGGGGCCATTCGACTTGGTCTACGAAGCCAGCTGTGTAGCTAAAGTGCCGTAATTGAGGGCATATAAGAGTTACGAGAAGGGTGCTGAGGCCATCATCGAGGGTGTGTTGAAATATTGACAACCTTTCAAGATATGGGAGGTGAATACGGGCTTTGAGTGGGTCCTCGGACGAAATCGTAGCTATCTGGTCACGTCCTGCTGAAAAATGGGGTAGTTCAAGCATGACCACTGAATGACACTGACGTAACACAGCGAGTGCGACCTTGAAGGTAACGTGAGTGTCGAGGAGGATGTTGGTCAGCGCATGCCAAGGGGCCCGAAGCTTCTCCACACCGGTGTCAAACACAGCATCCCAGGACCCCCAGGAAGCGCGGTTGCTCCAGGAGAAGTGCCGCAGCGCCGGGGCCCGCATAAGGAGGTTGTTTATGTTGGAGGCTTCCTCGTATGTCCAGTTCCCCAGATCCAGTGAGAGCCGGGTCAGTTCGGGGGCGGGGAAGGTGGATAGGGAGGCGAAGAGCGTGCTGGATGAGGGGAGGACGAGTGAGATGCGCGACCAGCGCGATGCGTGCTTCGTGAGGAGGTGGATGATGGAGGTGGCGAGCTTGCGCGTGTCGGGGTCGAATTGCTTGAATTGGTCGGGTGCAACGAGGGAGATGGACAGGGGCTGCGAGGCGGAGCGCGTGAGGAAGAGTATGACGGCATGGACACGCGTCGGGGATGTGGACGGGCGTAGGGAGACTTTGAAGGCGGCCCAGAGGCGTGGGTCGGTGATAGCGACGTGTCTCCATTCCTGGCAGACTTGGGTCAGGAGGTAGGCGCCGGAGTTGGGCGATATGTCAGGGTCTTCGCTGGAGGGGAGAGTCGCTGCAAATATTTGGCAGAGCAGCTCGGGTGGGACTCGGACGATGCACGGGGTGGATGACATGGTGGTCAGGGAGAACCGCGATTGAGGAAGCAGACCCTGCTTGCTATGACGTGCCATTGTTATCTTATCTCGTGGTGGTGCCAAAACACGTGACTGAGCACGCCATAGCACGCCATCGTCTGAGTTTGAAGCACCGTATATAAACCCTCCAAGGACGCGTCGCGTTTCTCTCTCCTCACGTCCTACACCCATCTACGCCTTCTCCTCGTCCCTCCGTTCCCTCTCGCGCTCTGGACGTGTCATTTGTCGTGGACATCGAGCTTATCACCTCATGGTCTCCCTCCTATCAAATTCAACCTCCGATTATGGTGATGTGGTCTGTGCACTCTGGTTCCTCATTGGCGGGCATGCTTGTGTGCGAATCTGGGGACTGTTCATTGGAGCTTCCCTCGCCGTCCACATCCCCAGCACCTTCGGATCTACCTGGGCCCGCGTGACGTTCCACAAGACCCTTCCATTCCGCCTTTTTACGCTCGGCAGACGGCGTCCTGCTCTTCGCGACATATTTCAATGACACGCTCGCAGGGGTCCTACTTCCTTATCGCGTCTGTTTGGTAGTTACCCTTTGCTTTTGTACGTCCCGTATCACCGCACCACAATCCTATAAATTTGCCCCCGCTTTCGAGTCAGCTCCCCAGCAAATTCAGTTTTTTTGCGCCCTCCTCTCAACTCAGAAATGCACTACTCGTCCTCCTCTTCAAACGGCTCGTCGAGATCTGGCTCCCCAGACACTCGTGCGACCACCCCGCCTGCGTCCTCAGAATGCTGCGACTCGCATCTCCCTGCGAGCTACGTCCGCATTCTGGCTTCCTTGCCCTCCAGTTCAACACTGGAGGCGCTCTTTGAGAAGCATGCGTCCTGTGGACGCTTGGGACTTGTTATCGACGACGATGCGCAATTTGCGACCGACGTCGGTCAGGAGGAATGGACCAAGGTCGCCGACCCTGTAGAGCACTTTGTGTCCAAGTCGTACGCACCCACCGGATCTCAACCTGTTCGTTGCCCACCGTCAGATCGTACAGTATGCCGCATCCTGACCCCCAAGACATAGATTTTGGCTACTGACCCCATTCAAGCCGGCCACTTGCATCTCTTCTCCCTTGCCTCTCTTCGTTCTGTCTTCTCAATCTCGCTCAATGCCCACAGCACCCTCCACGTCCTCGAGAAGCCTGCCTTTTCCTATTTACCTCTCACCTATACCACCGCCCGCAGTCTCGCGCCGTCTGCCGATGGCAAGTCGGGCAACATACCCTCCGTCGACGACTGGAAAACCCTCTGGGCCAACTGGGATCTCATCACCCTCAAGATGATCCCTCCGTCGATGCTGCACCAGAAACCCATCGACTTGCGCCACAAGTGTCTTTTCTACATTGGACATATCCCAACGTAAGTGCCCCCTAGCTTAGCATTGTTCGAGAGTTATTCATACTTGTGCTGTTGATAGGTTCTTGGACATGCTCATCTCCAAGTCCATTGGAGGAGAGGCTACAGAGCCGAAGTGGTTCTGGAAAATCTTCGAGGTAGTGCCCCCCCCCCCCCTTTTCTCGACCCCTTTTATACTCACTTATATCCTTCAGAGAGGTATCGACCCACACGTCGATGATCCGAACCACTGCCACGTACGTCTTCCTCTCCTTCATCCTCTTTCTTCAACACCTCAACTCACAACGGCCTATCTATCATCCAGAACCACTCCGAGGTCCCAGAGAAGGACGAAGACTGGCCAACGCTCGAGTCGATCATGAGCTTCCGGGACGGCGTCCGCCGGCGCCTCCTGGCGCTGTACGACGACCTCGCGAGCGGCCGCCGTGTCCTCACGCGGAACATCGCGCGCACGCTCGTCATGACGCATGAGCACGAGGGGTGGCATATCGAGGTCAGTGTCTTATAGCCGCTGTTAATTCTCAAGACACTTTACTTACGCGTTCTTCTGTAGACCCTCCTGTACATGCTCATCCAACGCGCGGGCAGCGGCACCCTCCCGCCTCCAGGGTTCACAGTACCGCCCTGGTCCGCCCTCGCCGACCAGTGGGCCCTCACACCTCCGCCCTCCACCCCAACCGTGCTCTTCCCCGCGCAGACGCTCGTCATGGGCCACGACGACTCCGAGGCGGACGATGGGAAGGATGACGCTTCCGTTCCTCAGCAGCAAAGGGAGGATGTGCGTGGGAGGACGTTCGGATGGGATAATGAGAGCCCGAGGAGGGAGGTGCAGGTGGGGAGTTTTAGGGCGGAGTGGAGGCCGGTGACGAATGGGGAGTTTGAGCTGTTTTGGAGGGAGCAGGAGGGGAAGGTGGGGTTCCCACCGAGCTGGGTGCAGGAGGATGGGGCGGTCAAGGTTTGTCTCTCTTTTTCGCTTGGTGGGTAGTTTCTGATAAATATATGGTCGACAGGTGCGCACAATGTACGGCCTCGTCCCGATGCATATCGCCGAGCACTGGCCTGTGCTGACCGCGTACGACGACCTTGCGGCGTATGCCCGCGCCAAAGGCGGCCGTCTCCCGACGGAGCCTGAGCTCCGCCTCTTCTTGGACTTGTACGATGTCGGCCACGAGGGCGGTGCGAATGTGGGCTTCAGGCACTGGCATCCTGTTCCGTAAGTCTCTTCTTCGTCCTTTAATAGAATAGTATTGACATATGCTTCTTGTAGAGCGACGATGGGCCTCGACAAGTGTGGCGGCAAGGGCACGAACGGCGGCGTCTGGGAGTGGACCTCGACTTTGTTCGACACCCATGACGGGATCGTACCAACCAAGCTCTTCACTGGCTACTCGGTCGACTTCTTCGACACTAAGCACCATGTCGCTGTACGTCTCATTCACCCTTTCCTTCCTGATACCCCTCCTCATTGATTGTCTCTGATCCATGTGCAGCTTGGCGCCTCGTATGCTACCATCCCTCGTCTTGCTGGCCGCCGCACCGTCAGGAATTTCTACCAGCACAACTACCCATATCCTTGGATCGGTGCCCGAGTCGTCTATGATGTCTGAGCCTCCTCATCTTGTATTACAATGCTTTATATATGTACTAGTATCTACGTGTCCGTCTGTACGATAATTTAGTTGAAAAAATGGGTATCCCATTTATACGAGATCATTGGAACGAGTGCGAGTGCAAGGTACAACATCATGATGGAGTAGTGTGAGGGTAGGAAAAAGGCAGAGCTAAAGGAAAGTAGCAACAACAGCGAGGAATCTACGAAGTGTCAAGCAAGTAACGCCACATCCCGAAGAGAATGTTCACAAGGAAGCCAACGACGAGGCCCATTGACATACGCCGCCTACAAGACTCAAGTCAGGCCCCCTGCATCGTCGGCCTTGAATCGAGGCTACTTACGAGAATATCACGTTCGACGTGGGCTCTTGCTCGCTGCCATCTTCCCAAAATACAGGCGGCTTCTGCGTCCGTATGAAGAAGAACGGGATGAACGGGAAGAAGAAACCCATGAGCACGCCTTGGAGAACGGTCGAGCTCGATGAGTTGTTTTGTGAGAGGGCGGCTGAGCCAGCGTTGTCCATTGAGTCGATCCATTGTTCTTCGAGGGCGCGAGCGTGTTCGTCATCTGTTTGGTGCGAGTTTAGTGCGTGAGCAAGGTAACTAGGGAAGGGTGAATAAACGGAGGGGAAGGGAAGGACTGACATTCTTCTTCAGTTGCGAAGTCGTCGTCGAGGTAGTTTGCGGAGGATTGGCTGTGGAATTGCCGTCTGAAGTTCTCAATGTCGTCTTGGGAGAATCCGACAGAGGCAAGTCTATCGAAACCTCGAGCGGGTTGGATTTGGGCGGTCTAGTATTACTTTTCGTCAGAATGTTGAGACCACAAAGAGCGAATGGACGCACTTGAGGCTTGCTATCGTCCTCCGCTTCTCCAAGTGCCAGCTGCGGTCCAACAGAACAATGAATCCAGGTCGTGGCGGATTTAACTGCGGCGACGCTAGCATGGTCGGTCTTTACCCGTTTCTGGCGTTCCTCCAAAGATGTAAGAAATGTGTAGAGAAGTGTGCCGTCGGTAAGCAGCCGTCCAGAGTGGATAAGTCGTAGTCGGTGGTTCTGCAGCCCAGGTCGTATATCTCTAATCTGCGCAGTCGCAACGAAACGTATTCGTTGTCAGTACACACAGTATAAATATGAGAACGGCGTTGAAGAGTTACAACGCACATGTCGCTTGACATCCCGCACGGTATCCTGCTTGCTAACGGAGAGCGTGAGGTCAGGCGCCCCCTCGGTGAACCGCACGACGAGGTCTCGTGGCTTGTCCTCGGCTTGTGTGCTCGGACCCTCCTCGACCTGGTCGTTGGTCGGAGGCTCGACTGCCCGCTGCTTTCCTTTGGCCTTTTCGCTGAGTTGCATGTCCATGGGTCGCATTTTAGTCAGATGTCGGGATCGTCGTTGGATTTTCTTCTACCTGGGTCCTGCTGCGACGCGCGACCTTGGAAGTCAGGAAGCAAGGCTTGGAAAGCAGCCGGCGCGGCGGGAGTGATCTTCCCGTCTTCGCTTACATAACCAACCCAACCACTGATTGTAGTGACTCGGACTTTGTGGCTCTTGCATTTCGCCACCATGAGCTCCAAAGTCTCCTTCACTGTTCGTCGCCCAACGCCCGTATCACGGGCAACTTCCTCAGGGCCCGACTCCGACGCAGGATCGTCCTTCAGAGTGCCGTCGATCCCCCGCCATCTCACCAACACCAACGGTGACTCTGCACTCGGTAGCCCTCTCGCACGAAGCGAAACCTCCTCTCCTCACCCCGACGCCCAGTATGACTCCAGTGACGAGGACAGCGTCGTCGAGGACGAGCTTGTGACGGGATTTGATAAATTCGGGGTTCAGCGGTGTGTTTCTTCCGTTCCTCGCAGGTTGCAGTTGTTTCAACTCACAAAAGCCCCACACGATGGCAGGAAAAATGGGATTGTGAAGAAGGTTGACAAGCCGCTCGTTATACCTGCTTTGAAGAATAAGGACTGGAGGGCCCTTGCTCGCAAGCGCCGATCTGCGGCTCAGTATGTGCCCACGTCTGCTGCTGCCCCGACTGGCGCAGACGGGAGTGTTGGCGGCCTGGGCACCAGAGATACAATTAACTCTGGCCCTGTTCTCTCTGGACTACAACTCAAAAAGAAGCTCGTTAAGACTGAAGAAGATGACACTGTCATGCAAGAGGCGACAGAGGATGTCGAGATGCAAGCTGTCGAGGAAGAAACAGAAGACCAAAAGGCCCTCCGAGCAATTCTTGCCGCGGCCAGTGGAGAAACTCAACAGGAAGGGCCTGTAATCGACATTATACCAACTCCCATCTCTGAAGCTGACGCTCTGAAGCAAGACGTCGACGAGCTTCCCGATGTCGCTACCCTCGAAGACTATGCCCGTGTTCCGGTATCTCAATTCGGTGCAGCCCTCTTACGAGGAATGGGTTGGAAAGAAGGCACTGCTGCCTCTCGCAAACCGGGCAAAGGCATCGTCGAGCCTTACCTACCAACCGCACGTCCTGCGCTCCTGGGAATTGGTGCGAAGGAGCAAGAGATTTACGACGACGGAAGCAAGAAGGGGAAAGGCAACAGACGGGCGAACCAGATATACGTCCCTGTGTCAAGGCAAGAGCGCCCTGACAGTCGGAATGGGTCATCGCGTGAGGGCAGAGATCGCTCGCGCTCACCCCGACGCTCAGCTGTCTCGTCAAGGCGGGCTTCTCCTGACCGCCACGGAGGGCGTAGCGAGAGGAACGGAGACGGTTCTCGATACGACAGTGATCGTGACAGAGAAAGGGACAGGGAGAGACGAAGAGATGGCGATAGAGATCGAAACAGAGATCAAGATACCAGTCGGCGCCGGGATGAGAAACGAAGAGATGATGACAGGGATAGGCACCGCGACGACAAACGGCGAGGCGATCGTGACGAACGCCAAAGGCCAGACCGTAAGAGAGACCGTTCTTGAGACGCTACTAGAAAGAGAGACTACTGAACATTATTCCGCCTGGCTTTCCAATAATGAAGCTGTATACTCGTATGTGGCATGTCGTATGTGGCATGTATAGTTAGCCGTAGCTGTACTTCATCCTTTTGGTTTGCGAACACGTATGGTTTCATATGTAGAAGCGTTTCTCACTTGCTTTGAATTCAAGTTACATCTTGGCATACAAATACTGGGTACATGCGAAATGTCGATCAGCGATGCTGCAGACTACTCCCTCTCAATGTCACCTCCCTGCCACCTCCTGTGTTCTACCTACTTTCGCGCGTCAGGTATGCTCCACAGCGTCGTGCTGTTAGAACCATGCGGCAGGGGGTCGTGGCCAGTGATGGTGTACATGCCTATTGGAGGGTGGTCGAGCTGGTCGAGCACCGAAGACCAGTCAGGAGGCGGACCACCCTCCACCGGCCGGTATATTGTCGGAGGAAGGGTGGTCAGGGTGTCTTCGCTGAACGCGGACGAGACTGCATCGTCGTCGTCATAGCCGTTCGCTCCGTGGTGTTGGTGGTGTGAGCTATGGCGCCTGGACTTCGATTTGCCCTTCGACTTCAAATGTCCGTGCGAGTGCGAGTTGGCCGTCGGTCCCGCGGTGCCTGTCGACGGTCCAGCAGAGTAAGGGTCGCTCTCCGCGTATATCCCGCCGCCGTAGCCGCCGGGCATCCCCTCTCCTTCGTGATGCGAATACTGATCGGGCATTTCGTCTAGCGTCGGCAGCGGTGCACGGTACGACCCTCCTGGGCTTGCCGTTGTTGCATTCCTTGAGCGAAGCGATTCGGTTTTGTTCGAGGTGGGAAGCGACTATTAAGATTTCATTATAGAGTATTAGTTTCGTGGAGTTTAATTGGAGGTAGAAGTTATATTACGGGAGGCTGCACGGATATTTCTGGTGCAGTGCTGGTTGAATTTCGTTGGGATTGATGAGGGTGCCTGGAGGAGCCTGCGTGGCTTGCTCTTGAATGAGGACGTTCGCTTCGTGCATCGGCTGGTACTTGTCTGGACGAACCAGCATAGCTTGCTCGAGATCGTGGTCGTTCGCTGTGCGTGTCGAGTGGTTCCTGGTGCACTGAAGGGGCGTGAGCACTACCCGGTCGAATAGAATTTCCGCTCTACAAATTCACTATGTAAGTCACTGCATGAATGGCAAAAGTGGTTTGAAGAAAGCTACCAAAGATGGTTGGTGCCGAATACTGGTGTCTCCATTGACCGATCGGGGTAGTGGGCTGGCTGTATGCGAACTACTGACTTCCTGGATAACGGACATGGGTGTCCGCGCAGTGGTAGCAAAATTCAGAATGTCAAGGTGAGAAAGAGAGCTCGAAGAATTAGATCCAGATGAAGAATGGCGTCTATGTTGTCGTTTGCGATGATGAGGGGTATTAGCACTGCCTGGGGCGGGTATCGGTATAGGTTCTTGGCTGCTGTCGGATAAGACTGGAAGCTGTGGTGATGCTGGACGTTCGGGTGTTCTGACAAACTCGTGAGGAGGCGGTAAACCAATCCTGTTGTCCGCACCCAAAGTTGGGATATAATTATCAGGGGGTAGATGATGCGAAAAACGTGGTGTTGGGGTGGTATTCCGTAGACTTACAGGCCTGATTTGTTCAGAGCCTGCGACACTGGGTGGAGCCGAGGGTACATGTGTTGGTGGTCGGCTGGGTAGAGGAGATGGGACGGGAAGAGGAGAGCCGCGGGGCCGGATGACTGAAGCGTTGGAGCGGATGCTAGGTGCGACAGAGTGTGGGCGGACTGGATTTGCGGGCTGTGGCTCCGGTATACGTTGGGGAACTGGTTCTGGCTCTGGTTCCAGAGCAGATGCAGGTCGGCTCCCTTCCGATGAGAAGTCATCGTCGAATCCAAGCATGTCTGGTCGGCCTCGTTGCGGTTCACGCGGTTCATAAGGTGTGTCTGGGTCGTCACCGAGAGTGAGATGCCTGCCTCTTTGCAGACCCTCTTGAAGGCCTATCTTGTAGGCTTCATCGCGGGCTAGCTGGACCATGATCGTTTCGTTCAGTTGACGCGCTTTGGTTCGATTCTTCGCGGCCTCTTGTTCCGCCTGATACCTCTGTCTATCGACGATTTGAATGACATCCTGGGCTCTGTATATCTCCTTCTGCGCAGTCTCCAGCTGGATTTTGTACACACTTAATGGGGTGTTCGTGAGCTGAACGTTAACGAGATATCGGAAAGAATAACGAACTTGAGCTCCTCTTTCGCTTGGGCGGCATCGTGCATTGCCTGAATTCTCGCGTCATTTATAGACTTTAGATGAGCGGTCACCTCCTGTAGCTTGCTCTCAGCATCATTTGCACGCTGCCTCTCGTAGTCAAGTTGTGTCCGCAATTGCGCAATAGCTCTTATCGTGTCTTCGTAAACCTCGCTGTGCTTCGACACGCGTCTTGAGCGCTCGCGAGAGTCAGTGCTATCGGCATCTGAGCTTGTACGGTGTCGGCGTGTAGAGACTGTACGAAGGGACTGTGTCGTAGGCTGTGCTGTCGGAAACTCTGGGGGAAACTCTGGCAATGGAGGAGGATCTTGGCCAAGTGGGTCAGAGGGCATTGGGTTGGTTGAACCCCAAGGTTCAATTTGGTTTATATTTAGTCGAGGCTCGGTTGTGGCTGTACACTTGATGGCTTCAACAACGACCACCATGAACGACGATCTGCTCGAAAATCCAAACCACTCACAGTCCCTCGAAAATGACCTGCCAACTGTCTGCATAACTTCATTTGGTCACAGACGAGGCCCCTTAATGCCAACTCCTGATCTCTCTTTTGACTTGCGCACTTTACCAAACCCTCCAAAGAACGTCCGAGATGGGCATACTGGTCTCTCGAAGCATCTAAGAGACTGGCTCTTCTCAAACGAAGAAGTTCGAAGCCGCTTCAGTGGTATCTGCAACGTAATCCAGGCGCGCCTGCAGGATGTGCAGCGAGACGGCGAGCAAGAAGTAACCGTTGGCATCTGCTGCCAACTGGGAAGACACCGTAGCGTAGCCGTTGTTGAAGAATTGGGCCGAACGCGCTTCGATGGCTGGAACGTCGTTGTTGCCCATAGGGATGTCCGTCTTAAACATTCTCCACAGAGGGAGAGACGACGGCGTGGGCACGCTGAAGTTGAGGAAGGGCATTGAAGGCAAGTCTCTCCAACTTCTATCATCGCTAAAAACAGCGTCTGATTCTACATATCCGCTTATAGGTTACATACAAGTACACTGGCACTCGGAATTCTATGCTACTGACTGCTACATGAATGGCCGCTTCGCTATAAGCCCATATTCATACGTCGTACAAGATGTATGTCAACAGTGCGGGTATCGCTGTAAGGTATATGCGTTTCACAACTGTGAGTTTGTATTACTTCGTATCAGTCGTCACCGGTTCATCTGCAATTGGTCGACCTTTGTCAACCCTCGTAGCATTGCCACTCGGCTGGTCAACTAACTGCTGGTAGTTCTTCTGCTCAGGAGTTGGCTCAATTGGTAGGAGGGTTGGCTGCTTCGTCGGTGTCCGTCGGATTCGATATCGCTTCCAAAGACAGATGGTTGCAATTATAACCAGAAATCCTCCAACCACTAAATTGGCAAGAACGAGTCAGTCAGACTATCTGACCACTCCGTCAACGAGGCTAACTCACCGCTGAAGAACACGATCACTGTAAGTATCGTTCTTCTACGCGTCGCTGCAGCTCTGACATTCGGTGGACACGAAACAGTCTGAGATCTGTGAATCATCCTCAGCGTTAGTTGTCTCATCAAAGGCATCGATACGCACGTCAAGCTATCTACGCATCTGGTGCTGAAGCCGCTCGAGTAGACGATCACATTCGACCCACTTCCTCCACTTGCAGATTGAGGGCCGGATTTCGAGTTAGAGCTTGAGCTCTTTCCGCTAGAACTAGAACCCTTGCCGCCTCCTTTTGCATAGGCAGTAGAGATGATCGAGAGAATCAGTCCCAGTAGAAAGGTTTCGGTCATTGTTAAGGAAGAAGGAAAGAGCTGGGCCCGAGTCGAACGAAGCTATGATTTTATAGGTTCTGGTGCTGTGGCGGGATAGTTGAAATTCCAATTTGCTAGTGGAAGCGGTCGTGGACAGCCTTGTTCCACGCGGGCGCTTGTGTATCCAAAAGGTATCCGATATATATGCTACTATAGCACTGCCAATAAAACCAGGACAGACGTGATAAGAGTCAGAATATACCTCGACGGATAGGAAAGTAGTACAGCTCTGTCAGGGTACTGGGAGAAGGTAAAAGGTTGTGGAATGACAAAAGCTGAGAGCTCTTAAGCCGCTGTATGTCCTTGTCGGTTGATGGCCATGATATTGGACAAGAACGCTGTGACAAGCACACCCACAGTGTGCACAACTAAGTCAAATTTAGAATGAAAAGGTGCGGTGTGGCAGAGGTATGCCTTCTTACAGTGCTCCAGTGCGCGTTCAGTGCCTTAACACCTTTCGAATTTCATGGGCGCTAATTGAAAAAGGATTTTAATCAAATGCTTTATTACTTATATTAGCCAATAATACAAGGACCAAAATAGCCTCTTCTTCCCACTCAGTCGTCTAGTGATTTCATCCTCGCTCGCTTCGTCCTCTTGTCCCTCTTCATGGTATTCATCTCTATATAGGTCTACGGTGCCCACATCCACAAGGTCTAGGTAACGTGTGGTCTTCTTCGTGGGTGCCGCAGGTATACTTGGGTCGGATAGGAGAGGTTCTGTAGATGATCCCGGAGGTACTGGTGTAGCTGCATTCCGAAGCAGAATCCAGCCAAGCAACATAATGCCCATGACGGGAACCTCAATGTAGAACGAAATAAAGTCGGACGGCGAGAATCTTGGGATTACAGAGGACCATCCTTGTACTGTAGACCTGGGTCAGAGAGTGCTTGTGAAGGAGGCCTCTTGACTTACTCAGGATGAGAGTAGAAACTGCAAGAACCTAGACAGTTTCTCCATTAAGCAATTTTCACTCACGAAGTGCCCCAAACATTCCACGTACCACGAACGGCGGTCCCCAAGGCCAGGTCCAGGACGCCCGATATTTAAGTTCCGTCAAGGACCGCCCTTGCTTGATCCATGCTCTGCGGAACCGCCAACTGGACAGGCCAATTGAAAGCCAGGCAATCTAAAGCATGTTTTTATGTAAATAAGGACGGACCTGGGTTGCAGGAGAAACGAACCTGGTTCGAAACACCAACAATGTTCTGTAACCATCCCCAGAGCTCCCCAGTCCCGATAAAGCTCGTCCCAAAACATAGGGCGCTCACGCTGCTGGTCATGAGGAGCGCGGGTATCGGCGTCCCTACCGACGTGGTCCAAGCAAATATCTTCGGCGCTTGAGGAGGATTAGTCACAGACAATCCTGCCGCGACAAGTTAGAGTCAAATCACCATTGTAGCTAACGAGAATTACTAACCGTAAAGGACTCTCGTCCCCGCAAACAAGGCGTGGTTGCCGGCGGAAAGGACGGATGTCAGGATCACGCTGTTCATGAAGGAGGCAGCCGCGGCTGTAAGGACGATTACTATTAGCGAAAGCCATGCGAGTTGGAAGGGCTCATGTACTTGAGCCGGCTTGTTTAAACACAATGGTAAAAGGCGATGTCGTTGTACTCCTATTTGATAGGTTTGGATAGTCCCATGGGACTGCTCTTGGTCAGTTGATGATCATCGAACGGGCACAAGATGCCTTACCATTGAGCCCAATGAATAAGATGGTGAATATATAGAAAATCATGATCCTGGATTATGGCGTCAATGGGTAGACGAACAAAGCTTGGCTGAAAACAACTGGCCTCCAGAAAACTAGATTAACCACTCTAGGCATGTTCTTTGACGGGTTCTTCGTCTCTCCTGCTGTGATGCCGAGACTCTCAGTGCCTCCAACTACGGTTCGAAGTGAGTCTTGGGTCTAGATGCTCGATTTATGATTTGCTACGCACAAGCAAAGCTTGCGGTAACGAAAACCCTCGCGAAGCCTCCAAAGCCTCCTGCAAACGGTGCGCCGGGTATCTTCCAATTAGCGAGGCCGATAAATCTGTGTTCCGTGTTGACACCCAAGTTGACAAGAGTCCCAAGAATTATGAATAGAACGACTGTGAAGACTTTGAGGGACGAAAGCCAATATTCTACGGCAAGATCTCAGTATTCTGTTTCTCCTAAAGCATGAAATCCTTACCTAGTTCACCATAACCTCCCACATGGAGAGCATTTACTCCGACTAGGAAAAGCCAAAATACAAGGCTGACTATCCAAGCATTCTCGACGTCCCAGAACTGGAGCACGATTTGGGCGGCGGTAAGGTCAGACGCGACAGAGACGGCATCGTTGAACCAGTAGTTCCACGCCAGAGCAAATCCATATGAGGGCGAGAAAAAGCGAGTCGTATACGCATTGAAAGACCCTGCGACAGGGTACTGTGTCGCCATTTCGCCGAGGAGGAGCAGGGTGATATAGACGATAAAACCGACAATGCTGTAGCAGATGAGCATGCTCGCGGGTCCACCCTGTGCTAGAGAGCGGCCTGTCCCAAGGAAGAGACCAGTCCCTATCGTTCCAGCAATGGCAATCATCTGCACTTGACGCGCAGAGAGACCACGCTGAAGGCCAGTGTGTCTGGGAGCATGGCCTGCGTTTTCGTCGATGTCGGTTGGCTCTGCAGCACGTATGGATCCATAGTTGGCTGTACTAGAGTCCAACAAAGTCGTTGAACTCGCTGGTTTGCTCATGCTGACGCGGTGAAAGGTGCATGGAGGTCGTGGGGGCGAGGAGGCATATAGACTGGTGGCTCCTGGTTGGGTAAGATCTCATTGAAATGACGCAAAAGGCTCCTTATGGAAACCCGGTCCGGAGCTTAGACGCGAAAAGTGAGCAACAAGGCTTGCATTAATTTTCGACTGCAGGTACTGTATTATAAAGGTCCAGTAGGAAAGAGGGAATCAATACGGGAGCGGGGTACTAGAACTAGCGCCAAGATAGACAACCAGCATTAAATAAATACTAACCACCCAATTGAAAAATCCACGAAAAATTGAAGTCAGGGTCCTTGACCTTCGATGGGTCTGTCCATTATGCAATGTTGATTTAGAGCAGTTGCTTCCATCCAGAGTCTCGAGCCTTCTTGACAAGACGCTTAACCTCTTGCGAACGAGCGCGAGTCGTCACCAGAAGTGTATCAGGCATGTCCACAATGACCAGGTCGTCAACTCCCAGACAGGTGATGAGACGCCCGGATCCTGGAACGACGATGCCTCCTGCCACTTGTTCCGTGAGGACTAGAAAGTGTTCGTTAATCACTACGACAATTTGCTCACGAAATGATCATACCAAGATGAGCGTCTCCTAGGATACGAGGTTGACTGGCCTCTGCCGGCAATAGGTCAGCAAGTGAGGAGAAGTCGCCAACATCGTCCCAACCTGTTCAACATATGATCAATGACAATATACTTCATGACAATGAGGGCATTGAGGGCGTGATTGCTCACCGAAAGTTGCGGGGACCACGGCGACTCTGCCTTCCGCAGCAGCAGGCTCCGCGACGGCATTGTCGATGGGAATCTTCTCCAAGGTCGGCCAGACTTCACTAAGAACCTGCTGGCGCAGAGTTTCGTTGTTCCAAGCCGCGGCTATTTTCTTCAGACCCTCTGCAAGGTCGGGCTTGTACTCGCTCAGGAGGTCGAGAAGAACGGTGGCCTTCGTCACGAACATACCAGCGTTCCATCGGTACGCACCAGTACCAATGTACTGAGCAGCAGTCCGTGCATCGGGCTTCTCCTTGAAACTGGACACAAGGCGGGCATTTGGCGCCTCCTTCATCCCCAGCTTATCCCCGAGACGGATGTAACCAAATCCAGTTGACGGGTGAGACGGCGCGATACCTATTGTGACGAGGTAGCCTTTCTTCGCGACTTCGACGGCCTCCGCGACTGCAGAGAGGAAGGCTTCGTCGCCGGAAATCATATGATCAGCAGCAAAGGAACCAATGACGGCATCTGGATCGCGGGTGGCGAGTACCGCAGCGGCGAGACCAATGGCGGCCATCGAGTCCTTAGGACCGGGTTCACAAAAGAGGTTGTCTACAAGGAGGTCCGGAAGCTGCTCATGAATGCTCTTGACGTGTCCCGGACCTGCGACGACAGTGGTGCGTGCGGCAGAGACGAGGGGAAGAAGACGGTCCCATGTAGCTTGAATGAGAGATCGGCCTTTGAGAGTCAGGTCAAGCAAAAATTTCGGATGACTTTCGCGCGAAAGGGGCCAAAGGCGCGTTCCAGCACCGCCAGCTGGAATGACGACATAGAATCCTGGAATGTCGCGGTTGGTGTATGGGAATGCGGTAAGGGAATTATCGCCTAGTGGAGACGGACGGTAGTAGGACGTATCAGGGGAGGTTGTAGTGATGGCGGGAATACTATGGTTGAGAAAGGGCGATAGTTTGGGCCGTAGCTGCGGGCTAGGAGGGGCTGGCGTCATGAACCCTGGGGTACCGTTTCGAGAATTATACATGTTGTACTGCCTTTCGGTTAGGCCGAGCCACGAGGGCGAAAGTGGGCGTGCATACCTGGAGACCCTCGCGGACCTGGCGCTCCAGAGAAGCATTTGCCAGCCTCAGCTCGTGGCACTCTTGCCTGAGTTCCGCAATGTCGCGGTGCTACATATAACCCAAGCTCTTGAGCTGAAATGAAAGCATGCAACATTCCGACGCGACTGACCGACTGGTGAACAGCATGCATGATTTGCTGGAACATTGCCTCGACAGTAAAACCGCTGCCAGAGCGCTGGTGGGAGCCCTGGGGGACATGGTCTACAGCGAAGATACCAGCGGTGGACATTGTCGCTGGGAGAAACGAAGAACGATGTTGGGAGCGTGTGCAAGGCGAGGAACTAAAATAACACCCGACTGCTTTCCTCAATTATATCCTCTTTCGGCAATAGCCGACCTGCATCCAGGCAAGCCTCCGCCCACTAGCCCTCAGGCTCCCAAGGCCCCCGGTTGGAACTCGCCACAGGGCATTCGGAATAATCATGGTATCCCTGTTTCCCCACCCCCTAGTCTCCCCGGACTACGCAGATTTATTGGGCGGCTTGCAGTCACCGGTCGTGGTCGTTCTCTCGCATCTTTCAATCAGTCAATCCAACGACGAACGTGTTCGCACATGTCTAAACTTGAGAAGGATACGTGTCACTTCAGCTATGGTATCAGATATTTTAGTGCAAAACGCCTAGTCTGTATCTGCCGTACTCCTGCAGGGCAAGGTATTAGCCGCACCTAGGCGATAGACCTGAATTAGCGGCCATTTGTCGCCAGAAACATCGAACACCCAATTTATCAGTCATCGTCACTTCCGAATTCAATGGCTTGGTACTTTCGCGCCTTTTTGTTTGGGTTTGCAAGAGAGGCGCCTTTGTGGTGTCTCACCGGAGCAGGAGCAGGTTCTGTCAAAATTCATAACAGGCGTCAGTTCTCCCGCGATGAATGAACGACCAGATAGATTACTTTGTGCTGGAGATGGACCTCTCTTCGAGGCCTGCAACTGCGACTTCAGAGCTTTAATTTCTGCCTGAGCAGCTTCGACTTCCGACGACTTCTTGGTCTCTTTATTAACAGACACAGAAGCCTCAGGCCGTTTGCTAGGCCGCTCCGGTTCAGGACCTTCGTGATGCTCTTAATCAACTTTACCATGACAAGTCTCCAGATGCACTCACTTGGCTCTTTACGCTTGGAAGGGCCTGCCACACTATGTGATGTAGTCCGGCTCGTCGTTGCAAACGTCTCTGACACAGCCGGATACTCCGTGGAAGACGAAGGATACAACCGGCACTTCCTCGACTGTGCCTGCAGCGCAATCTGACGACAAATGAACGGAATCGTGAGCACTCTAGAAGATCCTTTCATTCGGGGTTCCACACCCATGACATACATCAATAAATATGCCAGTCGCGAATGCAGCTCCCTCTTCGGGCGACATTTCAACTAGATCGACGTGCATAGGCTTCTTGGACGCCGGACCAAGAGTGAACTAGACAGGAATTCTCCCTAGTCAGTCAAAGCCCATCACGGACCCAAGGTCACTTGAGCCTCCAATCCACTCTACCCACCTTGATTTTCGCACCTTTCTCGGCGCTCCATTCACTTATACACAGCTCTCCTTGAATGAAGACCTCGGCAAGCTTCTCGGCGAAGGATTCGAGTAGTTTGTCCGACGATTTCGAGCCCTATAAGGAAGAAAGAAAGAATCCAGAGGGGGTTCGTTGAGCATTCGTTAGCCTGCCGCCAGCGCCGATGAGATGCAGACAAATATCTGACGGATGTCGTCCTCTGTCCAGCACCCGCGCCACCACCGCCCCTCGCGTCCCGCGAGCCCCACGTGGATGTTCCATTTGTTGTTTGAGACGGTGGAGAGTACGACGAACTTGTAAATGCTCTGGTAGATGACTTGCGTGAGTTCGTCTAGGCAGCTGAAGTTGGACAAGGGATCTTCAGACATGGGATCTTTGATAGCTCAAGGCAGCTGACTTCGGCTTGGAGGTCAATCTTCGGATGAAACAGAGACCAGATGGTCGTGGTTCTCAAGGAAGATCGTGTGTGCCACTGTGGCACGTCAACCAAATTCGGTAGACGCGACAGCCGAGCACGTGGGCCATACTTTACCCCACACTTCGTCGGAGTGTGGGTGGCATTCGTCGAAGAGGCCAAGAAATGAACGACAACTGTCATGAAACCAACCAAAAAAATTTCAGTTACACGTAGCTACTTGTCTATAAATACAAATACAACAAAGCACGAATAGCGAATCCATATAGCTCATGACCAAAAATTAGACTGTTCTCTAAGGTATCGACTTAAAAGCAGGATTACACAAGATATACAGGATCGGGATTGCCACGCGTTGGAGCATGGGACACTCCGGAGGGAAAGGATATCAGGCATCGGGGAGGGGCACGGGGCACCCGTTGCATGGTGCCCTCAGACAAGGTTGCTGATCGCCAGGTTTTGCCGGATAACCATATCCTTCACTGTGAAGGAAACGCCATCATTAGTGAAAAATTCTTTCATGAGACCAGAGTGAGAAACGAACCGTTCACGAGGATATGTCGAGTCGAGCTGGAGTCCTAGGGAACGCAAAAATGGTCAGAGGACCTCCATATGATCCGAGGAAGCACGCTCTTACAGTCATCGATGTGAGATGGCAGTAGAAGATGCGTTGGGTTTTGGAGTGTTGCTTGTACAACAACGCTTGATCGGGGAGCTCAACGGGTTATCCAAACAGACGATAGATAATGATACATACCGAATTTTTTTCGTAGGTCTGGAGTGACGTCAATGAAAATTTGTAAGAGAGTAGAATGGAAAAGGACGAACAATTTGACGCGGGCTCGTATTCATTCGGCCGCTGCCCATAGGAGACGACGTAGTCCGCGAAGCGGATCGTCTCAAGCTTGGCTAAAATTCAAAATGAGCAAACTTCAAGAAGGAAAAGCGCAGCCCAATCACCTTTGAAAAGATCAATCTTGTTCAAAAACAGAACGATCTGAGTGTCCTTCAATAACGGATTCGAAACAACATGCTTCCACAACAATATGGAGTCCTCCTAATAGAGCAAAAGAAGCTGTTAGACATCCCAGAATCCTACGTCAGATGATAGGAAGCTGACTCACTAGTTTGTTGACGGTGCGGTCTTCTAAGAGTACCTAGCGACCTCAAGTTTGATTCCCATCTTCCCGGGGCGAAGGGTGGTGACGAAGCTCACCTCATCGAATCCAGATATCGGCGCCAAAAATATTATCGCATCCAAGTCGTCGAAATACGGCGCCCAAGCAGCTAGAATGGAGGTTTAAAGGGGATAATGCTGAGGAATAACTTCCGCTAACCTCGCTAGAAGAAGAAAAAAACACACAAGGTCGGTCAGGTGTGAGAGTAGAAGAACGATGGCTCTTATCAAAACATACCAAAGACCGCGCTCCTCCTACGTCGTATACCCGCCAGTCGTGACTCAGCATGTTCCCTGTCAAATGGCCTTCGCGATCAGAGTCGAACGGATCCCCATCAGCCGAAGGACCAACCTGCAGCCTTGAGGTCGAACCGATGCTCTGAAACCCCGAGCGTCTTTAGTCTGGCTTTGAGAATATCGTCTACCGCGAAGCCATGTGAGCGTAAAGCGGCCGGCGCAGTTACTATATTTTGCTTACCATCCGTCGGGACGTAGCGAAGCGCCGTTACCCGCTCTATTGAGTCCAGGAAGCTGAAAAGTAAATTAGATCGACCGTACCCGGGCGCAGACGAAGCATGATGACGCACAAGCCCGCCATGTCCTCCAATCTCAGCCTCTGCGCTTTCAACAATTTTTTGACCGTTGGGTCGTTCCAGAGCTGGATGATGTCCTCCGAACACGCGTGGAGGATCACCCCGGGATCGTTCGGGTCGTCGAAGTCAATATCCTGCCCGCTCTCGATGCTTGCGCGAGCCGTCGCAATGAGCCTTCCAAACGCGCCCTTCCACTGCGCGGTCGAGTTTATCGCAATTTCCTTGAACTTCCCCCGATTTCTGTACGGAAGATTTGTCACAGGCGATAGATGCGTCGCTTCGAACTCGGCGGATCCAGCGGGGGTCATCTTGCGTAATAGTGATTCCTCGACTTGCTGGAGCGGCAGGAGGCGCATCCTCAGCTTGAGAAGCTCTGGAGGGATAACGGGAAGTGGGCCCATATTCTCGACGGTGGCGGTTGTTGGACGTGAGGAGACTGAGCCAGGGGAATTTTGCGCGTGTGCATCGTTGATGGTGTCGAGGATGAGTCTGACTGAGCGGACGACGTTGAGCTGGACGACTGCTCTCCATGACGCGCGTTCGTTGCGGAAAGCCTAACGCTGGGGAGTCAGGCGGCCATTCCTGAGGCCATTCATAAAAGCTCCACATTACTTTTGGTGAATTCATCAACTGGAAATCTAGGGTGGAGAAGATAAAGTCAACATTGGAAATAGTGCTATCCCTAAACGCGACTCACTTTTCAGCGTCGTTGATTTGCCTTGTTGCCAGTTAGTAGCTGTTAGATTGCGGAGGGTCGGAGTGTTGAGCATACCTGATTCACTCTGACCTGGACATCGCCAGAAACCGTTGTCAGCGTTCGTTGTCGGCTCGACAATGTGGGGAACGCACCCAGCAATAGTACACGAACCGGCTTTGGGGCCTTCTTGTTCTCCAATCTCTGGCGGTTAATTTCCTCATCGATTGCATCTGAACGCTTCTGGGCCTCTGCTAGCGCAGCGAGACGGGCTTCCCGTTCGGCAGGGGTCTCGTGGTCGGGGGGCGCCAGGGCCTTGGTGAGGGGGTCGTCATCTTCGTTCCCTATGGTCGAGCGACGTCGCAGAAAGCGGGACATTGCGTCGAGATGATAGTAGAGGAACGGGGGAAAGAAGGGAAGTGCGAGAATGCACTATAGTCGGAGGTATAAGAAGAAAGATTGATGGCGTCAGACCCCAATGATAAAGAATGTGCGCTGGAGAAGAAGGGAGGAAGAATGTGCGCTGGTGCCATTGGAGAAAGCTATAAGAGTTTACGAGAGGGGTGCCGAGTGGGAAAGAAGCCGGATCGGACAGGCTTCTCCGCGTCGGGCAATCCCTCTGTCCAATGTGGCTGTCGTCTTCTCCAGGCGTCACCTCTGATGCTTGTCTGGCAGTTCCTTGACGGGAGCACAGATTCGGAGACACCAACCAGGCAGCGCACACCCAGGCTATGTCCAGCGGCAATAGAGTGTTTGATGCGAGTCCCGGTACCCCGTGGGAACATCACTCGAGGTCTAACACTTCGAACCTGCGCTCGCCACACTGTGCTGCCCCAGCCGAGCACTTCACCTCGGGTAGGCGCTCAACAGCGAAGAGATCATCCAGAGTCACAACGTCTCGCCTTCCAGCGTCGCCCGGCATCGCAGAGACCTATCTATATCACACATCTAATCAGACTTCTCTTCTTCCACATTACGCATTCTAGGTCTAAAGGCTCACGAACACCAGTCCTCTGCGTACCTCATCACCGAAAACGCCCCAAGGTACGTACCCGCCTTGTTCTCGCCTTGATTGATTGCCCGCGATCTAACCATGTTTGCTGCAGTCTTTCAACTGACCCAGCAGTCGGTGTGAGATTTCAGTTAATATCTCGTTATGGCCAGAGGCTCTTATTCCTCTTTCACACCGCAACTGTCTTCTTCTGCGCCTAACAACAGGGGTCTGGCCGCGATTTGTCGTGATTTACGCATGAAAGGGATCTCTGTCCATCATTGTGTCTGAGAGCCTAACTATCATGAAGTGTCAACCATTATCCGCCACGCTACATACCGACAGCGCGCATCTCCTTGTCTTCCTCACCTCGGACCAGATGTGATTCCTAACATCAATGCTCTTTGCTTTTATCGGCTCATTCATGTTCAGAGCTCGAAGGATGAAGCCGAGGAACGAGCCTATAATTTCCCTCGCATATTTCGAAACTCAAAAGACTGACCAGCGCTTCCCAAGACAGAAGCTGATGGAGTTGTATTAAAAGTACACAAGAAATAATGTTACAACACTCGCACAGTTCTTCCAGACAATCTCATGACCATGCCTCCTTAATCTCAAGCCTGTTTCTCCGCGCGTTGCTTCACACTGTCCGAAACGCCCGCGACTTTCCCCGCTGCCTCTCTCTTCAACCTATCAGCCTCCGCCTCTACCTTCTGCTTCCCCTCCTCAGCCGTCGACTTCCCCCACCACCCCGCCTTGACATTTTCTTTCGCCTTTTCTGCCTCCCCGCGCGCCTCAGCCGTTCGGCGTTCGGCGCCTGCGCGGGCCTCCTCGTAGAGGTGCTCGGTCGAGTCGCGTGCACGGTTCAGGCCGTCCTTGGCGGCAGTTTTGGCGGAGTCAAGCCGCGCCTCGAGGTCCTCGGTCACGCTGCGTCCGCGTGCCGCTGCAGAGTCCTATGTACGCGATGTTAATATAGATGTTTGGTGGCGGTAGGGACGACGGACATCTCGTCCTATGCCATCGCCTTGACCCAAATCAAATCAACTCACCTTAGCCTGCTCGACCTTTGCCTGTCCCTGCCTCAGCGCGTCCTCGCCTCTCGCCTTCGTAGCATCCACCGTCTCCCGCGCCTTCTTCTTGATCTCCTCTTCATCCTTTTTCGCCCTCGCCTTGAACAGCTCGCCCTCCTCCGTCTGGGTGTAGTAGTAGTACGCTCCAGCAGCGCCGGCCGCGGCGAGCGTGAGGTACACCAGCGTGTTGTCGCCGCCCTTCTTCTTCACATCTTTGAGGTCTGGGGTGACTTTGGGTGCTTCTTGACCGGGGGCGGGGGGTGGAGGGCCTGTGGCGTAGCCGCGGGAGGCCTGGTGGGAAGAGTGCGGTCAGTAACGGTGTCAGGGGGGTAGATTGCGTTTGTGAATTTGGTGTTATTATGCCTTACCTTGAGCGCGAGTGGGGCGGCGGTAGGCCTCGCTGCGGCGCGCGATGCTCGTATCACTTGAGAGCGCAGCATGTTCATCGTTACGTGGAAATGGTAGTGGTCGTGGTAAAGATCGTTGTTCGATGTGACGGAAAGAGAGTGAATTGGTATCCCTGGCTTCTGTGTCTGACCTGGACCTTATATTGTTTCCCTGCCCTTTCCAATGACGCATGGGAATGACGTCTTAGAAGAGATCAACCACGTGCCCTGAAGTTGCAATCTTATCTCTGACTCCTGATCGCGGGTACAAATCGACTCCTTCCTTCATACCCTACCGTTACTACTAGATGGGAGAATACAACACGAAGACGAGGGTGATCCTAGTCGGCGTCGGGTGCGTCTTCCTCCTCCCCTTCTTTTACGTCTCCAAAAAAACAGCAATTGATCGAAACATCATGAAAATGGCTACAGAGGCGCAACGTGCTCAGGGAAGACGACGCTCGCCAAACACCTCAAGCGGATCCTGCCTGACAGCGTCATCATCCACCAAGACGTACGTACACTGTGGGTCCGCCTTGCCATCACAGGACCCACTGATAACTGTTGCCTTTTTGCCTCCAATCGTGCTTGTTCTTTCTCAGGATTTTGCTCCTGTGAGTATAACCACCGACCACGAAGTCATCTTGGCTCTCACACGACCTCTTCCTTCCCTCTCATCTTCCCCCTCCCCTTCTTCACATCCCACCTATAGCCTCAAGAGCTCGTCCCCGTGCACCCCATCCACAACGTCCAAGACTGGGACGCCCCCGCTGGCGCGATCTCCTGGGACCGCCTCATCCAGTTCCTGCGGCACGTCAAGCAGACGGGCGAGATCCCGCCTGACCACCGGAGTCATGACCACCTGAACGAGCAGAAGGAGGTCAGAGTCGACGACGAGGTAAGGGACCGGTGGGTGAGAGAGTTCGAGCGGCTGAAGAAGGAGAGAGGGGAGAAGGGAGAGAAGATCGTGTGGGGCCTGGTGGATGGGTTTTTGCTTTATTGGCATAAGGTGAGCGAACATGGGGCTAGATGGAGGAGAAGGGGGGAAGCCCGTGTTTATGGTGTTTTCCACCTCTGAGATCTGACACTTTTCACTTTTCACGGTTTCGTGAATCACAGGAAGTGATAGATCAGCTCGACGTGCGCATAATGCTGCGTGTGCCGCATGATGTTTTGAAGCAGCGTCGGCACGAGCGACACGGATATCACACTGCTGGTAAGAGAAGTTCTTCTACTACCTCCCCCCCATGCCCGTGTTATTACTCTTCGCCCAACTCGTCCTGACGTCCCTCTTCCCCATTCTCCCATATCCCATGATGCGCCGTCGGCCGTTCATTTACACAACGATCGCGTCGCATGTCGACATTCTTACTCGCGAATGAACCACCTACACCTCGTCGCCGCATCTTCGTTGCTCGACCACGTCGTATGGAGTTCAATCTGACCCAGAGGGGGCGCTGTGGAGGGACCCACCGTTATACTGGGAGCAGATTGTGTACCCGGCGTATCTTGAGGCTCATGAAGAGGTCTTTGAGAACGGGGACGTAGAGAATGGGAAGCCGACGGATAAGGTGAAGGACCTAATCCTTTTGGACTCGCTCGATATCTCGATGACGGAGGCGGTCGAACGCTGCTGTGCAGTATTGAAGACGGTTGAATTGGAGAACGTTTAGAGGTTAACGTTTAACAGAATAGATTTGAGGATTGTACATATAGACTTTGCATAGATAACAAGAAGGGTCAAGAGTGCCGGCCTTCTAATTGTGCCCGTGGGCAGCAAGCAGGTGAAATTTCACCTCAACGTGGTCATGGAAGCGCCGATCACCACTAGACAGTCCAATCAGCGTCGTTGCATTGAACAAGCGCCGGAGGCTGCAGAGGTGACCTGGAGGGTGAGCGGAAGTGAACGACGAGGAGACGTACTTGACAGTAAAACAGTAACTCCCCGTTCCGGATTGGCTCCTGCACAACGGATGCCGCTCGGCCATGACAAAGCCTAGGCCGATCTTCCCCAATAGACGGCACGGAGATGAAGGGGACGCGGGGTAGAAAATGATGTGCCCCGGAAAGTGATCAGGAAGAAGTGTCGATGCCGAATCATAGGAGGTGTCCAGAATCTGTAGACGATGTCGCGATTGGACGGGTCGTACACGGGGCGGATCGCAGTGGGAGGGCGACGAGGCTGTCCAATCGACCTGGTGGGATTTTGGTGTGTTAACACCGCAGGACCACTCTTCCTCCGTCGTTGAAACTCGGACGCGGTTGTTGAGAAGCGCCAGGGTCGGCTGGCTGGCAGGCCATGGGAAGAGGAATTGGGAGCAGAGAATGACTTGTGAAACCTGGTAAGAGCGGATGAAGGGCGAGTCTAGAAGGATTGAATTTGTATGCTACTGCCCGGGTATCTTGCTCGCCGGACAAGTGGCGGGTCCGGGGAGGACACGGCCGGGGGCTCAGAGGAGGCGCCGAGCAGAGTCGGGAATATCACATGCGTGCCGACCCGGTGCTGTCTCCCCCCGTGATAGACCTATAAGAATCCTCCTCATTCCTTGACCTCCGATATCTCTCTCCCACCACCACCAACAACCACAGCACATCCACATCTCCAATGGCACAGGTCATCGTCGTCGGAGGCGGTCTCGCCGGTCTCTCTGCTGCCCACACTCTTCTCGAGCGCGGTGCCAATGTCTTGCTTCTCGACAAGCAAGGGTGAGTCGAGATCCGCCCCTCGTATGTCGAGCGAATGGCTAACGTTCGCTCCAGTTTCATGGGTGGTAACTCGACCAAGGCCACTTCCGGTATCAATGGCGCTGGAACCGACTCCCAGAGGGACCTCGGCATCCCTGACTCTGCCAAAATCTTCTTCGACGATACCAAGAAATCCGTATGTTCGATTTTTTTCTTCGAATTTTCTACGTGCGCTTACACCTTCTCAAGGCTCGTGAGCTCGCCCGCGATGACCTCATCCGTGTCCTCACCGGCCGCTCTGGTGACGCCGTCAACTGGCTGCAAAACGTCTTCGGTCTCGACCTCTCCAAGGTCTCCCGTCTCGGTGGCCACACCCACCCCCGCACGCACCGTGGTGATGCTCAATTCCCCGGAATGGTACGTCTGTCCTCCTTTTCCCGCTTTATGTCCCTCGTGTCTCATCTCCGCACGACTTTCCCTAGGTTATCACCTATGCACAAATGGAGCGTCTCGAGGATCTCGCCGTCAGCAACCCTGACCGAGTGAAGATTCACAAGAAGGCTCGCGTCACCAAGCTCCTTAAGGACGAGTCTGGAGCCGTTTACGGCGTCGAGTACACCTACAAGGGCAAGACAGAGACCGCCTACGGCCCCGTTATCCTCGCCACTGGTGGTTACGCTGCCGACTTCTCCGAAACCTCACTGCTCAAGAAGCATCGTCCCGAGTACTGGAATCTCCCCACGACCAACGGCGAGCACTGCACTGGTGACGGACAGAAGCTTGCCATGGCCATTGGCGGTAGCGCCATCGATCTCGAGAAGGTCCAAGTCCACCCTACTGGTCTCGTTGACCCCAAGGACCCCGAGGCCAAGGTCAAGTTCTTGGCCGCTGAGGCCCTTCGTGGTGTTGGTGGTCTCCTCCTCGATAACGAAGGCAAGCGTTTCGTCGATGAGCTTCAACATCGTGATTACGTCACTGGAAAGATGTGGGAGAACGGCAAGGTAGGGTTTTTTTTGTCGTGTCGCTAATTGGATCGTACTGATTTTTATGCGCAGTACCCTATCCGTCTTGTCCTTAACGGAAATGCCTCCAAGGACATCGAATGGCACTGCAAGCACTACGTTGGCCGTGGGCTCATGAAGCGCTTCGACAGCGGTGAGGCTCTTGCCAAAGAGTTCGGTCTCGCTCCTGAGGTCCTCAAGAAGACTTTCGACGATTACAACATCAGCGTCCGCACCCAGAAGGATCCCTTCGGCAAGAAGGTACGCATTGATGAGCCTGCTTTATGACTTGTGCTGACAATGCATTCAAGTTCTTCCAAGGTGTATGGAAGTTCGATGACTACTTCAACGTCGCTGTCATGACCCCCGTTCTCCACTACACCATGGGTGGCCTCGAGATCGACGCCGAGTCCCGTGTCGTTGGCACCAACGGCAAGCCCATCCCCGGTCTGTTCGCCGCTGGTGAGGTCGCTGGTGGTGTGCACGGTGCTAACCGTCTCGGTGGTTCATCACTGCTTGGCTGCGTCGTCTTCGGTCGTGTGTCCGGTGACTCTGCATCTGCCTACCTCCTCCAAACGACATCCGCTGTCATCCAGAAAGCTGGTGGCCGTCTTGGGTCCCTCGCCGGCCAACTTGCACCCGCACCCTCCGCCTCATCAGCACCTGCGACACCTGCTGCCGCTGCTCCCGCCGCTGCCCCCGCCAGCAGCTCATCGCCAGGCGAGTACACACTAGCAGACGTTGCCAAGCACACCTCGAAGGACGACGTTTGGGTCGTCATTGACGGACAGGTGCTCGATGTCACCAGCGTGCGTATTCATTCCACCAGTTGATGATCGAATCTTACTGACCTCTTTTCAATAGTTCCTGCCTGACCACCCCGGAGGCGAGAAGGCCATCATGCTGTACGCTGGCCGCGACGCCACTGAGGAGTTTAACATGCTGCACGACCCTAAGGTCATCCCTCGATACGCACCTGACTCTGTCATCGGCAGGGTAAAGGCCTAATCCTCCTCGCCTTCGACCGAGAAAAGTATGGCCGTCTGAGAGGCATTAGTTTTGAGCATCTCTACATATCCCGCACTTCCTGCATATCTATTACCTTTCTTTCGTGTTCATGGTAAACATGTTCAATGTATTGTAGTCGTACTCCAATTCTTCTATTTCATCCTGTGAAAGTCTAGTGCGAGTCGTGTGAGTGTCTGCCAGTGTGCGTGAGGAGACCGGGTTTGTGGTCCTCGAGGTTCGTAGGATGACCGCATGGTGAACAACACTTCCTTGGCGCCATTTTATCATCTTCGCTCGTCATTTCCATGATGCATCACCTCCTCTCCCATACCCAACGACCTCTGTCGGCCTGCTCACACGGTGTTTTAGCTTATAATGACGCGTTCGCGAAGCTCGAGCGGCAGTTCGTCCAGCTCCAGCTCGTCTGACAGCGATAACGACGCCTCCAAGCAGCACTGGTGGCAACGCGCCAATAACTTGAAGAAGAAACTCAAAGCACATTCACCCGCAGGCTCAGGCTCAGGCAAGAACAGTAACAGCAACGAGGCAGCCATCAGCTCTGCAGGGAAAGCCGTCTTGCTTGCCGCCGCGCAGAGCATCCTTCCTTCCACACCGATGGCCTCAAACGGACACCATAGTCATAGCACCTCTTCGTCCTCTGAGACCAGCCCCCTTCTTGCCGCCGCGAGTGGGCACCGGGACGAGGAAGGCCAGGGAGGAGGGCACAAGGAGGAGAACAGCAAGGCGCGAAGGGTGATTTGGGGGCTGCTGTCGCTCGTGTTCGTCGTAGCTCTGGTGCTACTGGTGGGCTTCCAGAAGGTTTTGGGAGACGGGTTCGCAGCGTGGTTGGGCATCTTGCCTAGTGACCCCCTGCTTGCGGCGTATGCTATACTCGACAAGGCGCCTATTATCGTGAGTGTTGTATGCTCCTTTGCCTCCTAAGCAAGGCTGACTGCCTTTATGATTTACTTAATAACCCGCAGGACGGTCATATTGGTTCGCCAGTCTTCAGCTGCGTGGTTTTCGTGAGGCAGCTCGATCTAATCTACGCGTCATTGTTATAGATCTCCCTATCCTCGCGCGATTCAGGTTTGCGAACAACGTGTCGGCGATCGACATGCACTCGCGACTGCCCGGACACGTCGATATCCCGCGCTTGAGGCAGGGCAAAGTCGGAAGCTTCTTCTGGTGAGTTTCTTTCTCTCGGTGAGATCGACGGAACGCGCGTATGTTGACCGGGATGATGTTGTAGGTCCACCTACGTTTCCTGCTTTAATCCTGATGAAGCGGGTGAAGATTTCCTTGGTGCAACCTGGCGTGTTCGGTATGTTTCTCGTATTTTCAGCTTCCAGAGTCGCTGACGCCCGTGATAGCGATACCCTGGAGCAGATAGATATCTCGAGATTGTTGATTGACAAATACCCTGAAGTATGCTCTTTCTTTTCCCTGCTTTGTACCATGCTGACGGGGTGTTTACTTTCCAGACGTTCGCTCTTTCTCTCACTTCCGAGGATGTGAAGAATGCTATCGTGAATGGTAAAATTGCCAGCTTGCTTGGAGTCGAAGGGTCTGTAAATGTTCCTCTCCTTCAAGGTGTTATTTTTCTAACCCTACGGATGTCAGTGGACACCAACTTGGAAATTCTATTGCGGCCCTTCGCCAGTACCACGCCCTTGGAGTTCGGTACGTTACCCTGACGCACACCTGCCACAACGCGTTCGCGGACTCGGGTGGCTTCCTGCCCGGAATTATCCCGCTTCACCATGGCTTGAGGTAAAATTCCTTCATCTGCGTCTCTCGAATATTGGTGATGACAACCATCGAAACAGCCCGCTAGGCTTGAGATTGATCGACGAAATGAATCGCTTAGGCGTCCTCATCGACCTTTCTCATACATCGGACGACACTGCCAGGCAAGCGCTCCAGTATTCCAAGGCACCCGTCATCTGGTCCCATTCATCGGCCCGCGCTGTTCATGACCATCCCCGCAACGTTCCCGACGATATCCTTGACCTCATCGGCCGAGGGCCAGACAAGACCGACGCCGTCGTTATGGTACGACTCACATATCGACCTCGGATTCCTTGTGACGCAACTATTGACTTGGGGATCTCGACAGGTCAACTTTGCAGCAGGTTTCATCGCCGAGCCTGGAAATGCCACTGTTGCGGCTGTCGCGGACCATGTCGACCACATTGCGAAGGTCGCAGGCAAAGAGCAGTGCGTCATCTCCTCTTTCTGCCCCGTCCGGCTGCAGTGGAATCTTATTCATACCTTCCTCGGTGTTTAGCGTCGGTATAGGCAGTGACTTTGATGGTATCGAGGAGGTGCCAGTTGGATTGGAAGATGTATCGAAGTACCCTGCTTTGGTGAGTGTCGGATTCCATTGGCCCGTAGTGAAGAATCCTAAGCCAGCATGCTCAAAGATCGCTGAACTCTATCGACGTGGATGGACTCGGTACGAGTTAGCCGGCTTGGCTGGCGCCAATCTGCTTCGCATCCTGTCAGGTGCGGAGCGAGTTGCCCATGAACTCCAGGCTGCCCGAACACTCCCAGTGGTCGACCTGTACGATCAGCGCACTGACATACCAAGAGCGGCTCGTGTTGAATTGTAGGTCATCACTATCGTCCGATATCCTCTGCACTGGAAAGGACCTGGGCCTCCGTAGCTTCGCTTCATGTATTTTATTTATTACTCGAGAATCTATGTGCTGGATCTCGGACAAATTAAAGGACTACATTGAAAGTATTGAATGATACAAAATGGAATAAATGAAGGTTGGAAGGCTACATATCATCAACTGGAAGAAAGATACAATTCGACAACGAATAAGCGCATGCGCTCTGGCGGCGGTGTCCCGACTCAGCGCACCTACGGGTGAATAAAGTAGCCCTAACGAATAGGAGGTGAGAATAACACGAATGGATCTGTCTTGAAATCGAAACGGACAACATGTCAGCGGGCCTATAGTAGTCCAGCATCAACGATGTCGTGGCGCAAGATGGTTGCTTGCACTGTAGAAATGGAACAAGGTTAGCTGCGCTGCCGTCGGAGATGAAGGAAAGATGGACCGACCAGCTTCGAGTGTTTGAGCCGTGGTCTTCGTATCCTAAAGATGAAATGAGGAAGGCGGGCATGATGAATGGTAAGAATAACGCACAACTACCGATGTGAAGTGCGAAATGAAGGGATTGTTGTGGTGCGCGTGGTCGACGTATATACGTCGGAAGACACGCCGGAACCCTGTGATGTGTGAATGCCTTACGATTTCCCAGAAGACTGAAAGCCACTTACACAATGAAACCGTTTCGAAGTCGTTGCTCTTGTCGAAGTCGGGGATGTATTTCTGAACTCGAACGCCTCGGTCCAGCTTCTTCTTCAATAAATCGATCTTGTTCATGAAAAGGATCTATCGATAGGAAAGGTTTGAAAAGAAATCATTCGTATGAGGCAGGATGTTTACGATTTGAACTTCGGATAGAAGTGGGTTACTGCATATCTTTTTCCATAGGACAAGGGTGTCCTCCAGTCTGTTGACACGATCATCCTCTCCTAAGCGCTCGTTGAAGGACGAAATAGGCGCCAGGAAGATTAGCGCCGTGATATCTTTAAAATAGGGTATCCACGCTGCTCTCTGAAAGAAATTCTCAGTGTCTAGAAGTAGCACAGATGGAAGAAATATACAGAGGTGCGAATTCCTGATGCATTAGCAAAAAAAGAGTTCACATGAGTTGCGTACAAGGTACAAGATAAGATAAAAATCATTTCCTTACCAGCAACATCGTACATGATCCATTCTAGTCCGGCGGCCACCCCGTTCGCTAAGATTCGAATCTGTGTCAAAACATGTGCGAATTGGAGCGTGAGCAATGTGGCGTACATTTGTCCAACGTGAAGCGATACTCTTGGACGCCCGTCGTTCGCAATCGCGCCCGCACGATGTCCTGATCTGTTGGCTCATAGTCGAGAGAAGCGATTCGGTCGATATCGTTCAGAAAGCTGATTTTTGTCAGGCATGCAGGATAACGATAAGATAAATTGCACTCACAAACCAGGTGAATCCTCCAGCCTGATCAACCGGTCGCGGAGGATGGCTTGGGTGGTCTGGTCATCCCAAAGCCACCGGATGTCATCCCGACATCCAGCAACCACATGGCATGCCACACGGTGCAATTGCGCGTCCTTGCCTGGCTGTGGATTGCGGATATGGTCTAGGATTCCCTTCCACCCCGAAGACGAGCGTATGCTAAACTCCTGGAAGTTGAGATCAAGCTGGGCGGTGCCGTTTAAACCCCCTCTCTGCGAATCAGAGATCTCGCTTGAACCGGCTCCGAGAAATGCTCTGAGATCCTTTTCTATCTGTCGTAGTGGAGTGAGACGAAGAGCGACGCTCCGATGCTTCTCAGTGGGCGTTGGTCTGGCACCAAACCGCGGCAAGGTGGGTGATTGGGAAAGGTCGACCACAGGATCGTGGTCGTGCAGGGTTGACGCGTTGTTGGTGTCGCTAATGACGTCAAGGATCAAGTTGACCGACCGAACAAGATTGAGCAAAATGACTGCTTTCCACGAAGCACGCTCTTCAGACCATGACTTATGGGCATAGGTCATCTGAAAGTCTACGGGAATCCGATGTCAATGGTCGTTCGATAAAGGCTATGAGACTGAGCGCTCACTTTTGATAGTTGTAGACTTGCCTGGATAGAACAGATTGGAGACCACGTAAGTCAGATAGGTGATAGACGCACTCACCACTGAGGCTCTGACCAAGAACCAAGATTTTGACCGCTTTGTTATATCTCTTCATCGCTGCCTTCGCTGCCTTCAATTCTAAGTCGATCTTGCGACTTCGAAGCAAGGCTTCGTACTCGCTTTTCTCTCTAGCTGCACGCTCGGCGAGCGTTTCATTGGCAGGCGGGGCGATGGCGAGGGCAAGGGGATCGTAGCTGTCGTTGTGCCTATGCATCATGGTGGGGGGAAAGAGCAGGGGCGGTCAACGAGGGTTACAACGCCCATGTTAATATGTTAATGAGTCGTTAGATTATGGTCTGTAATGCCCCTGAAAACATCGGGTATGGCAATCAGAAATGCAATCACTCCGGGAAAGCGCTTGGTACGCCATTTCATACGATGCAATCGGCGCGTCTTCGTGGCGACCTCCGTGTCGAGTGCTACAGCCGGCATTTCAAAAACTTCCCCCTTGAGGTGGCCATTGAAAATCTCGTCTTCGATGCCTGCATAGAAGGTACGCAGTGGTGCGTAAACAGTGACCGGGGATGAAGCTATTCGGGAAAAAGAGAGTTTATTTCGCCCGAGATCTCTTCGCGTGACTTCAATTCGGTTCCAGCCAACACGGACCCTTGTGCAGCGCCTCGCTCCTATGTAGGCCTCGTCTTCGTCGCTCATTGGATGAACAGAATATCAAAATCTCGATTTCTCCGTGCAGCAATTTTCCGCGAACCTCGTGTGGCAACCAAAAGCAACCAACCACGTCAAGTAAGAAAAACGACATTTTAGCATCGTGGCAAAGGACTTCTACTTATGAACCTCGAGATCATGAGCATCATCTCAATTGTGTATGACGATTGTCGTTCGCACAAGGTCAGCGTACCCGGACACAGACATTTATTGATTAAATAGCGCCACAGACTACGGTCGGACTACAAGGTGTCAACACCTCAGGCGTCTCGCGAGAAGAAATGAAAGTCCAAAATGAAAGTGTGATGAAGAACCTTATTTACTGGCTCGCAGCCGCAGCCTCGGTGGAGGGAACCGTCACCGAAGGGGAGGCACTCTGGGGAGGTTTGGTCTCCCAGGTGGGGGTGAAGATGGGCGAATTGATCGACAATTTCGACCTCGGCAGTGCGCTATGAGGCGCGCGGTCGGTTTCGGAGGTGGCCTTGGGTGCAGGAACCGGGATGGCGCTCGTCGTAGGCGTAGCGCTGTTGGGTTCTTCCATTCCCATCCTCTTTCTGACGTGTTCGAAGGTCCTCAACAGGCGCCTTCTTGCTCCGAGTGCTGCAACTCCCTTTGCTTCCAATGTAGCGTCGTCAAGAACGACGATCTGCTCCCAGGTCAATCCGTCGAAGCACTGCGTGTACTTATGGAGACGGAGGGTCCTCAACCAGCCTGGAATATCCTTGAGCATCTCGGGATCGAAATCTTCCTCACGAGGAGAGTCCATGGCGCTGAGAGGGGTGTTAGGAACCAATCCGCTGCTCTTCAAACCAGCGCTCTTCAAGCCACTGCTGGGACGCAAGCCGCTACTTCTGAGAGCACTCGCAGGGTAACGAGCGCTCGTGGGAGTGCGCCAGTTGCCAGGTGCAGGCTTCTTCGCCTTGGCCGAACCTTGGGCCAAAAGGTTAGTGGGCTGCACGAGGCCGCTCATGACAAGTTGGGCGGCCAAAAGCTGTGCCTCGTTCGAAAGCCCGGCGTTGGCGAGCATGTTGAGGGTGTAGGGATTGATACCGGAGAAACCAGGCAGCGCGTTGGTCGAGCCACCAACTTTGGTATCCTTAGCGGAAGGTGTGTTGGACCCGTCATTCGTAGCTTCAGAGCGGTTCAAAGCAGCCTGGGCAAGGAGACTGAAGTGACTCTCCTCGTCGACCGCAGACTCTCTAGCGGTAACAGGGGTCGGGGTAACGGGAGATTCGAGATTGTCGGGAAGATTCAAGCTAGGAGGACGGAAGCTGAGTTTGCCAAGTTTTGGCCTATCCTGAGCACTAACTAGAAGATTAATCGACCATTAATATTCGTGTTACAGGGATTAAGAGTGAATACGCACCAGGGGCAGCCTTGGGCTCCTCGGGTGTGATCATGCTTTGGATCAAAGACACGAAGAACCGAAGTTGGTCTTGAGTAGAGTGCTGGAGGAGAGAGTGAATCGAGGCATTCCTCTCAGGCTCAGTGAGGACGGTGAACCCTATGCGCAGTACGAAGATGAGATACCAGAAGCCGACACGATCCCTATCCACTTACATTTCTCAATAGTGGCCAGCTCATCCTTGAACTTGACGTCTTTGGTTGCCTTATTCATGGCTTCCTACACGACACTGAGTCCATGATGTTCAACATGACGAAATAGATTCAACTCACCAAGACAGACTCATACTTCCTAAAATCCTTGAGGAAACGGGTGAATCCTTCGTCGATGGAGGGAGCGGCGGGGGCTGGGAGAGCTCCATTTGCTTGACCAGAAGCCGGAGCAACATTCACGTCTGCAGCAGAGACGGAGGGTGTGGTGGATTCAATGGTCGACATTGCTATGATCTGTGAGGATGGGATGGGGTACCAGGGACAAGGGAACCCATTCTGCCTGCCGCCAGTTTTATCATTCCCTGAAACAAATCAACACCGGAGTGATGTTAGGGCTAGCATAGCAACGTAAAGAGCCGGCGACACCGCAACACTGATGCGGCAGTGCGATTTTGATCTAAGAAGGCACCGCACGATGATCATCGTGTTCTCGACAAAACATATCTAATCAGCACCCTCAGGCGAGTCTCAGCTCGGGAGGTCATTCAATTGCGATTAGGTCGGTGCTAGAGCGCAAAAACTGCGACGATTACGCTGCCGAGAGACATGGTACGAGTAAGTAACAAATGCCTCCTATTGGTGATGACTGTTGTGGATCCGGCTCCTATGGGCTTGTAAGACAAAAAGATGCCGGCATCTTCTCGTAAAGACACAGATTGACAGATGTTAAGCCGGATCTCTCTGATGCCAGGAGGTCCAAACAATATCCTCAACAAATTTACTGAAAGTGCTACCCCTGGTGCCCACAACCTTCGAGGCTTTGCCCGCCACCAAAGCGTCCAGGAAGGGAAGAAGGAAAGGCTTCAGCTCAACCTGGTCATAAGGACTTCTCAACTTGTCCAGCGGTTCGAGATGATTGGGAAAATCTCCCAAGAAAAAGATACAAGGGAAAGATCGGCGAAAGATCGCTAATTGAGGGTGTGTATCGGGACTGGAAAGATCAGTCGCGACATAGAGTGGAGTATTGAGGAAATCATAGGTTGGGTCTTGATGTCGGGGTAGACGACAGTCTATGTTTGAAGAGAGAAAAGATATGGGTGAAGCAGGTGTAGGCACACACTCCAAGGTTGCATCAGCACAAGCTGGGTCCGGAATGCAATTGTTTGAAGATTCCTCTGCGAACTTTTGTTCCAGCTCACACTTTTCTGACGGGGGCACCCCAAGAACGTCGCGTAGAAGTGTCCACCAAACCTCTTTGGCCGTCTCGTTGGCCGTACGCTTAAAGCTCCCGTCCCCAGTCCGTAAGTGTATCGCAACATAAGGACCTCTGAAAAACCCGGCGATAGAATCTGCCACTGACAGAAGATCGTTGTTAGAGAACATCATACTCTGCCGTATCCTCCTGCGATACGCCAGATTGTTGGGATCCCTTAGACGCAGGCGTGAGGTGCCAAACAGTGTTCCGAACTGAAGAAGGCGTTCTTGAACATTAGCTAAGTCAGTGAAATAGATGTCTTGCGAGTAGCGGTCTTGAGGCGGAGAGTAGTGAGAGTCGTTGTCCAAAAAGCGATACTGGTACGGGACAGAGTCGCGCAGGGTAAAGACATCAGATGGCTCAACGCCAGTAGTCTTGAATATCCATGCTTGCGCCATATTAGGACGGTAGACGAGAGGCTGTTGGCTCCCAAGCCCAGTCATATTGACCAGCCAGTCCCAAGGCAGATACGTAGATTCGAAATATTGCAGGCATTCTGGCGGGCGTGAAACATATGGCGGCACTTGCAGACAGTGATACAGCCCTTCCTTTGCAGAGAGTTCATGGTGTCTGGATAACCTGTCATATTCAACATAACGTATGGGTTTATTCCCAAGACGGATTGGTGGTACAAGGAGCGTGCGACGGAGGGCATATGCAAGGAGGAGAGCGTTTTCGAAAGCGATGCGTTGGTTATGAAAACCACTATGTGGCAGGTAGGCGAGAAATTTCTCATCAGTGGAAGTGGATGCGTTGGCTTGAGAAATCGTATCAGCTTGGAGCCATGGACGAGGTACTTTTCGTGCTTCCCACCTCGTAGTGAAGAGATAGTAGGCGGATGCGAAGGAGGTGATGCAAGCGAAAGTCAACAGCAGTAGCAAGAGGGCTAGGTTGCGGTTTACTTGATGTTGTGCCACGCGCCTCGCTGGAGTTGTCTCGGGCTGGAAGAGAGCAGGAAGAGGTCGAGAAACAGGTGCCCGCATCCTGTAGCTTCCTCGCTCTAATGAGACTGAAGGAGAAGCACTGCCGTTAGACGCGTTTGTCACTCTAAATGGTGTCATTCTATCTGCCCCATGCCATTTATTGAAGCTCGCTGCGTTCAAGTTTGGCGCACACACCTCTTTGTCAGCCACGATATACATCTAAGAAGGAGTCGTCGGGAGAGCTGGTCACTGTCGGAGGTCGAAAGAAGCAGGGCAGCACAGCCACGCCCTCATAAATTGGTTGAGCACCCTGAGGCTCACAAATATGCTACCTGCACGACTCTCCTCTCGGTCCTCTCTGAGAAGTTCTTTACTGGCATCTACAGCAGCCAACCCTGGTTTTGGTCATGCCCAAAGACCAAGTGCGCCGAAATGGACGCGAAATATAGCCTCAAACACTTCCCAGCAGCCTCCTCCATTTGCTTTCGTGTTTGATATTGTGCGTCAGTTCTGTTTACTCCCAAAGGTACACTCTTTATAACTATACACATGTGTAGGATGGCGTTCTCCTCCGAGGCCGTGATGTACTTCCAGCCGCGAAGCGTGCTCTTAACATTCTTGAGGGAGATAATGTGCTTCGGAAGTGGGTTCTAAATTGGTGTCTACGTCTCCGCTTAACATTATGTCGTTTCAGGAAGATACCGTATATTCTTGTACGTTGTCCAAACCACCATCCGCGCATTTTCCTGACAATCTTTGATGTAGCTGACGAATGGTGGAGGTGTGGGTGAGCACGAGAGGTGTGAAAAACTGAGCGCTCAGTTAGGATTGCCTGTGCGTGAGTGTTATAGCGTATTCTCCCGAAGTGTAGCTCATCTCCGTCCACAGATAAGCACGAGTCAATATTGTCAGGCTCATACGATTTTGAAGAAGTTCTCTCACAAGTATGCTGATAAACCTGTCCTGGTTCTCGGTGGAAAACTGGACACGGTGAGAAAGGTCGCCCACGGGTATGCATCCTCGCCACAACCCATCTGTTATGCTGATATTCCTCGTCTTCAAGATATGGCTATCAAAAGGCCTTCACCACTTTGGACGTCCTTGCGTGGAAACCTTCGTAAGTCCCGTTGTGACACGACGACTTTTGAACTCTAATTCTTCGAAGAGTATGGCCTTTCCACACACTTTCAGATGCGGAAAAGCGAGCTACGGTGGTATGGTCCACGTGCGACTGCTACTCCCCAGTTCACCATTTTCCAGCCTGTAGATTTCTCGAAGACCCCAATATCCGCCATATTCGTGTATCATGATCCTCGAAATTGGGCACTGGACGGTAGGTAGAACGAGCCAGATTTGAAATAAAAAACAGCTCACTTGAAGCCGATAGTTCAAGTTGCCTGCGATGTCATACAATCTGGCGGCATCATTGGCGGCCCATATGTCAATCTCAAAGATCAGGATGAACCTGTTGAGCTAATATTCTGCAATCCCGACTTGTTGTGGAAATCCGACTTCGATAGACCACGGCTTGGTCAAGGGGCGTTTAAGGCAGCCTTCCAAGCTGTCTTTCAGGTAATTCCTCCACAACGTTCGCCCCTCCATCTGCTTATGCTCCATAGGCTGTTATAGGTTCTGAATACCCTCATGTTCAATTCGGAAAGCCAACAGAAGCAACGTACGAGTTCGCGGAGGAGCTCCTCAAGGTCAGGGTCCAAGAAATGTATGGCTCAAGCACCAGACTCTCCCCTCATATGTATGTCATAAGAGTTGGCGATTGAATCGACTTGTGTACTCATGAGATGCTCACAGCTACATGGTTGGCGGTAATACTTGTTGTTCGTATAAATTTTCACATCTGACTCTTTCCCGCCGCCCTCGTAGATAATCCTGAATCCGGTGCGCAAGTTTCCGAAGCAAAAATCATGTCTTTTGGGTTGATGTTTAATAATACTCATAGACATAGCAGGAGCTAATTCTGCTGAGTGGTCCTCAGTTCTTGTCAGAACTGGAGTATACGAACCCTCACATGGACCACCTCCTCACCTTCCAACGCACTACGCAGATGATGTTGAAGAGGCAGTCAAATGGGCGGTAGACCGTGAAATGACAAGACTAGGAAGTCATTTAACTCGGTCCTCGTAAGGAGTACTCTATGTAGTAGCCAGTTTGATGTGCTTGTTCTTCTTGGATGCTAGATAAGTATACTAGACTTTAGAATGCTTAGGATTAGAATAGCCACTTTACAGGCGTCGGACTACACTCAACATCGGTGTCCCTTCAGGCCTAAAATGAGCGCCCGTGCTTTGGCCAATCAGATGGATACGCGAAAGATTTCTACCCGGCAACGTTACACATGTAACCCAAAACATCTCGACATTTCTTTACATCTGTTTCCGGCCTTACTCACGCGGAATGCTGGAGGATTCCTTCCATGCTTCCACGACCGTCAATAGCAAGATATCAACGCAAGGGACGACTAGAGATCTCGCCTAGAAAGAGACTCTACGAGACGTTGACCAGGCGGTCTCGACTCACCAACCTTGGGGTTTTTCTCTTGATTGGTTTTTCGGTCATCTCCTTCCTCTTCAACCTCGGCCATTGGATTTCGTCACCTCCTGCTCCTCTGAGCTCCCACCATGCACTCCAGCTGGCTACCATTCAGCGACGCCCATGGCATTCCAACCTTAGCCATCTCATTATGGTACCATGCCATGCCATCTGGAAGGGGTCGGACTCGTGGTTAAACGAGGATGACTGGATATTGGAGTCATACCAGAAAGGTCCTGGGCGCGTGAAAGCTTTTTACGAGCATATAGCACGCAGGTAAGTGTACATAACTTTCCTCTTCGACGAACTAAATGAAACGTCACTCACTAAGCGCCGAACTTGCAACCAATGACCCCCATTCGCTCCTTGTTTTCTCGGGGTACATCGAATGTTTTACTCAGAGATCTCGATATCCTGACGCAATCCATATTAGTGGGCAAACCAAGCTGGTTTCTTCTACGACAGAAGGCGAATCATACCTTCGGCTAGCCCAAATCGCCGGCATCCTACCAGACCAAACTCACTCATTGCCATTCGGAAGAGCGACCACAGAGAGTTATGCCATGGATTCGTATCAAAACCTTCTCTTCTCGATTGCCCGCTTCCACGAATTTACCGGCCACTTCCCTACGAAAATCACGGTCGTTGGCTATGAGTTTAAACGACCTCGCTTTATGGAATTGCATAGAACTGCCCTCCGATGGCCTGAAGCCAAGTTTGAATATCTCGGCGTGGATCCAGAGCACGATAGTGGAACTAATGCTGTGGAAGGCGAGGTATGTGGCTGTTAATTCTGGTCACTTGAATGAATACTTACGGTTACTTTTGTCCATTAGCTGCAAAACGGCTACCTCCCTTATACCCAAGACAAATACGGCTGCCACTCTACTCTACTCGACAAGCGCCGCCAAAGGAATCCATATTCAAGGTTCCATCCCTACTACGCTTCATCGCCCGACTTAATTCCATTGCTCGATTGGTGTCCCGGCGATGAATCGACGCTCTTCGAGGGACCGCTTCCCTGGGATCATTCAAAAATACGTCAAGACACTTGAACGACACGAGTTACCCAGGAGAGTTTGCGTGGCGCTATATGAGCTTTGGAGCACCCTGGCCATGGCCCTGGTTCCACCACGATAATTACGGATACCCTTCATCCTCAAATCTGGCCATTCCCTTAAATTTAACCTCAGAGGTCAGGGTCAAAGGACTAGCATCACGAAGTGTCATAATGATCCCCCCAGGATAGAACGTCGTGAGTAATAGTAATGTACATGTACATGAATGCGACCTCCGGTAAAGTAATATACACACGTCCGAGGAACCTAGGGTTTAAGTATGAGAGATAGTGTCGAAACAATCACGTACAGTAAATAAATGAATATGTTATCCTCGACTCCGCCTCGAATAATCTTCGAGTTCGTAGCTCCTGGTATAGTTGCTTGTTCTGATAGTTCTTTCTATCCTAACTTGCACATTAATATCATCAGGGTATCGTTCCCCTTCCATGCTATCTGGACGTGTTAGGTCGAATGGAGAAGTGCTTTTGTGGTCGAAGTTTGTCCGAACGACTCGGCTCACATCCTGCGCGCCTGTAACGTGTTTGCTAACCGTTATGGCGCCGTCGTCGTAGCTGATTTCACGGCGCTCGCGCGAGGCGTCTGGTAAGAGAAGTGAGAGACGGTACAACCGGTCCACGGGATTAAATCTACCGTAAAGGTGGATCAACAACCTCTGGGACATGATCCACGAAACAGAATAGGCCAGAGATGCACTAAAACCCGACAGACTTTTTGAGGATGCACGTAGCCATAATTTTTTCTATTAACATACCCAGCGGTCTATTTCGTGTAAGAGGACGCGAATGTTGGATATCGAAGAAACCATACCTGAATATCTTGGGCCTGTCGGAAGAGGACAAGGTTCAGAATATTGACCCCTGCACAGCGGTTAATTTCGCATCTAGGCAGAGACCAGGATTTTCGTACCTATCAGAACGATAAGGTAACCGAGACCGTCATAAAGCATCCTTCGACGACGAGTCAGTATAAGCTTCATTCGCAGGCAGGCAACCGTACATCTTGCTCAGTTTTGTCATCCTAGCCTAGGTCGTTAGTCCCAACTCAGTACTGAGGGGTGCTGAACTGCTTACACAGAGTTTTTTGACGTGAACTTGTATTTGAGCAAGTAGCCAACAGACACAGACGTCGTCAATATGTCGTAGATCATTGCAATGGCATAGAATATCCAGGCGCCCAACGTTTTCCCTTGGTTCACGGCTCGGCAGCTGTCGTTCGACCGTCAGACTCGATTGAATTACGGTATTGCACATTTTCCTCACTTGGACTGTTGGTGCAAGTCTTGTAAGATTCAGCATGCCTCATGTGCGTCAATCATACTTACACGAACGTCGCCAACTTTCGCTATTTTTAGGAAGCTCATAAGCAACGTATGGGGATTGAGAAGGAAGGACTTGCGTGTTCTCTGGTACAACGTCGTCACCCATTGAAGCTGTCACCGTGAATTAGTACTTCATCTACGAGAGCGCCAAGGTCGATCCTCACAATACATGATATCCAGTAGGCCACTAGCAGAAGCCAGCCGATTCGTTTTGACCGTCTCGACAGATTAAACGCGCTATTGGTAGCAATCATTGAGTGTTCCGAAGGATGGAAGTCTGCCTTTTGGTTCGCGCTTACCGGATTCCCAAGATAGCCTGCGTCACCATCGCCTGCAGGACTGAACGTACAGCACATTCCAGGGTAAGACGGGGTGTATGTTCGGTGGAGAAATGGCTCCGAACCTTTGAAGGACGGAGGCAGAAGGAAGAACCGGGAGCAGCTCTCCAGAGTAAATCCCCCGTAGAAGAACCCCACCTGTTTCCAACCGTTCAGCTAGGCGCCGTCAACAATGGAAGAATAAGACCGACACTGCTGACGGTGAGTGTGCATATGCTCACGAATCTGACCAAAACGGCGGAATGAGGTCATGAGGGCCTGATGTTGGAGTGGAGGCACCAATAAATCATACCGAAGCAGAGCATAGAGGACAGCGGAAATGCTGAAACAATTGAGAGGCTTTAGTGTCTGTTCACGTCTTCCAAAAACTTAGCGGACGTACGTCAATCGTCTAGATTTATAGTGCTCTTTGTAAAATCTCCAGGATGTAGGCTGCGTCTCCAGATAACTGCATGGCACCAGCGGGCGACGTCCTAGTCAGTTTGCTTCTCTGCGGTATTTATAGATGGAAGAACCGACTCAACTCGTAGGCCGCGATCGCCACAGAAGTAACGCGCATATACGCAGCGATCGTGAACGCCTCGCTGGGGTCCGACATCGTCGTTGGTGGCGAAGATGGTCGAGCGGGCGTGGTGGCGCTCGTTACCGTCCCACGATGGCAGTGGGGAACATAAAGAAAGAAAGGAACGATGATAGAGCGGCTGAGTGAACTTCCAGGTATGTATGATATCAGATGTGTTGTTTACAAGACAACAAACTTAACGAGGCCGCTGACCTTCCGATGTATTGTCGTATGGGGGGATCCATTTTTTGATCTTAATCTGTCAGCTGCATGTGGGACCACGGTAGGAGAGTGTGCTCATGGTCCCATCGACGGTGGCAATCAAAGATGTCAAGGTCTGGACGCCAAGGGAGATTTTGACTAGGGCTTTTGCACGGGGAGTAGATGAGCGGCCGGATACTAGAAAATTGAAATGCACCTGGGTTCCATATACAACACAACGACCTGCCCATTGTGACGGGGATCCAAGTCAGAGATTCAAACGGTGGTAAAATCGAAAAAGAAAAACTTCATGATCAAGGTTGACAACTATCCGTGATCAATGGAACGAGCCAGAAAACCTGATGAAAAACGCAGCGAAATGTCAACATTTTGTGATAAACATAGTCGCTGACGAGCAGTCGCCTTTCGCCGGGCTGATGCTGGGTCATGCGAGGCATTGCGGGCGCTCTATACCCACCCTCCTGTCTGTCCCACCGTCAAATTTGCTCGTTTCAGGGGCTCCTGCGGGCAGCCAGTGGCCGACATCGGGGTTCGGTGAGCTTCGGTGCCCAGCACACGGGCGAAATGGGTCCGAAAGGGCTTGAAGGGATTAGGCACGTTGGCTTTGAAATCCTGTGCGGTTCCGGCCCGAGGATTATCCGGCATGGGCGTTTATTTACTTATAGAGCACTTCTGGTCGTGTACATAACATCGGACGTCTGCAATCCATCGACGACAGATGGTGCGATGCTTCAGAAGGCGTCCCTCACTTCTCCTTTATAGCGGGCCCGAGAGCGGTCACGAACCCAGGGCAATCATTTGCGCAGCTGCGCAGACAACGTCAAATATACTGTATATTTTTAGCTATTCCGAGTCTCGATACCACGATTCGGCATGAGCAACCTGTGGAGACTCAGCAGAATGGATCAGCCGTACTGATGTCCATGTTTTCAAAATGCTGTGTGGTCATCAACGTCAACACTTACACATCGATCTAATCCGATGGGTTCGGTCCAAGCTCTTCGAGCCAGGTCGGCCTACACGTCATACTTCCGACTAAGTTGCTTTCATAATTGCAGAACCAGCTACATCGGGCCTTGCGGTGTCCTGGTGGATTATCAAAATCACCAAGGGAACACCGACGCAAAGTAAAATGAATTAAGTGAGTAAGTAGAGTAGTTAATGCTGGATGAATAAATGCGAAAGCGAGGATACCCGAATGCCAGTGCGGTCACGATGAATGTAAAGTATCTATGAACGAACTAAAAGACCATCGTGAGCTCGGAGAGGGAGATAGCTAATTTCACGGTGGATTTGCACTTACAGGAGTTAGCTGTCATATGCAATTGGAGCATGCCAGCCCAGGTTGCTCGACGACGACTTCGCTCATACTCGGCAGGGGGGTCGTACGTAGCGTCTTGAAGACCCAGGTCGGACGACATCTTGCTGGCCATTCCGTAGTACGTGCGGAAGCCTAACAACAAATGAGCACGCGCTGCAAAAGATCATTGGAGTACCTTACCAGGCAACCTGTGATGATTATGTTCGAACCAACAGAGAAGCATGATGGCTTGCAAGGTCTCCAGGGAGGGGATATGCGTTACAGAAGCAATGAGCGCCTGGAGACATCCTGCATCAAAGAGCTGCACTGACCAAGATGGAAAGAGCAAACTTACTTTTGCGACGTCTATGTAGTTTTCGGCAACATTATGGAGATCGCGCAAAGGCATATTGAGATCCGGGTGATTAGAATGTCTGTCGGTTGATCAGTATCGTGCTAAGCCGGGGAGGATGAAGCAACTCACTTTACGGCCATAGCAGCGATACAATTAGCTAATGTAGCGGACAGACGGTTGTCCCAGAAGTCGGCCAAGCAGTCTTGATACGAAAGAAACGCGAAGTCCTGAGCATATCGCTCAAAGAAAGTCTGGATGAAATGCGCCATGTAGGTCGGATTTGGGCGCTGATGATTTTCCGGGTCAAATAGATGGAGACCTCGATGATCAGTGGGATAGGAATTAGGCCTTGAATTAGATGGATAATGTAGTGCCTGGGACGGGTGCCCAGAGTAATTATACGGCATTCCACTGCTACTTCTTATGGAGTCAAACGACGAGATGGAGGAGGAACTGCTGCGGCTAGGATGAGACGAGGACCGGGAGAGAGGAAACGACCATCAACATACGTGTGAGAGGGCCCCATTACGTGACGTGAGTCCATTGAATAGGGTGGATAGCGGGTGGGGTGTTCGATCTCTGGAGATACCATGCCACTTGCTTTAGGCGAGTGGGAGTTGGAGCGTGGATCGGAATGAGAGGACATGGAAGGGCTGGATGAACCCGAGGCGACAGAAAACGCATCAAGCGCTGGATTGGGCTCGGACCTGGGGGGGAGGTTAGGACGGGATGTGGGCGAGATAAGCGCCGTGCAGACGCACCTGAGTTCAGTGGCATAGACCCCCGAGTTCGGCCCCGCGATTGCTCTGCTACGCTCTGCAAAATAGCGCTCTCTGTCGCGGAAGCGACACTGGATCTTTGCGGCCTTGCAGGCCTCGCATTTGGCCTCCGGGGATGGCTGGAGACACTTGATCTTCTTGAGACGGCTGGTGGGAGGTGAGCAACGGACAGCGATGAACGAGAGCGACGGACCAGTTATCGCAGGAGGTGACGAGGCGGGGGCGTTTCTTGTGGCCCTGGCTGTGCTGGGGAGACTCGATGATGAACTGGAAAGAGTCCTCCATTGCGGCGGGAGATGGCGGTCACGGTGGACCAACTCGAGAGTCCTGTCGCTTTTTAAGAGTTGCCATCACTCTACAGCAAAAGCCGATGGATCTCGATCCAAAAGGATCCAAACGTGAGCCGATTCCCACGGGTCGGCTCGGTTCTGTGTGCCGCGCTCGAAACACGAACGCCATCACGTTGTCAAGCTGCCTACCCTGGACAGCTGACTAAGCACCCGCCCACCTACGCGTCGCGCGACCCAGCGCGTCTGCGGACACGTGGCCGCGGATTTCTCGCCGCCCAGTGTGCACTAGAGAGTAGCCAGGGACGACAGAGATTTGTCCTAGATTGATGGGTCCACAGGCAAGCTCTCGTCCATACAGACCTCTTGCATCATTTGATCAATCTAAACACAGTTCACACTCCCCACTGTCGCCTCGATGGGGACAGCTCGGCCTCCCTCCCAGCCCTCCACGCCAGGAGCCCACAGACAACCTGTCCTGATCTACAGCCCTCTCAGAGCCCCGTTCCACCTGGAGGGCCCCTCATCCATTCCACACCTTGTCCACATCACTTCGGCCATGCCCAGCCCGCCCAGGCTCGCCGCTGTCGCCGGATTCCCACTCGTCATGAAACTCAGGGACTGGCCGGACGCGATCCTCTAAAACACGTAGATCAGTCGACGATATCTGCACCAGTCGCTCGCGCTCCTGTTGGAAAGTAATTGTCAGCCTATCTTTCACTTGCACGCTGCACGGTCAACCTGAAACCCGAGCAACAATCAAAGGAATCATACCTCAGCCAAGCCGCTAGCATCCTCCTCCCCGTGCGCCCTGGAAGTTAATCGGATAGTCTCCTCGGCCTCACTGCCGTACTGCGCTTCCTCGAGGCTCCCAACGCTCCCCTCCTCGCCTTCCGTAATCGGGTTGCCGTGAGCATCCAAGGGAACCGTCGACTCGATCGATTTACGGTACTTGTGCACTGTAAACAGGCCAATCCCTGCAACGGCACGGTTAAAACCTCGTCCCAATCCAGGTGAACAGACAGTAAACTCACCGGACACTGTAATTGCAACACCGATGGCGTTGAGCAGTGAGATTCTGTCTCCAAAAGCCCATGTGGACACCAGAATTGTGGATACTTCTTTCGCTATTCCAGCGATGGACATCGGCACGACCCCTGCGCGCTGGATGATGCTATGACAAATGATTCTTCAATGTCGCCGCAACCCGGGAAAATGTACGTACTAGTATTCGCTCAATACCATGCAAAATGCGATGACACCTGGGGCCGTAAGGAAGAACACCGTTCCCAACGTTCGGGTGACACCATCGAAAAAGGAAGTGCGGAAGATCGACGGCCAACCCTCAAGGGCAGCACTGACAATTGCGAGTGTCGCTCCCATAGTAGGAGAGAGCCAGAAGATTGTAGCTGCCGGATTATCAAAACCCATATTTTTACTTTTGAGGAGAACTTGCGTAAGACTCCAACGGAGGCCACCCAGTGCACTGGCACTCAATACCAGAATTAGGCCATTTAATTCAAATTGAGCTTCAGAGGCCACCATAAGAACGACGCCAGCAGATATTAGCGTGATTACGGCCACCAGCCGCCATGAAAAGACTTCTAGACGGAACAAGAACGCGAACAGGAGGACGAAGATTAAAGACGATGACTTGACCATGGCTGTCAACATAACAGATAAATGAATGACGAATGTTCAGCGACATGTCATGATGTGATGCAGCGGGGGCAAAAAGCACGCACTGTAGAAAGATAGCGTTATCAACTTGAGTGATAAATTCGACAGGCCAATATCTAGACTAGTGGCAGCAGCAGTTGGCACTGCTTTCTTCCTTTAGGGGAAGAGAGTGAGACAGTCAATATCAGCCGCTGAACGACCGAAAACCTGCCACTGTCCCGCAGCGAGAGCACGTACACATAGTCCTCGCGAGAAGGGCTGTTCTTAGGACGAAACCTCTTGGGCCAAATCGTCCGTAAGGCGGATGCGAGAGCGAACTGAACAAACATGTGCATAGTCGTGACGAATAGGGGAGCAGGGAACCCAAAGTGGTCGGCTGAAAACATCCATTTATTGTAGACTGAGAGAAGAGTTGCGAAGAGAAACCTGATGTTCAAAGCCTCTATGATGAATAGACCCTCCGTAAAGACAAATAAACTCACCATGAAGCAATAAATAAGGCATTTATGATGGCATTCCTCCACCACAGGCGCTTCTTCTCAGCCACGGAAGCTATGTGTACGCCCTCATGGTAGGCATCCCGGGGTATCTCCTCTTCATAAGACCGTCTCGGCCGATGTTCTAGGTGTCCGTTCAGCGACAGCTGCTCAGAGTCAACGGCATGTTGTGTTCGTTCCATGATCCATGGAGGGTAGATGAAAGTGGAAGGCAAGGTTCGTTCGCTCTTTGACACGTGGGAGTCTCGTAGTCTCCTTTGGGACCCGCCGTCATAATGGGACTTGGCTTCAACTTGAAAGACGTGAATTGAACATTTGGAAGACTACCTACCTCTGAGTTGCGCTTGAGATACGCGTCGGTGGGGATTACACAGAAATCCGCTGAGGGGCGATTCATCCTACAATCGGTCCGATTCTATTGAATGGGTAGCTACTAGGCGAAACTCCTAAGTACTTGCCCCCACGGTTTCTGGGGCTCAAAGGAGGCCAGGGTGACAGTGTAAATTAGTGTGCTGCGCGAAGCTAAGCGGATGGGCAGACATAAAGATCGAGGAAATTTTTGGGAAAAGGCTGGACAAATGTTGTGTAGATGTCGGGCGTGGGTGCGAGAGATAAATATGGGCGGACTGGCAGGCTTGAGAGTGAACCAGCACGGATGGCTGTAGTCAACGAGTGCCGCTCCGGTGATCTTGGAATACCGAGGCATGTGGTGTCCAGCACAGTAAAGCTGGCCGCACAGTCGGACGCGTAAGCAGCACTGCAATGTTGCGGAAACTTTCCACTTTGGTTTGACAATGATCGAGAGGTGAGTGATTTACTCATGACGTCCGGGCAGCTAAGCGGCAATAAGATATAGTTACCTATGAAAACCAGGTGCATAAGATCCATGCTACTGGTTATAGATAAATAGTATTCTGTCAACCCACTTTGACGTCCGCCTGAAAGGGGGCCAGGTGTCAGGAACGTGTAAATCGCCATCGGGTCTCTTGAAGCTTAACCCAAAGGTGCTGAATAAATTAACGTTATGGCTGTCGACTTAGATACGCACAACAATATTAAAATAGGACCTCCAGTGACAACTCCACTCACGGGATTTAGGATGTGCGGCATTTCACTGGGATTCACAGCGCTGGTTTCGAGTGTGCCGGATCTGCGTCATCTGAGGGCCCAGGTTCAGGGTTGGAGGTATTGATGGAAGATGGCTCTCGCCTGTTTGACGAACGCGGTAGGAGGCGTTAGGTGAGAAACATGAGCGCAGTTAGGCAACACCATGAGATCTTACCATGTACGCCAGTGATCGAACTGCTTTTGATGCAAAAATTCTCTGAGGTACTCATCCTTCTTCATTTGGGAACGGAACTGGGCGTGCTGCAACAGTTCTAGGTGGTGGAGAGCATGTGGGTAGCTGTGGGAGAGAGCAGGGTTCAGAGCAGGTCCATCAAGCAGTAGTGTGAAACGCACTGGATGAAGCGCGCATAGTCCTTCTCTTTGAAGTAGAGAAGATATTCCAAGAAATTGATGAACGCGGGTTGCTCCAGGATATTCTGTTGCGCGAGAGAATGCAGATAAAACGGATTGGCCAGTGCCTGTACGAATTCCAGCTCGAGTCCAAATCGGGCACGATTGGCCGCCCTAGCGTCTGAGATTGGAGTTCCGATGTCGTTGGTTTTGTCGGGGTCCATGGTCGCGTCAAGCAAGAAAAGGGAAATCACGAAGAGATTGTTGACGCGGGTGGCGCTGTTGGGCGATGTTTGGCACTATCGTCCTTGTTCAACAGAGCGGAGACGCGTCACGGAACACGGGTAGACTCCATCGGCCAACGCAGTACAACGCGTCGTAATTCTTCACAACCATGTCCGTCGACGATGAAACAAGTGGGTGGCAACTTACTGAGTCAGACCCCGGTGTATTCACGTATGTTATCATCTCTTTGCTGTGTTTCGACCTGCTGACGTACGTGCTTGAAACCTGAACTTTTTTAGTGAATTGCTCAAATCGTTGGGCGTACCCCTCATCGTGGATGACCTCTATTCTCTGGATTCCGACTCCTTATCTGCGTTGCAACCCCTGCGAGCCTTGATATTTTTGTTTAAATGGATCCCGACATCATCAGACGGCACCACTCAGCGCGGTGGGACCGATGATCCAGACTTTGCAGGGTTCTTTGCGCATCAGGTTGTCAACAACGCTTGCGCAACTCTTGCCGTTCTAAATGCTTTGGGCAACATTCCCTCGCTGCCCACCGGCCCACAACTTGCCGAATTATTGCAGTTTGCAAGAGGCTTAGACCCTCAGACTCGCGGCTTGGTCATTACTAGTTCGGACTGGCTCAGGGAGATGCACAACGCACTTTCCCCACCGAGCGCGTTTTCTTTGGATGGCCTTGGCCTCCCCAAAAAGACGGAAGACGCTTACCATTTTGTAGTGTACCTCCCTGCCATGGGGGCTCTGTACGAGCTCGATGGGCTAAAGCCTCACGCACTTCGGCACGGTGCTTTCGATGAGTCCGGTGAAGGCTGGTTGAAAACTGCTAGGTTCGTCCTCGTGTATGCGTTCTTCTCTTGCAGTCCCAAAACGTTGACTTTCTTGCAGAGAAGCCATTGAGGTCCGCATTAACACATACCCCGTTGGTGCGGTATGTAGGTTCTATCAGACGGACCCTTAACGTTTTTGACGCATACATGTGTGCAGCTGGAGTTTAGCCTTCTCGCTCTCCGTGATGATCCTTTGCCGTCGCTCCAAAGTCAACTAGAACATTACCAAGCTACCGGAGACTCAGCCTCCGCTAGCGAAGTTTTTTCCAAAATCTCGAACGAAAATACAAAACGCGAGAGATGGGCCGTACGTGATTGTTTCCGACGTCCTCGCATTATTTTACTGACTCTGTTTTGTACAGTTTGAAAATAGCTTACGCCGCCATAACCATGTCGGCCTGGTTCAAGCTCTTCTATTGGCGCTCGCAAAGGGTGGCAAGCTGTCAGCTGCCGAAGAAGGCGCGAGGAAGGCCATGAAAGAGCGGATAGAACAACGAAAAACACGGGTGAAGACATGGATGAAGATTAAAGCACAGCTCAGGGAGGCGGGGTCCTTTCCAGTTCGGTGAGGCGATGTCTTATTTTACTTAGATTGATGTATTTTCAAATTAATATTGAGCTCAACACTGTATCGCACTTTTACTCGCAGCGGACGCGATAACGATTCAAGGTCATTCTGTAATCCAGCCAGCTCATCTCGAGTCAGATGCATGGAACTGCTCGCCTCTGCTACTGCTTGCTTCCTCTCGTAAAACGCCGTGGCACGAGTCTTCATCATCACAGTCAAGCTGCCCATTTTACTCTTATGGTGTTGTTCAAAAAGTGTTACGGTCCCATTCAAGAATCCTCCGGCCCTTTCAAAGGACGGTGATGCATAGCGTCCTTGCTCGCTTTTGGATTCACAAGTGTGGCGTGATCCGTATCTTCCTGCACGCCTTCACACGCAAGTGCTGAACTGGTAATGTATTTGACTTTTGTGCTCCTACTCTCACGATTTTAGCTATCATGTCGGTTATCGCCCTTATCGCAGCTGGTGCAATGGGAGCCGCCGTTGGGCGCAAACTGGTCGAGGCTGGTAACACCGTCCTGACGAACCTCGAAGGCCGCTCCGATGCGACACGTAACCGGGCCGCAGAGGCTGGCATGATCGACGCCTCTTGGGCGGACATCGTGCAAAAGGCAGATATTCTTCTGAGCATCATTCCACCTAGGGAGGCGATGGCATTGGCAAAACGCGTCCTGAACGAGGTCACTTCCACGCCAACAGCAGAAAAACAGCCTCTCATCTTTGCGGACTGTAACGCGATCAATGTGGACACGGTCAAGACCATCGCAGGGTTGTTTGCAGACGCTGCTGTCGTTTTCATCGACGGTTGCATTATCGGGGTCCGCCTTCAGATTCTGGCAACTACGTCCCCACTTTCTACGCGTCTGCGGATCCTAAGGACGAACCAAGCTTAAAGCAGTTCGAGGGTATCATCGGACAGAGCGGAATCAAAGCGAGGGTCTTGAACGGCGAGGGTGCAGATATCGGCGATGCCAGTGCGCTGAAGATGTCATACGCTGTCAGTGTACCTCCATCATGGTGCTGATCATCTCTAAACGCTTCTGTGTGTTTCAGGGCCTTTCCAAGGGGATAACGGGGTTGTTTATAACGATCATTTTGGGTATGTCTTCTACTACATATAAGAAGAGAGGTATCATCGTACTTGATTGCCCACGCCTTTCCGCCTCTCAGCCGCCCACGCGAACTCGCCAGCCACAAGCGAAGCGCTTCTACAGGAACTCAATGACTCACAGCCTGAACTTCTGGCGCGGATCATCCGGACTGTGCCAGCGATGATTCCCAAGGCGTACCGATGGGTGGGGGAGATGGAGGAGATTGCAGGATTTGTCGGGGGTGGAGAGGGGGAGATATATCAGGGCATGGCGAAGGTATTCGGGAGGGTGGAGGCGTCGGTGGCAACGGGGAATGATGATGTCGAGAGGCTGCAGGAATTTGTCGAGGCGGCGAAGCGGAGGAAGGGAATCTAATCAGGTGGTCATCTAATCAACCGCCTCGTGTACCGACCCTGCACTCCTGACCTTACTTGCCATTTTTCGTGAATACCATGTTCTAAAGCGACGAGCATCACTCTCATCCTCTATCAGCATTTCTCCTTTTGTTTCGATACCCCGTCTCTTTTTCGTCGCGATACCCTTGCTAATGTCTTTGACCGTAAACACCAGCCTTCCTTCACAACATGAGGTCGCCTCGTCAATTGCATCCACGGTTGTCAAGCCCGCTATCTCAAGACAACCCTCCACTTCCTCGAACAAAGGCAAATCACCGGGTACATCCTCGCGGAGATCGACGTTGAAATCCCCGGCGCGTTCCACATTCGCGAACTCGGAGGGAGCTGATGACGCGACGTGGGGGTCCAACTTCTGGGTCACACTCGTGGATCCCCAGGTATGTTCCCATCGAACTATGTGCGCTCGTTCTAAGCCGGCCAATACTACGTAGACGCAAACCTCGTTCTTTGCTTGTCCGGCCACGGGGCAGGTTAGTTGGGACCCTCCGGTTGGAACTTTCGTGTAAGCGATTTCTTGCGCCCATGTCTCCCGTAACTCACGCAGCCCGGCAGTCTGCCCCCAAGCGAGGATGGCGAATGGTGGGAGCTCAGCGATGACTCCCGTGGTGGAATACCTTACTACTATCAAACAAAGACTGGTGAAACTGTGTGGGAGCGGCCGAGTGGCTTTGTGATTCCCTTGGGTATTCTTCAGGTGCGTTCCAACCTTTGATATCCGGACGGGGCAATCGTCACAATGAAACCTCGTAGAATACTGCCATGGGACGTCGACTCTCACAAACCACATTTGATCATTTTTCCAAGCTTATTCCCAACTCTAATCAGGTCCTTTACCCTCGTTTTCCTTATACGAGTCAAGTCTAAGCGTGATTATAGGAACCTACTCCAAATAACACTCATTTATCTCCTCAATCAAAGACAACCACTGGGTCCCGTCTGTCGTCTCGGAGATCGGGAGAACGTCTTTCACTCAATCATGCATCTACTTCGAAACGACACAATATGCTCAGTGTACAGCTTACTCCAATACCCGGCTCTCCAAATCCAACAATCGCTTCCGCAGCACCCTCTTTCATGTCGAAACCATCTCCGTCGAAATCCTCGATTGTTGAAGAGGACACCAGCAAGCTTACTGTCCCGAAGGAAAAGGAGTCGCCTAGTCGGAAGGTCTCAGGCACTCCTCAGCATTCGTATTCGCCAGACTCTATTTCTCGAGCTCGATCAAAATCATCCACATACACTCCACATAAGGCGCAGCAACCTCAGAGCCTTGATGCTGCACTAGAGATCTTGTCAAGCCCGCCTTCTGATAGTGGACACGGTTCATCCCTACACCAAAAATCTGTCACAGAAACCTCAATGGCTGCAAGCAGCGTGAATGGTCATGGTTATACCACAGATGAGCCTACGACCCCCACCAGAAGGCGGCAACGCGACGTTCCTCCATCACCCTCCCGTCCTATCCCGGAAACGCCTAAACACCAGGCTACTGTCGGTGGCAAGGGAATCAGTAGCCCGGTACTGAATCTTGGTACGTCTAATCAGACGTCACGGTGCTGTCATTCACTAACGAATGCGCAAAGCTGCGACGTTACAAATGAGCCCTGTCAAGAACAGAGCCAATGGTAAACCGATAGCAGTTGACGCACCGATTCGCCCAATGCCCGGGGCTTCTGTTGCGACCCTTCCTTCGGGGTATGCATCTATACGCTCTGCGATCTTCGCGCTTTAATGTTTTCTGCAACCAGGACGTATCCGATCCTCCCGCAAGCCCTGGCAACAGATATTCAGCTATTCTCTGAGTCGGAATATGCGAAGCAGTACTTTTCAACGCATAAAACAGGTTTCATCTTTAAACGGAAAGTGCCTGTTGCTCAACTCATGAGTTGGCAGAAGGTCAGAAAAATACACTCGTTCTGGACTGCTCTTCTGACCGCGACTCCCTTCCGTAGGCTCCTCTGACTGCCCCACTCCTTTCCATGAATCGTACGCTGAACAAGAACGCGGTGAAAGTCTTCAAAGTCATTCAACATATCATGGGGGATAGGGAACGAGAGAAGCCTGTCAATGTTAGACTGCAGCCAGACAATCATGTTTCGATGGTGGCATCGTTCAACGCGTCTACAACTTCTCTTTCCAGCCATGCCATGAACATCCTCGAGGAAGAAAGGTGGTTATTGAGCGAAGGCTTAACCCATGGCGAACTGAGAGATGAGATCTATTGCCAAGTGATGAAGCAGGTTACGGGCAATCCGAACAAGTGAGTGCCGACGGTTTACGTTTACTACAGCCGTCTCATATTTTACACCAATAGGGAGAGCATTTTCAAGGGTTGGCAGCTTCTTTGCGTCCTGCTGATCACGTTCCCTCCGTCGAAGAACTTCGAGACTTACCTTCACGGCTTCATCCAGAAGCACACGACTCAACAGGAGGGTCGAGTTGATGTCATGGCGAAGCATTGTCTTCGTCGGCTCATGTCAATTTCGAAGAAGGGCCCAAGGGGGAAGCCGCCAATTATTGCAGAAATAGAGACCGCTTCTGTAAGTGAGCTGCGGGTCACCAAAGACGAACCTACTCATCTTATTGCAGGATGCTGCTTTCAATCCATCCACTTTTGGCGAATCTCTAGATGCTATCATAAGGCTACAGGAGCGAAACTATCCACATCAGAAGATACCTATCATCCTGCCGTTCCTCGCAGATGGAATCCTTGCGCTTGGAGGGACGAAATCGGAGGGAATCTTCCGTGTACCGGGCGACAACGACTCTGTCTCGGGCCTAAAACTCCGCATTGACAGGGGATACTACACTCTTGATGGCGTCGATGACCCACACGTGCTAGCTTCGCTCATGAAACTCTGGCTGCGCGAACTCTGCGACCCACTAGTCCCTGAAGAACTTTACAACGAATGTATCCAGAACTCCAAAGACCCAGAAGCCTGTGTGCAGATCGTGGAGCGGCTGCCTACCATCAACCGACGCGTCGTTCTCTTCGTCATCAGTTTCCTCCAGTTGTTTTTGGAAGAGCGGACGCAAAGTGTCACGAAAATGACACCTGCAAACCTGGCGCTGGTGATGGCCCCGAATCTGTTGCGATGCAATTCAGAATCCATGTCTGTTGTATTCACTAATGCCCAGTAAGTTCATCCTCCTATCTATGCACACATCTCTTTCCGTGATTAACATTATACCTTCAAGGTATGAACAAATATTTGTGTATAACCTATTGCTCCATCTTCGGTGTGACGAGATAGATCCAGCCTACAAACCAGTTCACGGATTGGGAGCTGTATCTAATTCTCCCGTCCCCAAGAAACCTAGAAATCGATCTCGACGCCCTGATCAGTGATTGCCACCATCTTGGACTGTTCCTCTAAGATTTTGTACCCCTACAGACACAGACGACTCCTAATTATAACTTGGTTGGATTTTTTGATTACTGACGCCTTTCATTACATATATATACTTAGTACTAAAATAATAGATACTACCCTATATCAATACATGGGCGCTCCTCTGCGGGATCTCAGTTGGTCCCTGCCTGGTCTTCTAGAGCCTCGATAACGCCCCGTCGTCGACGTTGAAGGGAGACTTTGAAGGCTTTCCCAATCATTGAAAGACCAATCCTCTAGACTCGTGTCTTTCGATACTTCATTCTTCCACTGATCCCAAGAATGACCAGTCCTCTTCGAGGTGTCTTCAGTAGTAGATGCAACCAACCGTTCGATGTCGGACAATGATTTTAAGACCTCCTGCTGTCTGTCCTCGCTGGCTCCATTACGCAGTTCCAGGCTGCCTAGATCGCGTCGCATTGATTCAATGATTTTACGCGCCCTGGAGTCCACTGGGACTCCATTCACAACCATTTCTTCGACCGCTTGCTGAACCCCTTGCAAATCTCGGAAGCACGTCCACCGAGTCTCAATGAGTTCGTTGTAAGCCTCTGTCGAGCAACCGAAGACATAAGAGACGATTGACAGCTTCTGGGCGTGATGGAAGATGAACAGGGCGATATTGGGATCCTTATAATGAACGCGGAAGGTTCGCATCAGGTGGGCAATCATCTGAGCGTATATGGGAGACTGCAACATAGGGAGTTCTGCGGTGCCTCCCTTCGCAGAAGCCTCTGCTATCGCACGGCGCGCCTCTTCCTCGTACCTCCTCGACTCCTCGAACACCTCTCGTTGAGCCCATTCCAGAAGCTCTTGGTCAGTGGTACAGCGGCTCATGGCTTCCTTCTTTTGGTCGAGTAGGCCTGAGGAAGGGTCCTTGGCCCATCGAAGAGGCTTGGAATGACGACGCAGCTTAGCAAACAGGTCGTCAACGTGGCCTCTCCCAACACCTAGTGCCACGTCTTTCGACGTTCTAGCGCTGTCAGGGGATGGCGTGTCGAATATCATATCCAGCATCCCGGTGAGAACTTTCGTTTCACGCTCGGACATTGTATGTCGACGAGTAGCCGGCGAAGTACGTTTCGAATCGAGTATGTCATCTGAGAACAAATCTGACTCGGCTTTGTCCTGAAAGATTTCGTCCCAGGTGTCCTTGGAGGTGAAAATAGACCCGCTGGAGGACCCGCTGGCTCTTCGTACACTTAATAAGCTTCGGGAAAGGAAAAAGGCCTGACACACTTGGACGTTTTCGAAGTACGTGAGCTGTATCTCCTCCATAAGAAGGATTCCCCGTCGTCCGACAAGGCGCAAGGACGCGATGTTCTGGTAGCTGTTAACGCATCTTTGAACAAACGTTCTGCGTAAGCGGGAGTCGGTACAGCAATTAAAGGAGACATACTCCTCGAGGATGCAGCATAAGTGGCTCTTGCTGCAAGCTGGCAACGGGAAAGCATGGCAGGAAATGGAGGAACTTGGTACGACGTTGGCAGAAGGAGGGTAAGTAGGACGGAAGAAAATACCTCGTATGGTAAGGTTCCGAAATAAGACATCGGGCCGGCCAACAGTAACTCTTGGGCTCCACCAGACAGGGGCCATACATGCTCAAGCAAGAATGAACTGTATTGGCGTCATAGAAGGATGTTCGTGAATACGTGAATGTTAATTTCGATAGTTAGAGTATATCATGAGAGGTTCCATCCAAAAATCAGCGTCAATCCCTTGCGGCTAAGGTGATACACAAAGGCAAATTCTCTCCCTTCAGCTGTTCACCCTCTAGCGTTGGTATCATCACCAAGCAGGCCTCGCGTCTCAGCCGTGCGATATCGGGCGTGACGGAGAGCTCAAAGTTGTTGATTATCTCGACCGTGAGTGCCAGCACCTCGTAGAGGGCAAAGCGCCACCCAATGCATGTGCGCACACCTCCGGCAAAGGTCAGCCTAAGAAGTAATTCAGTCCACCTTTCCAACGATGGGAAAAAGTGGCATACAAGTTACCATATACCCCAAGAGTAGGACCTCTCTTCTCTCCAGAATTGCGGAACCATCTATCCGGGTTATAAACGTGTGCGTCCTCGCCAAACACTTCCACATTTCTGACAAAAAGGCAGCCGGTCACGTCAACGAAGGACAGTCAAAATATGCAGTGCCTACCTGTTATACGCGGCAATGGACAAGATGATCTTTACACCCTTTGGTATCGGCAACTTCTCGAGAATTCTCCCATCCGTCGTCTTGATTGGTGTCGACAACGGCAAGACATCATCGTGCGCAGCCATTCGGTAATTCTGGTACACGGCTGGATGGAAACGCAGTGATTCCTAGAAATCCATTCAGAACAGGACCCATTTTAGTGGAGGGGATGTCGCACCTTCATGACAGCTCCGAGATAGGTCATGCCGTCTAGGTCAGCAGCAGTAAAGTCGGATCCTCCACGCGCATGAATAGCTCGTTCAGTCGCCCTAATCTCCTCGCGAAGCTTGGTCTGTACGTCCGGGTTTCTCGCGAGCTCCAGCAGAACCCAACACAAGGAGGTGGCACTCGTCTCGTGGCCGGCCAATAGAATCGTCCTGCACTATATTGAGAATCGATCTCCGTTAACACCAAGGAAAGGTACAGACCGCATTTGCGCAAGCATCTCTTCTTCTGTGAGCCGGTCAGTTGCCTGTTCGGACGTATTTGCCTTGACTGTGGCCGAAGATAGTTCAGATGATACGACGTCGCCAGAGCGGACGGAGACCTACCCAACAACGAAAGAATATCTTTATTTCCTTTGCCTTGAAGAAGAGCTTCGCCTTTCGAGTCAACCAGCTCTCGGGCGACTGCATCCGCAAGGTCGGCGGTGTGTCGAGCGTGTACCAAGTTCCTTGCACGGGAGAATTTGGACATCAGCTGGAGGGCCCAGACAGGGAGGATTGTTTGCATGAAAATAGTGAATTTAGGTGGCGATCCCAAAGTGTCCGACCTGGGAACGATTGTCGAAGTTCAGCGCCATCATCCCTTCGAGAAAGAGGATCTAGAAACCGACATGAGTCCGAAGTATGCCTTCATAAATTCGTTGTCGTTGCTCGCCAAAGCGCCGAACTGGTAATCGAAAGCGGCTGTAATTATACTGTTTGGTATTCTTGACTGGATCAATGGGAATGATGCGCGGACCTTCGCCAATGGAGTCCATCGTTGAACGCGAAAGCCATGAAGCAACATTGACAACGGCGGATTGGTCAGGAGAGCTGGCCAGAATGTCCGACCATTGAGCCGTGAGCTAAAGGAGATGTTTGTCTCAAGAGTGCTCAGATTAACGAAGATGGAGGCCATACCTCAGACCCCACGCGTCGAAAAATGGGCACAAATGCTCTTGCTTCGGGGGCTGATAGTGCGGGGTTAATTGGCCTCTAATCTGCTTCGAATGGAAGGCGCACCTCCAAAGCCAGGAAGCATAACCTTTCTCTGACGCTTGTGAATGTCCCCTGCTCACGGTTAGCCTGGCGGTTTATGCCAAGAGGTGACGAGAATGTCATACCATCTGCCCAAAGAAGCCCGCGTCCCATTAAAACACGAGAAATCTCGGTTCTTTCGGGCCATTTCAGGAAGCCATACCCTGAAAGTGACATGAATGAATGAAGTTACGTACACGCCTCTGGGAGATAGGAAACCAGACCTGCAGTGTGGAATATGTATTGAAGGGCCTTCGGGTCTGATACCATAAGACGGTCTTCCTGCAAACAGAAAGAGGTTCAGTCCCTTCATCTTCAATTCAAAGAAGGGGACGTGCTCCGAAGGCGCCTTTGAAGCGAACAACATCTCCATACAGTCGTTGATACTTGAAGTCGGTGACGCCAGCTTGACTCTGGAATATTTCCGGCAAGTTGCCTATGGAATGCCAGCATTAGACCGTCAACATGAGAGTGAGCGGCAAGCACTTACCTAGGAAGAACGACTCTGGTTCAGGGCCAGGAACGTACGCGACGGAGACTCGAGTAACCCGCCGGTATGTCCAGAGCAGGCCGAATGCGACGACGCCCGAGAGCGCTGCGACCTGGAGGCCCAGAATCTCGGTCAGCGCTGAAGGGAGAAAGGCGCCATATGGTTTCGTACTCGAGAGTCGATACCCCACAACTGCGGGGTGTCAAGAAGCTGCGAAAACGCAGAAAGCATTTCTCAACGCGAGAGACGGGGAGCAAGGAGAGAGACCCAGGAGGGAAACTTCACAGCGCTGGTTGAGGAGAGCGGGGGCTAAGGAGCAAGGGGACTTCTTGGGCCACGGTGCAGATATGTACATGGCGAGAGTATAAACTGATCAACCGCTTCATGTGACTTGAGCATCTACGGGTGAGCCAACGGCGCGCGGCTGCAAACACATTCACTTGGGAACGCGGAGGAGGACCGATCAAAGCTCACGATTGGGAACGACATGATGAACGCACATCGCAAGGCCAAATCCATTTATCCAGATCCATTCATGCAGTCTCGTGACAACAACACAATCTAATCATACGCCGTCCATTACGCCCCCTCCTCGTCCTCTAGCGTCTCCCAAGGCTCCAGGCCAAAGTATTCCGGCAGCTGCTCCCAGTTCTTCCGTGCAGCCTCGTATATATGTCCTTCAGCCACCGGCCAGCAGATCTCGCACAGATGTTCTTCGAAAAGCTCGTGCCCACGAGGGTTCATCCCGAGCAGGCCATCGCACCGTCCATTCAAGAAGTTCGTCTTTCTGAATTGTCTGCACACTTCAGCGAGGAAGCCCAGACACGTTTCCTGGCTCTTCATCTGCCTCTGCTCGCATTCTTCGGAAAGAAGTACGTTGGCGGTCACTGGCACCTCGAGCCATTTGAACAGAACCTTCCGGCGGGACGACTGAATTCGCTCACGGCCCTCCACAATCTTACGGAAGACCTGCCAGTCGGTGATCCTATCTAGGGGCCCGCTTTCATCGTCCCCGCTTCGGACGCCGTTGAAGAGGTCATCCATTGATAACTGAGACGCATGATAGAATGCCATTGGCTTGAGGTCGTCCAAGCCGTATTCAGTGATCACGTTGACTGCGCGGATAGGAAAAGTGCGGAAAAACAATTCTTCCTGGTGTAGTTTGAGCCCTGCTATCGTTACTTGTTTGAAGTTCGGTCTGAAGGTCGTTGGGAAGAGGTATTTAAGCGCCGCCACCGCGACCTCTCGGGGCTTGCTGAGCCCGAGTTGTTCATTAATTCGTATAAGCGAAAGGGCGGCTTCGAAGTAGACATAGCCGCTGCCATCGGGCAGCTCCTTGCTAACGGTGCTACGGAAGGACAGTCAGCACTGCAATTCGAAATGCGGGGTGTAGAAGCTCACAGGGTTCCATATAGGTACGCAAGAAGGAAGCGAAGGTCGCGGAAAGCCACGAACTCGGGCAGTGGGTAGTGAGGCAATGAATAGAGTCTGAAGTCGAGGTGGACCAGATCGCCGGCTAAAGTATCCTCGAAGTAGCCACCAAGCTCAACCAGCTTCTTTCGGTGTACAAGGAACAGTGTTTCGTTCCCTGGTACCGTCACAAAAAGGTCTCCGTCTTTCAAATAGAACTGGTGATCCGGCACGTATGTAGTCTGCTGGGGTAAGGCTTGAACAGGTTCCGGTACTAGAGTCGAGTGCTGCATCGGTGTGTTTGTTTCTTGCTGAAGACGTTTTCGGATTGAGCGAGTAAAGTACTTTCGCTTCTGTGGTCGCTCCGAAGACTGGATGCGGCCTTGAAGGTCATCTAAATTCTTGCGTTTGGTGCCTCGAGGGCTGTCAATGGCTGAATCGACGTTGTAGGTCGAGGCGGGTGTCGAAGTCATAGTGGGTGGTGGTGGTCAAAGTGAGAGATGCGCTGTTGCTATTAAAGTCGCCCAAGTTTTCGCACGAGTGCGATGTGGCCACAGTTCGCATTGTTCATGGGTGGGCCATAAATGCTGAAGGCCACAGTACTGCGTCACCGATCGGGACCGATCACTTTCTATCCCGAAATAGTATTTCACCGACCGGCAATCATAGTGCCATCACGTGGGCTGCCGGACGAGCACGTCAACTTCACCTTCGACCATGACCACCACTAACGGACACGTAGGGTCCACTCACCAGAACGCCTTACCTCCACGAAACGATAGCCAAACTCTGGCCCAAACGATAGACGCCAATCCGAATCCAAAAGAGTGCTTATCTTGTCGGATAATGGGAACGGGAGTCATGGCTGGAACAGGCTCGTATGCGATTTGGCAGTCGCGTGCAGCTGCACCAGGTTCGCCGGGACAGAAGAGAATTATAGCGGGATTAGGTGTCGGTGAGCCCTTCTCGTGCATATTGAGGTGCATTCTGTGTTGATTGAATCGAAGCATTGCTCATTGGCAGTGTTTTCCGCTGGAGGTCGTGGAAGTGTAAGCACGCTTTCAACATTGAAGATACTGTCATTGAATATCAAAAAATAGAATACATATCATATCATTCTTTGAATTTTTGGATCGGAATTCATTGCAGGTCATTAGTGAACCAGCCATTTTCTTCACTCGTTCGTGAAGTTTGCCTTCCTCTTCTCCGCAAATGCAGTCATACCTTGAAACATGTTCGTCAGTCAAGTGGACAAGTTGCTCATAGCCTTGGAAACGTACCCTCTTTTTGGTCCTTCGTGGCGAAGAGCCCATGGAATATCCTCCGCTCAAAGCGTAATCCTTGGTCAAGAGTCATCTCATAGGCTTGATATCACGATTAGCCTTTCTGAGACAGATCACAGAAAAGAGAGGGCACTTGCCTGCATTAACAACCTCCTTGCCAGCCTGCACAGCAACTTGACTTTTGCTTGCAATCTCATTCGCTATTTTCACGGCTTCCGTCACGACCTCACCCTCGCCATCTCCAACAACGCGGCTAACCATGCCCCAGTCAGAGGCCTCTTGGGCAGTGAACATGCGGCCGGACAGGACGAGTTCCATGGTACGAGATTTTCCAATGGCGTGGATGAGACGCTGAGAGCCACCTCCGCCGGGAATGACACCGAGGTTGATTTCGGGCTGGCCGAACTTCGCAGTTGGAGAGGCAAGGATGATGTCGCACATGAGAGCGAGCTCACAACCACCGCCGAGCTGTTGAGTGTTGAGTAGGCAGGCGATCGCAACGTCGAATAAACTTACAGCGTAACCGCTGACGGCGGCGATGAGAGGCTTGCGGAGATGTCGAATGTCGCCCCAGTCCGCCAGGAAGTTATTCTTGTAAACGTCGGCGACTGACGGGTCGATTTCAGTGTGTGGGCTTGAACGAGAGCTAAGTTGAACTCACATTCTTTATCCCTCATCTCCTTGATATCAGCACCAGCTAAACGTGATTTTAAGTTCGTTGGGATGTGCTTGATTGGGTGAGAACAGACGAACCTGCAAAAGCCTTTGCAGATCCGGTCAGAACCATGGCACCGACTGTATCATCCCGGTCGGCCTCTTTCAGAGCCTGGTTCAACTCCTTGAACAGCGGGCTGCAGAGCGCGTTCAGAGCCTTGGGCCTGTTCAGCGTCACCAGGACCACGGAAGGTTCCGGACGCGACACAAGGATGTGTTCGTATTGCTGCGACGAGGAAGACATGAGCCGAATCGTGTATCGAGAGACAGCGGGACGGGTGCAGCGCAATGAGGACGATGTCGCCACAAAGCGCAATGATTTGAGGTGGAAGGGCGAGCGGGGTATATAGTGGGTCATTACAAAGGCCTTTTGCAGGACGGCTACAAGGGGAAGCAAGTGACCTGCAAGGACGCACTTTCGATGCTCACAATGCGGACCGGAGCTCGGCTACTCAGGCTACCATGTTGTCTGGCCCCTATTGTCATTCATAACTCGCTCAAAATCGCGCTTCTAACTCTTGTACTGCTATAAGAAAGCATGGGATTTCATTCACATGGACGAAATTGCTCTTCTCTTCGGAAAATTAGTGTCATCTACGTGAGCGGGGTTGCAACGAAGAAGGGCTGGATCGACACCCTCTCGTGGTCCCACTGATCGTGATTATCAGATAAACTGTAATTCAGGAGTGCCATGCTTACGACGCCTTCAGTGTAATATACGTCCGATATGACTATCTTTCGGACTGCCTCGAGCGATTCGGCTCTGACGATCATGAGCGATCCCACTCCTTTCGGCAATTCGCCCTCAGTATAAGGTACGTCTGGATCGAGGAGCATCCCTCCAACGGCTGAACAAAGACCAAGGGAATCAGTTACCCCGCACACGATGTATGAAAAAATAGGGAAGGACCGGCACTGACTTATTATTCCAGCATCGATGAGCGGTTTGACGCCTTCGAGATGGCGAGGTCGGACTGCCAGACGCCGTGCGAGAGTACCTTCAGCCTTGTTATCGGGAGCATGGACGACAAAGACCTTGGGCTTAGGAGTCGAGGTTGCTTCTGACATGATCGAAATTTTTGGACTGTTGCGGTTGGTGGTCAAGAGGTGGGAGAGGACGTAAGTTCCGGTCTCTCTTACATACTCTTGCGAAAGAACGGATGTAATCTTCCTGAGTAAGCGACAGAATACTTATTGTTTCTCGAGAAAGCATTCTGCCTCGTGTACAAGAAAGTACTGTTTTCAAGGAATCGGCGTCGCAGCGAAGAAAGGCAAAATAACGATCTTTTCTGGATCCCACTGTCAAAGGCACAGCATTAGCACTTGTCGAGGGCTCATAAAACGTATAGAGACTCACAACTCCCGAGGTATAATAGATGTCTGACTCAACCATCTTCCTGACTCTGAACGAAGCGAATTGTAAGAGTACCGCGAGAGCGAAGCATAGAACTCACTGTTCTATCGTTTCTGCCTCACAGATTAAGGCCGACCCGACCATCTTCTTTGGTGCATCTGGGTTCGTGAGAGCCTCTGGGGTGGTCATCATACCACCGACACCTATCGTTATCTGAATACGCAGTAAGATACGGGGGAAAGCGAGAACTCACGAATAAATCCACTCGCGATGTTTTCCTTCGCCACTGCGAGATGGCTTTCCCTGACAGACAGCCTGCGTTCGAGGGTGCCTGGCTCTGTCTTGTCTGGGGCATAGACTAGGAAACGGTGCTTGACTGGGGTGGTGGCTGAGGAAGCCATGGCTCTAGAGGCAAGTTGCCAGAGCGGCCGTTTGAACATTCGGATGAGCTTGACTCCGACCCTGGACGCGCTTCTGTCGGTAGCTTGACGGAAATAAGCGGGCCGCTTCCGCGCAGTCCAACCTGCAGCTTCAAAGCTTCGCGTGAGTCTTGCGTCTTTTTTTAGGTGACGCGTCCAAAAGCTCCTTCGTTCCACTTTCGATGATGCTTCGCTTGGGTGCTCTAAGGCGAACGAAGTTTGGGATCTTTTTTTCTAGAAGATTCGAACTGTTCAAATGCGAGTGCCGCCAGAGCACCAACATCCTCACGGTAGGCGGATATGGATCATAATAAAAATTTCTAGAATATTCAAGGCACGCTGGAGAGAATCTGAGCCGACGTCTCCAAAGTTAATCGAACCACGGGCCACTAAATTTCTGTAGGGCCTGGAGACTGAGTGTTGGGAGGATGACACCAATCATATCAGTGATGGGTCGATTGGTACATCTCAGATCTGGACCCTGCGCCTCCCGGTGCCCATCTCCCCTCCCGACGTCCCAAAGCAGATTTCCGCCCCCGCGCCGCCCTCTGGGACCCAGGACACCTCGACAGAGTATCCAAGCATTATGTAAGTGCCCCAAAGCCTGCACGGAGCGGGCCGGAGATGAGCTTCACAAAAAAGGAAAGGTTCAACACGACCCCGGCGCCATTCGGAGTTCTGCGGCTGGTAGTCCGTGGTCCGTGCGCGCCTCTGAGCCAGTGGTCTTTGCCGCTGTTGTGTCAGCTTGGGAAGCATAAGGGTTGTCCTTAAAGCCTTATAAGAGGTTCCAACCAAAGATATAAGATCTGTTCTTTTCGATTCTTTTCTCTCGCAGAAATCGGTGCGAGCAAGCGGGACGGCACGAAGCGGCATTAGCTATTCAAGTTAAAACTCCGACATCTTTTTTCGACGACGGCCCTTTTCATCGGAAATCTGTCAGAGTACTACTAGCCTGTAATTTTCCCCTCGAAAGTAGCACGGCTCAATATTTTTTCTCTCTATTTAGATTTCTAATTTGTTAGCATATTACTTTTGAGCAAAATGTCCCCCCGAGTTTACATTAAGATGTTACAAATTTTCAGTCTATTCAATCCGCAGAATAGCTGTAAAATGCTCACAAAAGTATGGTAATAATAATAATGAAATACTTCATAATTTATTCTTTAATGGTGTGTCATTTTACTGTTCTGATACTCTATAATTTAACACTTAATGATTCTTGCTGGTGTCTCCTGCTGTGGACTTGTGTTGAACACACCGTGGACATGTTCAAGTTGCCGAGTGCCTGCCAGACTCCCAGTTGTCTGGACTCTGTGGTTGTTGGGGTCATGAGCAGCACCTTCTGTTTTGGGCTGTTACGTAGGGCAGATCATCGAATCTGAGATGTACCAATCGACCTAGGACTCCAATCATATCCCATTGCTACTTCTGACGAATAAAATGGTCGCCTATTTGCTTCTTGAAAGAGTTGGTCGATAAAGAAGGTAGGAAGTGCTCGAAGTCGCAGTGCTTAACCTGAAAGATAGGGGCTGTTTGATGCGTCAGACGGTTGTGTTTCCAGAAAAGGTAAATTGTTGCGGGAACAAGCCCTGCAACCCTGCCGTCACCCACAAGGCCTGCCTCTGTGCTTTGTCCTCTCTCTGCTCTATAACAATCAACCTCTTTGTCTGCCTCTCAACATGCCCGCTACCCGCTCTTCAAGCATTCCGCCACGCGCAGCTCCTTTTCCGACTGCAAGTCCACCCCATCATAAGCACCACAACCACGCCAAATCGCCCGTATACGAACTCTCGTTCTCGTCATCCGAGGGTGAAAGTTCCAGGACTGCGCCCACAAAGAAGCACATAGACAAACCTAGCTCACGCACAATGAAAGCGACACATGCTGCCCCGCCACACATTGCTGAAATTATCGAGATTTCGTCCGACGACGACGACGACATGCCACCGAAATTGATCCCTCAGGCGTCTGCTATTGCAGAGTACCGACGCGAAATCAACAAGATGAGAGCAGTGCGCTCTCGTTTCTCTTGCGTATTCCTCACTGCTTTCTGATATTCTTGCTCCGTCGGCTACAGGACAACGTGAAACAGAAGAGAGATCTCGAAAAAATGGCTAACGAAGTCAAAGCTCTTCGTGAAGAGAACGAACAACTGCAAGCTCTTCAGAAACCTACCCTGGGCAAAATTTCACTGGTGCGTGCTACTCCATGATGCACAGTACCTCGTAGGTTTATTCATTCCCTCGGGCCAGGACGCCGCACAGCTGACGGACCATCTGGAGTGTGAAATTTGCACGTCGAAAATGTGGACGCCTTACATGTACGTCCGTTCCTGCCTTGCGTTATTCGTGCAGTCTTGTTGATCAACCATTACCTTCCCGTTTGTCCAGCCTGCCCGACTGCGGCCACACCTTCTGCGAATCGTGTCTGCAGGACTGGTTCAGCACAACGCAAGCGAAGTACATTGCTGCACACCCAGAATATAACCCCAATACCGTCCTCTTGAATAACAACGCGACGTACCTCGTCAACCTCGCCCAATCGGTCGCGCATAATCCACATGCTGCCAACCACGCTCATATCGGTGCTATCATCGACCAGCTCCTACCACCACACCCACAATATACCTGCCCGACGTGTAGAGAGCCCGTGCGGTCGCGTCCTACGGAGGCGTTCGCATTGAAGGCAATTGTAAGGACAATCTCTGCGGCTACTGGCGAAAGTAGCCCGACGAAACCCGCTACCAGTCGGAAGGGGAAGACGACTGCCACCACTGTGGGTCCATGGGACGGCTTCTTCCCTCGTAAAAAGACATAGCCGTCCCTTCTCTTGGTTTCAGGGGACTGTGGTATCATTCCCTACATTCTTCTTGCATAATTCATAATTGTACATGTACATCTCAGCCTAGTGTGGATGCATTTGGGTGTTTTGTAGCCTAGTCTATTCGGATGAACATGTAATTATATGAAGTACCTATCAAAGATGGTTATTAAAAGATGGTGGTAGTACAAGAAGTCACAGTACAACAATGCAGGTTCAATCAGCACAGGACTCCTAGATTGCTACTTTTTCCGTGCTTTCGTCTTATTCGCAGTAGGGGCTTTGCTGGCCTTCTGTCTCTTGGAACTTCCGGTGGCACGAACGGGTCCCTCGACAATTTCAACTTCATCGTCGCTCACTGCCGCCGCTTTCCGCTTTGTGGTGCCTCTCGTCGAAGAATTAGTGGGGATGCTATCGACGTCAATGACATCGTGGGCCGTCGAAGTACTTGCTCGAGTCTGGCTGGGACTACGATGCTGTTGCTGTCGTCGGCCAGATGATGCAGAAGAACGGGAGATGACAGAGGAAGCAGGTGACGTCCTCATGCCTTGTCCTTTGCTTGATACCTCATGAACTGCCAGCGCCTCAGGGTCTAACTCTCCCCTAATGCGACTAAGAGTGTCCGGGGAAAGCTCTCTGTCCCAATCACCCCGTGTTTCTCGGAAATCTCGCGAGAAGACGCTTTCCGACAGTCCATCTTCGAAGGAATGTATGCAGGCTTCCAGACGGGAGCCCTCCTCAGAAGACATCTCTTGCCGAACTCCATCTCCAGTCAGTCGAGCTGCGAAGTTGTCGAGAGAAATGGAGCCTGAATTCTTCACGAGATATCTGGTTTTCAGGCGCTCCTTTTCCTCCCGCTCGCGTTCTTCGTCTCTGGGGTCGGTCACAGAGGGCTCGCCCAGGTTTTCGATCCATTCCCATGGCTTGTTGATTACCGGTTGTCCGTAGACGATGTTGCCTTGCGAATCATGGTGGGTATTCACCAGACTTGTTGTAACGGAATCAAACGGAAGCTGCGCGAGTAAAGTAGTGATTTGTTTTCGGTACTCAAAGGGTAAGTGTGGAGGAAGGTCGGTGATGAGCATTGAAGGATAGTATCGAAATGGAGTGTGCTTAGTATCGTGAGGTTCCGGGTTCTGCTTTGGGTCATGAATTTCTGTTGGAGGGGCAGCTGAGTGGATGCATGAAATTATTCTTTACAGTTCTTACCGTCCAACGTGATGAATAGGGTATCAATGAGTATGGGGTATAAATCGAGGTTGAGGTGGTCTTCGCTGGCGGACCTCTGGACAGGCGATCAGATACCAGTGAATGGCAAACGAATTCAGCTTACTTACCAAGACAAGGCGGAAGATGATAGTGGATATGTTGGTGCAAAGGGTTCGGGAGTGGACGGTCAACGTAAATTTGAAGCTGAGGATGAATTGTAGAAGGCGACAAAGAAGAACGAGATTATCTCTGCATTCAGGTGGTATATCGGAGTCGGTAACAGCCTTATCTAACGCCTGGAAACCTTTGTCGACAGCCTCCAGAAAGCTTTCATGGATAGTGGTTTCCACTGTTGGAATGCTGTTGGGAGTTTCTCGAAGTGGTTGCGAAACATGAATTAGAACTCGCAATAGATCGCCGACTCGTCGGAGACATTCTTCGTTTGACGATGAATCCGAAAACCGTTCAATCATGGACTTGAAGCCGTTATTGATGAACTAGGGAAAGATGAATATACAGCCTTTACAGAGACAAAAAATCAAACCTTGGTCACAACTGTCGCGTCTGCCCCTCGCGCCATTTCACCAACGTAGTAAGCTTCATCGGCTGTTTTCGTATTGTGGAAGAGCATAGTGGTCAGCTTGTTGAGATTGGCGGCAGCAGCTTCAGATGTCGACTCGTGGCTAAGAGCACGCCCGAGTTGTTTGACTTGTAACTGCATTTGAATAGTTGTTGCTGCTATCTTCCATGGACTGAGTAGGCAAGTTACTTCAGGCCAGTCGTAGATGTTGGTGTCTTTGAGATGCATGAGCTCAAGCTCTTTGCAGATTAAAGCATACCCACCATCAGTTGAGTCGCATAGTATCATATTCAAGCCGGCGATCGCTCGCTTGCTCAGATTCTCGGTGCTTGGATCCTGATCCACCAAGTACGGGGAGTTTTCGAAGGCCTCACGGATGATGTCCAGGTTCCTATATGCCCCTTGCCGGAAGCCAGATTGTTGGCAAAGTTGACAACGGAGGGTAGTCGACTCGGCTCGAAGAGCTTCAGGAATCTCTTGATTGCTCTCCAGACAAATTAATGCCGGAATGTTTGAAGCGAGGAAAGAGAAGTGTGGCTCATCATACACAGCCTGCCTTCTCGTTCGGATGCATTGAACTTCAAATAAGTTGGTAGGGGGCATTGAATCTCCACTTCCGTCTTCTTGAAGAAGGAGATGGAAACAGAGGCTGTTGGCAGCCGAGAGATACGTCTCTGAGATCAGAGGTTGACCCGAGCCATTTGCAGCCAGCTGCCACGCAGGGTACACCAGTCCCTCCAGGATAGTTGTTGTCCTCAACGCACCAGAGACAGCGAGGTATAGAAGCACTGCCTTCAATACATCCCATGCATCCGAACTGAGCGCAGCGACCTCCGCTCTACCAGGTCCCAAAAACCATTGCAACACGTCACTATCTAGCCCATCCGGAAGATGCTGGTCGACTCGCCAGAGGAAGTTCCCGTAACGGAGTGCACATGCTCGACGAGCCTCCAAGTCGGACGACATGCTCGGGATTTGACGGAGACTTGCAACCGTGTTGTCCCAGACTTTCCAAGCCCAGTCGAGAGACGTACGATATTTGATCCATAATCCATTTGCCAGAATAGTAGGTGCATTGGGGTCTGGGTCTCCAGACAACAGCAATATCTCTGGCAGTACATCGGGGGCACTATCTGGATGATCAACAAGTGGTTGCAGAGCCTGCAAGGAGAAATGAAATCAGGAGGGCGTTGCACGACAGTCAAATAACCTACCTGCGTGAACGCAGTAACATCCGTTACAATACGGTCGCGCGATGCTTGGCTGAGATGGCGCCCGTTGTCAAATCTCATCAGCAACGCCAGCAGCGGACGGGACGGTATACCACGAGATTTCCACAGTTGGTGTGCAACGTCCAGAGCCTTGACGATTGTCGGCACAGTGTCCATACAAGTCCAGATGGCAGCGTATCGGTAAAAGGTGCCGATTAAGCCGTTCATGGTTTCAGCATCCGTGGCATGTTCGAGCATATAGAGAGTGAGCTGCATTAACGAGGAAATGTGAAATTAATTGTGATGTTGCGACAAACGATGCTAGCTCACGTCAAGAACGGAATGAAAGCATTTGGCAGACGCCATTAGCTCGGTGGCAACGAGGTATGATTTGAACAAAACGGTTTGATCGACCTTAGGTCTTCTTGAACGCTCAAGTGAGATAGATCGAAAAGGAAACACCGAAGAAACCCACTTCGTGATGCGTTGCTTAAAGAAAGGAAGTAACCATTGCCGGAAAGTGCGTACTTGTTCAAAACGTGTCGCCATTATCAAGGTTTTGCATTGCTCAAGAAGAGTCGAGGTCGAAGTCCAGGTAGCCTGCGAAGGTACTAAACCGACTGTTAGCATCTGCCAGAAGTAAACGCATCAAACTTGACTTCGTACCTTCAAAAAGATCAGGCATCACTGCTCTGACTTCGCTGCGAATCTTTCGTTCTGTCTCATCTTCCGGTATCTCGCGTGCCCTGGCACCATATAGCGTCACTTTCCGTTGATTGGCCAAAGACGAAGTAGCATTGAACAGTGGAATCCAGGTAAGGAAAAATCGGTGGCGGGACCCTGGTGTCTGCAAAGATTACATGTCCATATCCAGTGTCACTTTGAAAAAGTCATACACATACCTCCTTGAACGAGAGTCCCTGTTCACCTCGAGCAATGAGACGTTGAATGTAGCTAGCGTAAGAGAACACTTCGTGTTTAACGAGCTTTCCATACAGAAGAGCGACATCTCGAATATTTCCTGCTTCACCGCCCACTTCAGACGTGTCCAGCCAGTCGAAAAGTTGGTCCTGCAGAAATTCACTGGGGGTAGCCACGTCTCGTCGACTCGCCCTGTCACAGGCTCTATCCCTCCAAAGGCGGATCAATGTGACTGCAGCGAAAGGACGATGGTCACCATATTGAAAAGGTGTTACGCTCCAGGACAGAAGCATATCGAGTTTTTCCTTGAAGCTCAAAAAGTCGTTGGTATCTTGACTAAAGTAATTGATAGACCCCATGTCAGTATCACTTGATATTGAGTTCAGGAGCTACAATTGTTATAAATAAAGGACAGCGCACGACTTCTGGACACTCACCTTGACATCCGAGACCGCAGTGCTCAAACGAGCGGAGACATGAGCAATAGGCCCACGAAATGATATTGCCTCATTCCTAGTCCTCAGATCATGGAGACTTTCGGACAGAATGTATCTAAGCTCTTGCACGTTCTGGCTAATGCAGCGATCGTTCGTGTGCTTAATCGAACTATCTAGTAACACTTCTTCAATGAGCGACCAGTACGCGTTCCACATTTTAGGGCTTATGAAGGCATTTGGAATGGTAAGACAGAGTCGCTGTACAATGTTGATATCAGGATAAGATTGACGTTGACAATGAGGACGTACCTGTATTAGGACCTGCAATAGCTCCTCCGTCTCCTTCAGGAACTCGTGTGCTGAGGACGTTCGGATCTGCAGTGCCCATAAGAATTTGTGAGGATCTTTTTGATGAAACCCACCTCAGATAATTTTCCAAGACACGCTTCGACAAGGGGCTTGGATAACGCTCTGCTTGTGACAACATCATCGAGAAATTCGTCGAGCAAGCGAGTAAGAAAGCCGGCTTGCGCGAGATTGCAAGTCACCATTTGCTGAACTAGCCATGTCAAGAAAAACCTGTGGTCGACAAGGTCTTCTTCGTAGAAAGCGCGCAGAAGTTTTAATCTGCAAGTAAATTCGTGAGACAAAGAAGGTACTAGCCAATCGTCCAACGAACGTATATGAGAAGCGGCCGATCCATTTTTCACGGGTGTCTGAGTCTGCCAGCACTCCCTTGAAGGTTTGTTTGATGTTCAGCCCAGGACGTGGGGCGCTGGGAAGGGCGATCTCGAGCAGTTGCTTCTTCATGTATGACGTGACCAACCCGGCCCAGTCAACGCTGTACTGCGTAGGCAAATACCCGGCTTTATTCCGAAAAGCAGCCTGGCTACCTTGTTAGCTGAATGGGTCTTGTGATAGAGGAAAACGTACAGTCTCATTCGCTCCGAAAACACGAACAAACCACACAGCTCTTTGAATGGCAACCTTGTTTGTCTGCAGCATATCTAACAGATCATGCCCTTTGGCCCCATGAGGAACACTCTTGCCCAGCTTCGAGAGAGGCACATTAGGGTTTGCGAGATCGGCAAACCAGGCATTTCGCTTGACGTCGTTCAAAGTTACCCTCGTTGGAATGCGAAATGTAGATGCCCTAAAAGTATTTCAATGAAAGGAAACTAGGGACTCGTGTAACGCTCACGGAATGGGAAGGATGCGATCGGCGCGCCTAATAAACACCTCGTTCATAAGTTCCTCGAGTTTCGAAAGTGTTTCATAAGAGTGTAGTTTCTCATTAATCATGGTTTGAGCACTGAACGTTTCCACCTAGACAATGATTGATTTTCACATTCATTGAGCACAACAAACGTTTCCTTTGTGTGTGAAAGCCTCACAGAAACCGGCTGGCTGAGGATGAAGCCATTCTTGATGTTAGTTTCCGACAAGACATCCTCATCTTGGCCCGGTCGAGGGGGATGAAACCCAGGGTATCCTAATAGACTGGAGTGTTAGAAACGGCTTCTTTGGAGATGTAGGTTCGTGCGCGTGCCTAGGTCCGCTTCTCCATGAATCTTGGGCAACCACCCAGGAGGATGTAACTCGTACACTGGAAGAGCCGCTGCTTGCTTTTCATCCTTCTTCTCGCGCATTACGACTTATAGTGTCACCTCAAATCATATGTCTAGATTTGAGAGGGCTGCTGGGACTGGATAGAGGGAATTTAGGGCGAGCCGCGAGTCGGTAGTAGAACGGAGAAGGCAAGGAAGGCAGCCGCGGCGTGCGGCCCGGTCATGCCAATGACGCGTCCAGAGCCACTCCGAGTCACGATGGCATGAACATCGACCTTGACCAGCAGCCGTATGTGAAGAATGCGTCAATCCGTAGCTCCTCATCGCGCCTCTCAGGCACCTTCTAGCTCCTCAGCTGCGGCACTGGCCAAACTCATCGAAAAGAAGAAGGAATACGAAGCGGTATCTGCCCTCGAACGGGCAAGCGCTCTATATCTTGAACGCATTGAAGGCTTGGGTGAAGACTGCGATATTATGGCCAACGCAGGAGAAGGTGTGCTGTTATTTTCTCTGTCCATCTTTGCTTTTCATGTCTCATCCATGCCCAGTTCACGGCCAGGTTCTTGCTCAATGGCCGAAAATGTTCCAGATTCTGAACAAATTTCGTGAGCTTCGCACATCCTGGCCCATTTCTACTCCCTTATTGCTCTCTTCAACAGTTGCGAATAGAGAAGCTGGAAATGGTGCTCAAGAACCGACCCAAGAAGTTGTCGAAGGACAACGACTGGTCCGAGTACCGATTGAAGAATTGCAAGACGCCAGCTCAGAGAGGTCTTGATTCGTTGAGTGTTTACGTAGATTGATTATGTCCACCCTTATCAGAAGTGTATATCCTGCATATACTTAGAGTATACAAGATATTTGCCTCGTTTCGCTTCGGCCATAAACAAAATCCGCCACTGAGCAGAATCTCAGAAGAATAATTTCGGATGAAACTCGAATTCCTGTAGGATCACGGCGCAAAAATGAACGAAACTCTTGGAGACTGGCGGCTTGAGAATATGCGGAACCTAGCCCTGTGTCATATGATCAAAAGTTGACATTTTGGAAGGGGTGGAATCTCAAGAGACTAAAGTCTGGGGCTAATGGAACTCGGAAAGGCAAGCCTGTGGCTCATGTGAAAGAGCAGAGTTGACACGATAGACACGCGCAGTGCAGCCGAGCAAGCGCTTATGTGAAAGGAGAAAAAAACAGGGGATGAGAGATGAAGATGAACGCATGTGGAGGGAGAGAAAGGGAATAGAGGAGCAGGGAAGTAGAGGATCAAAAGTTACAACGGTGTGTAGGGTACAGTATTAAATAATTGTCCGTCATGCAATACTCTAGAAAATAAGGATACATAGACTAACGGAATAGGAGGGGAAGAGAAAAAATTAAGAAGCATTGAGGGGAATCAAGGATAGGACATTGCCTGATGACCCAGGGGTAGAACAATAAAGTGTCTGAGGGAGGAGAGACGAAACGGGAAAACCGGCACGAGCAGACGTACAAACAGACGTACACGAAGTCGAGGGATCTGCTTCATTATAGAGGTATATAATAGGCCCACATAGCATTCACACCGCCGATAAATTAGGCTCGCTACCATCCGGTTCTGATCGTGTTTGAAACTCCGCAGCCGCTACGTGCATGCTCAGAACCGGCTGGGAGCAACGGACGCGTTTTTGCAGAGTCACGCTTTGTCATGTTTGACTTAGTGAAATTTAGATTGCTCGCTCATTCTCCCCATCGCAGGACCACCCCTTCCACTTCCATCCCCTAATTTAATCATAAAATTTGACCCCTTATACATGTATGATGGTAACTTGTTCTCAATGACTTCCTTTTGGCATGTATACATCCCATCCAGTGTTGGTTCAGTGAGCATTCCACATCATCCCAAGTCCCCTCCAGCAGTTGAGACCAAGGGTATGAGGGGTAGCCACAGTACTGATGAAATGGATACTTACCACTTCATGGGGCCCATTGGATTTGGAATTCCTGGAACTGCGCTGTGTTGAGCTCCAGCGCTGCTGCCGTTGCTGGTCTGTTGACTGAGCCAAAGCTGACTCACCGTGGCACGGTCAAATCAATCTTAAGGTTGTGAGGCAAACGCAACAAACGTGCCTGCCTCGGCCACGAAAGTGAAGGAAAAAATAGTGGCATTGATGACCTCGCTGCACGCATCTGGAGACCTTGCTTACTGCCTGAACCGTTTTGAACTAGTCTTGTGAAGTTGTGTGCAAGCCTCCAACCACCTTTGTGCCATAGAATTAGTTCTATGGATGACTTCCGAGCCTCGAGACTCTAGCGGTAAAGTAGTGTTAAATGAGACTGAAGCTTGCCAAAGTGTCTTTGTCCTTGTGCCATGGTAGAAAGGCACATTTCGAGCATAGGCTCCATCCATGCAGTCATTGGGGGCTTAAAATTTTTCATTTTTCAGACCTAGCTAAATCAACTCTATTGATAAAAATTGCTCCTTTAAACATATGCGGAAAAAAACTTTTTTGTGGAAGGTGGTTGACGAGGGACAAGGTGGGCAAACACGAAATTTCACTCAGTCAGAGTCACAAAACTGTGACTCTACAGAATTGTGCCCGTAGCTCCCAGTCCTTTGGTGGTGTCACTTCTTTTTGCCCACAACAAAGCCACAATAAAGCCACAACAGGGCCACAACAATCCACAACTCAGACCAAGCACCACATAGAAAAGGAGTGACCCACCGAAGGACTGGTCGTGAGTCTACCGATAAATCTAATGAAAAGGCACACTATTGATTGTGTTCACCAGTCCATTCTTCATCTGGAGAATCTTGACCACCCCCTTTTCATCTATTTATACTTGTCCCAACATCACTTAATAAATATAATAATAATAATACACCGCCTGGACCCTCTAAGGATCTGCGGGTCGACAATGAGGGGGAAACCACATATGTACAAGACTACATGGTAAATGAAGTATACAGACATTCAGAAGGAATAGTACTAAGATCCTCCTGACCAGGAAACGTTGTACCCATACAATCAGTAGGCTCACCATAGTCTGATAAGGCTTCCAAGTCGTCCAAGTCTGAATGGGAGTCAAAAACAGTGTCCAGGCAACGACGGCCTGACCACACCAAATAGATGGTATGGATAAAGTTTGCAGTAAGTGGGACGAGGTCCCAGTGAAATATTTTGGTCTATAATGTAGTGAGGTACGAGCGTAGGGTTAGGGTGCAGTCTATGCATCAGCAGTGGCAGTGTTAAGCGAGGAGAACCTCTTGCTCCTCGACTGCCACCTGCTGCCCACACTGAGAGGAGTCCAGCGTTGCAGGCTTTTCTTTTCTCACCCACCTGCCTCTCCCAGAAAAGGAATCGCACTCCCTTGCTGAGTGGACCGCCTCGGGGCAGTTCCTCAAGAATCAGCCCAAGGCAACTTAGCACCACATCCGAGTACACACCCGCCTGTGCGGATGAGTTGGCCTGTGTTGAGAAACTGCTGGAGCACGATGAGTGAATTTTTCCCACCCACCCATCACGCTCATCTTGGCTTCTTTCACAGACCAGGAGCTCCTCCCAGGCATGAAAGCCTTTGGGCTTTCTGCCCATATATTACATCCAGCACACTGCTATTCCATACACCTATCCCTCTTACCCTAGTCTACCATCATTAATCTAATGCTGTCACTTGCCAGACCTGCCTCAGCACCATTCATAGATCAGTTTCTTGAGCCAAAATAAGGCAGCATTGTCAGAGAACCTGTGAGGCTGTGAAATACTTGCACAGATGGAGCATTCTCAGAAGAAATCACGTCGAACAGTCACTATCTGAGAGTTAGCCGAGCACTGAAGTAGAGCATGCTCGGGAGTCTCGATGTGCAAGTGACACATGTGGCACAAACGGTCCTGCATTGGAGCGCCATGCATGGAAACCAAGTAATAGATGGATTGGCCAAAAATAAGCATTGTGAGGGAGTGTTGATGGCAGGGTGTTGTGACATGAAGAAGGTAGTGTCGGAAGAATGACTGAATAAACTTGTAAATCCCCTCAGGTAGGGCTCCAAATGATGATGAAGAAGGTAGAGCCAAGAGTTATCCAAGATGCTTTGATATAAAGTGTTCCATGTATAGTTGCGAAGTGAAGCCTGCATATGGCACAAGGAGGCGCTCTATAGTTGGTGAAGTGGTGGCAAAGACAGAGTATCTTTTGACACAATACGTAGTGTGTAGTCCAGGTCGCTGAGCCAAGAGGTGTGATGATGAGCGTGCAGCTTCTCCGACTCCAGGAGGGCACGAGAAACAAAGGATTATGGGGGAAGTGAAAGAGATTTGGCCAAAAAATCCAAACCCAGGATGACACGACAAGGCCAAATGGGGAGAATGCCTGATTCAATAAATAGCGGTGCCCATGGGCAATGGGCACTCAAGAACATGTGTCAAAGGAAACATTCTTGGACAGTCTCTAATGCCTGAATTGAGGGTTCCGAAACACCAGGGGCGATGTCACAAGCATGAATCAGATGACAGTTGATGAGGGAAAAATAAAGAGACTGAGCAGTTTTTGGAGGAAGCCGACTATGCCCAGTATAATGTTCGAGGTTGAGAGGTTAAAGATACATAGTGCAGGCAGTGCGGCCATTACATTGTCATTGCGACACACACCCATCTCAAGCGCACTCTGCACGAGAGAAAATTAATCACAACTTGGAACATTGGGGTCATGTCTTTGGCATCATTTGGAGCAGCATGAAAGTATTTTCACGCTGCTCACAATCTCCTGTCATTTTCTATTACTTTATTTCTTTTTCCCTGGTGAAATATCCAGCACTATAATCAGAAAACCCTTTTGGCAGCAACATCCCCAACTGGTCGACTCAGACGTAGGTTGAGGGATGATCAAACACATGTTCATCCTGCTCTTCCTCATCAGAGTCATCCAAGGCAGACAGGAGAGATGCAAGAACAGATGTACCTCGTATGCTTGACATGTCCTGGTCAACACAATGGGCTTTGACAATAACTATTAACAACAGGTGTATACTTCAAAGTTCAATTAGCCAAGGCTTGGCACATTGCCCTGACATCCTGCACATTCTGGCAGACACGAGCAATGCCATGTGCATCAAGGAGGTCACAACTCCATCGATCAGCCGGAGCTACATCATTGAGAATGACAGGGTGGGCAGGTATGGCAGCTGGGACTACGGTATTGGTGGCAACAGTGTACTGTCCTGATACGACCTACTCTTCTGTCACATGTCACAAAGAGCTTTGAAGAGAAGAGATCTTGAGAAATGTCACGCATCCCAAGGCAATTTAAAGAGTGACCAAATTTTCAGTCCCTGCGGGGTGTTTGGGCATGCCATAAATGGAAATATTCTGTCCAACTTCTTGAAGACTTTTGGCTTCTGTCATGCGACCAGTCCAAGTTTGAAGAGTTGCAAATCTCTTCACAGATGTCACATGTCACCAGCCATGAAGAGAAGGTCGTATCAGGACAGTACTCATAGAAGGACAAGTGGGTGCTGAATGTGCTGATAGCAGGGAGACAGAGGTGACTAGACTGCGGTGAAGGTCCTGGAAGTGATCACGCATTTGATCATCCGCCTGCTTTTGTTTGGAGTCAAGTGCAAAGCTAGCAGGAGGCTTGACCTCTACAAAGAATACAGGGTGCTTGTTGAATTCGACAGTGAACAGGGCGACAATGTCTCTCACATCTTGAGGGGTTTCTGGGATGTGATACTGGGGGGAGATCTTGAACGGGCCCTCCAGGCCAAACAAATAGTAGAGGAGCCTGGTGTATGGGCCATAGTAGGCACTTTCATCAGTGGCAATTTGTGGTTGATTGGCGGATGTAAAGGATTGGACGAGGTATTATTGGGGCCACGGTTGCGCTGCCATCGTAACTTGGTGCGGTATGGTGTGGGGTGGTGGTGGTCAAGATGAAGGCGATTGCTTCGATCATCAGGCTCCTAAAACCAGCTGCTCATGTCGCTTACCAGTTCCAATGCTATCACCTTCTCTATAGCCTTCATTCATGCACAAAGTTGCTCTACAGTCTATTAGTACTAGCAAGTGACCCATGCTTTGCACTGGGTTTACCATTTCATTGTGATGCAGAATTAATTATAATTCAATGCATTAGAATTGGATAAATTTATCTATGGAATTGCAAGCTTCAGTACCAGTCCACTGGCTGGTATGTAAGTTTCCTGCTCCCACTGTCCCTCCGATTTTCTCTATTACCCAAAATAAGTGACCTGTGATTTGCACAAGGTTTTTCTGCACCAAATCACTGTGACACATATTATTCAATACACTGCAGAACTGGAGAAATTTACCCATGGAATTCCAAATTTACTTTTACTACTGCTCTAGTGGCTCGTCATAAAATTGAAAGCAAATAAATGATACCTGTTTCAGGGCGCGTTACAGTGTCCCCTGCAGGGTGTTCTGATGTTCTTTATCCACCCTCAAGTTTGGTTGAATAGCTGTGCCTCCCTTGTGCCTCCCCACCTTTTTTGCCCTCATCTACTCTATTATTTATTTGTTTCCCTGCAAGAATTTATCATCCACATAGATATTCAGTTGCACCTGGCTTGAAGTTCTGAGCACTTATCATACTTTAAATGCACACCCAGTGTACCCCCAGCATCTCCAAGTGCCCCAATCAAATAAATTGCCATTTGTATTACTGTTTTTCAACCATAAGACATTTATCTCGAAGGACTGAGCTGCATCGGATGTGCTGAATAGGGGCATTACCATATTTGTGATCCTGCACAAAAAATATCCTCAGGACACTTCCAAACCCCTGTTTTCTATTGCCCAAAGTGCCCATTAACATGTCCTAATGCAGCACAATATCTTTCAGCATGATATAACCCAGGATAGCCAGGATGTTGCATGCCCCATCACAGAATTCATGTTTGTCTTTGTCCCTCAGCCAATGAGAGTGCGCCTCTTACCCCTATGGGAAGAGACAGCCTACCAGTATTATAATAGATTACCTACTCTCATTAGCCTTCTACCCAGTCCTTTCAGGATCTGCATGTCTGCGAAGGTCCTTGCTTCAGTGCTGTGTCATGAGTTTTTTGTTGAGGTCCAGGCTTCCTCGGCTTCGTGACAGTGTTACCTACTTATGCGCCGAATGCTGTTACAGCCCTTTGCGGAACTTAGGGCGCAGGCTTTTTTTTTTTTTTTCCAAAATGGGTCGAGCTGATGGTTCGAGCGGGATTGGGACTTGTTTGTGGAATAACTTCGTCAATTTAAGCCGTTTCAAATAAAAATACAATCGTTGGACTCGGATTGAAATTATGCATTGAATAGTGTCCAGAAAGGTAGGGTAGAGTGAGGGAATGAGAGGAATATTGACTAGAGGAAGATTCTGATGAGGTGGTGGCCATTCGCTTTTGTCGAGCTCTCCTCTTGGGCTAATTCTCCCTTGAGCAAAGCTGTCTTACAATGAGAGATCATTTACATTAGAAATAGGGCATTAAATATGGTGGTCTGTGCTGGACAAAAATACAATGTAAATGAATTTCAGTGACAATTGTGGCAGAATGAGGAAGAAAGTCAGGGAATGGTCATGATAGCCAAGGAACGGTCATGATCGTCAAAGAATGTTGATGTTCTTTGACAATCGGCACAGAAAGTTACCTTTTTTGGCAGGATGTTAACAATAATCAAAGAATGTCACCCCACAGAATGTCACCATTCGTCACCGATCTGTTGACAGAGGCCAAAACAAATGAGAATTTGTCTTGACATGGCCTGGCCTATTCTTCCAGTTTCTTCAAGAATCTCTGAGACCCTGAACTGCCTCCATGACGCCACACCATGTGTGGGTTTCATATGCTGGGCCTATGCCGGCTGCTCTGCTTGCATGCTGACTAACAGTCAGGCCGTGGGGACCCACCAATCTTAGTCAGCAGGGAAGAAATACCTCACTGACTAAGATTGGCAGGGTCCCATGGCGTGCTGACTAAGTTGTTGCTCCCGCCCTTCTCATTACTGTTGTGGACAGCAAGCTCGCTGTTCACACCATTTCCAGTCCATTCACTTCTACTAGAATATATCAGACACTGTATTTTTACAAGGTATGCTTATATGTCAGGACTGTGATTTTACAGTCCACCTACGGAGAGGGCCTTGCCGCGTGTGCCAGGGCTCACGGCTGCGGGCAGGGCTTGTCAACATATGCAAACAATGCAGGCAATGGTGCTGCAACACTGTTCTTCGTCGTTTGGGGTGCTTCCGCTGCCATTTTCGATGGGGAAAAGACACCAACGACGAGGAAATATATTTCATCGTCGTTCTGCACCATTTCCCCCATCGTCGGGGGGTGGGAATGGGTGGATTGGGACAGGGCACTTTGGATGACACTCGGCATTTTTAGCTGTCATCTATTTTTAGATCAGACATTTTTTGTGCACACCAAAATTTGCAAAAAAAAATCATATTAAATTGTAAAAATTAAATACATGGTACAGGCGGCTAGTAAAGCCACCTGTTAAGAAATAGAAATAAAATGAGCAGAAATGGCGCATCCTATACATGCTGTTTCTGCTCGTGGGGGCGGGAATGGTCCCCGCCCCCGCTCCCACCTCCGC